ATTCCCTTTCTCTGGGTTATATTGTGCTTAGCACTAGCTGCGTGACGCTTTCTCGAGTCACCAGAAGAGTTTAGTTGTCGTCGACAGCGAGACGCCCACGCTCTTTGTCACCGAAAGCGGCGGGGACTACGACATGCAGCTTTGCAAAGCTCTCCGGACGCCCGGACATGGTCCCTGAGGAAACTCACTTTCGTGGCCCTGCGGTCCTTCGGCATATCGGTGGCCCGATGGTGATCGGGAGCGAAGGCGATGGAAGGCGTGCGTTCTTGCCAGGAGGCAAACTCAGGAAAGTTCCGAGCACGGGCGGTCCTGCGCCATACTTGTATTTCCCCGAGGCCATGGACACGAGTCAGAGGCTAGAATGTCACGATGCCAGCATCGCATGTTGCAGCTCAACCATGCTCAGTCATAAGCCGGCATTCCGAATGGGGGCCTCCGTCCGATCTCTGGACCCGTGAACCCTTCCAGGCTTTGATACGTGATCCCCGTGTGCCACCGAGACACACGTCACTTGGGGCTCGGCCTTGCCTCTCCCAGCTGGCTTCCACCGAGTGACTTCACTCTGGCCTTTTTGCTTCCACATCCCGGGCAAGGTCCTGCCCTGGAAACCCGCAAAGGTACATTGAGGCAGGGCGTCCGAAGCCTACGGTCCCCAACTTCAATGACATCGGCAAAATTCGCCTGGTCAGTGATAGCATTGAGTTACGGGAGGGCCCCTTTTACCCTAGGCCGTCGATCACACTTACGAACAATGTACACTCTGTAACGCAAAAGGTCCGCTGATGTGGAGGCTTCAAAGGAAAAATATGAAAGGCGGTGTAGAAAAGTTCTGAGCCAGCCGGGACTGAGGCTCGTGTAGTGGGAAGCGGCATGCTCCCACCGACCAGTGCTGTTGTGGTGGATGCCTGAGCCACAGCACCGCGACGGCATCGCCGACGGTTCGCTCGGTCAACCCGCGACGGGATTCCTATGTGAACGCGCCGGAGGGAAGGTGACATACGGAGCCGACATGCGAACTCTGGCTTGAGAGCGCGAAGAACTGCGCTGGAGCTGTGATACACTAATAGCTGTTGCCCGTCTGAACAACGGTGTGTGTGTGTGTGTGTGTGTGTGTGTGTGTGTGTGTGTGTGTGTGTGTGTGTGTGTGTGTGTGTGTGTGTGTGTATGTATGTCAATGAGAACGACTGCGGCCAACGAACACGGCCGAGGCCTCCTTCGCGATGGTTCCTGGGGATAGTTCCTAGGGCTGGAATCTTTCGTCTCATGCCTGCAGTCAGGACGGTGACCGAAACGGACCCGAGCTGCCTATCCAAGTCAGATCCTCCTAGGAAAGCGCCTGGAGAGGTATGGCCGGGTTACCGCACCTCCGGACAGGTCCGCGAAACAAGTGTTGAGCTAACAGGTAGAGCAGAGCGATTTGCAATGATACTTAATAGAATCCGCCAATGTGCAGACACTTTGTGCAAGTCAGAAACCGCGTTGAGGCTGATGATGGCTGAGCCCTCGTCGGCACTGGCCGCAAGCGTAGGGCACAGGGTATTTGCGAGAGGCGTTTGGCAGCCGCTCGCCGGAGCGATTAGGCGGGGCCAAATTCCCTTGTGTCGAATTGGTGAAGGCGTGCTAGCGCCTAGAAGGAGTCTGATGGTTTGATGGTGCAATCGTCCCGTCCACCGCCAAATGTGCTATGCCGCGACGCAAGGCGTGAGTGGGGTGGGTGCACCGCCTCAGCCCCCCAGTCGATCAGCCCCAGCCCAATCTTACTATTTTTGGGCTTCTGTTCTCCTGACGGGCCCCCCCGTACCCGAGCTGGCAAACGACGAACAAACCGCGGATGCAGGTGCAGCTCGAAGCAGTGTCAATAACGGATCTGTGCCTGGTTGGGGGCTACGTACGCACGCGATATTAAACCTCGGATGGAGTTCCGCCTTTCCATCGTCTGTTGCTGCTGCTGCTGCTGCGACGCATAGTGTGGCGGAATCAGGAATGGGGTTATTCGTTGTCCGGTGGAAGCAGTGCAAACAAAGCAGCAAGACAGAGAGCATGACGATGAAGGCCGAGTTCGAGACATCGGGCTGAACAAAAGAGGAATCTCGTCCGTGATGGTGGAAACGAGACAAGCAGAAGACAATAAAACGGCGGGTTCCATACTTGCGGGTAAGAGAGATTTGCAGTTCCAGAGGGGAGATGCGCAGCAGGGGATATGGCTCGTCAAAATTGTGACCCGTGGTCCGTAGCGTCGACTGGACGTAAGACGACGAAAGAGACGCTCCGTTGTTGGCATAGCACGGCACTCAGCTGCAAAGCCAAGTCGCTGGATACCCAGGCAGAGCGGAGGACTCAGGAGAGACCCGTTTCAGAATGTTCGTGGAAGCCGCAGGATCCTGGGCGACGAGTGGAGCGTTGAGATGTACACGCGTCTCAACTAGATGCAGAGGGTCGTACAGGCGGTGCCACTAACAGTCCAATGTTGCCAGTGTCGTTCCTCGAATGCGTTGCCTTATTCAGGGTCTGCAGTTCTGGCGTCTTGTGGCTGGCCCTTTGCTCTCTGCCTATGGGCCTTCCAATCTCGTTCTTTTTCTTCTGTCGTGCCCTCATGGTTCCTACAGGAACAGCCCCTTGCGAGGGAGAGAGTCGGTAGAAAAGTGAGCTTGCCGGGTTCCATCTCCCGTCAGCTCTTGGTGCTGACATGATCTCTGCGTGCCCTGACTCTTCCCAGAGTGTCCTTGTCGACCTATCCTATCTGCAATGTGCTGAGTCTGACAACCAAAGATGAGATGGAAGGAGGGGCGAGAAACGGCGGGACCAGGGCCGCCCGAAAGTCTGCCGAACACAAGCCACTGTTGCTGTTCTTTCCCGCTGCGCAGCTCGTCCCTCTTCCCAATGGGAGCCAAGGATGATGGCTGAATGGCGGTTGTGGCACGACAGATGCAGGCAAGGGTATGGCGTCGTGTTTCTAGCTTTGCTTTCTCCTTTTCCTTGCCGGTGCGTGCCCTTTCTCTGTAGCAACTAACAGAGAGATGGTGGTGGTGGGAGTTGATTGCCCCCTCCTGGAGAGGCAGCATTGTTGGCAGCAAATGGCATTGGTTGCAAGGTGTTTTAGAGTCGATCTCATGCCTGAATGGACTGGTTGAAGGCGCAAGGCCAGGGGGCAGACAAGATGCAAGGGCCAAGAGCGACGACCGGGGGTTTCGGCTTGCCAGCTTGAGGCCTTGAGGGGGGGGGAAGGCGTGACGTAGTTGGTACCGGCCCCGGTTTTTATTTTTTCTCGAATGCGACCCTTTTCGCGTCCGACTGGTTGCCGGACCAGCTCGTGATGAACGCCTGGGCGGGTGTTGTCTTGCTTTTTCGTTGCATTGTTGATGGTTGGCTAGCAACAAGTGACGGACCGCGACCATCCAACCAGGATGGATCTTGGATGGGAAGGGAACGGGATGGATAGGCTCAGAGAAAAGGTACTGGTACCTAGGTTAGGAAGAAAGAAAGATGGAGGAGGAGGAGGAGGGACGGGGTTGGCGACGGTTCACGGCATTGGTCTTTCCCTGGCTGGCACAAGACGGGGGCCCCCCAGGAGTCAGGACCACCTGCTGGCTTGGGGATGTGGCGGGTTGGCCGGGTTGGATAGGCTCAGTGAAGTCAGCCATTCCCAGCCAGTCCATCCGTTGTCCGTCGTCTTCCCACGGCCTGTGCCATAGCGTACGTAGAAGGGACGGAATAAAATGCACTGACATGAGGTAAAAAGGCAGGGAGACAACCTCGACGAAAGCCGCAAACCTAGCTGGAAAGGGTGGTCTGGATTCTGGACGAAATTCTTGTTCAGGCTCATGCTTGTTCACGGCACCCGGGTTTGCCATGGATGTGGGTAGAGGTAGGTTGGGAGCGGCAGAGCGACGGAGAGCAGGGCCAGCAAGATGGTTGTATTGTGTTGTTCATCGTGCAGCAGCGCGATGCCTAGGCTAAGCAGCGCTAAGCCACAGCTTCCCCAGTTTGTTGACGTGAGGTGAGAATATGGAGCAAGCTAGCGAGTACGGGATAAAAAAGTCGAGGTACCTGTCCTTTGCATGGCTGCAGAGTATGGAGCCAGGTACCTTGGCTTTTTCTTGACATCTCTTGAGGTGCAGAAAGGAGATGGAACGGCAGAACAGCTCACTACACACACACACACACACGCGCGCATACACTACGCTGGTCTCACATCCTCGTAACTGCGTACCGCACCTCACTCGTCCCAAGGAAACAGTCCGGGGAGGGACGCAAAAGAGTGACTTCTCCTATTCCCATCCCGCACCATCTCGAGGTACCTCTCTCTTTCTCTCTCCCCCCTTCGCTCTCTCTCCTTCTCTCGCTCACCGTTCGTTGCCTCGTCTTCTCTACAGCAACTGTTCTACTCGGTAAGTAAGGTACCTTGCTCACGGTACAGCCTGTCTCTCCTCCCCTACCTACGTACCCTCAGCCCAGCTGGCCCATTCCCAAAGCTATTCTGATCCTCGCTCAGCCATCCTCCACTGGCGCTGCCATTCCCACTCCCACGCCCACACCAGGTGCCAGCTTCCCACCGCGCAAAGCCGCCAGCCCGTAAAGGACCCTTTTTTAACCATTTGCTGCCCCGTCCTGCATCACCACCTTCTCCCCTTCTACTCCTCTTGCCCCAGCCCTCCATCCATCCCCATCTCTCTGGTTTTTCCCTCCTTCGCTTCACCACTCGTTACCGGGGTCGTGGCTTTCCAGGCTGCAAATCTCGAACCTACAAGCGCCTTTGTTCGCGCTCAACCGCGTGACACATATCACTCCAGTCCTAACCCACTCGACCTAGGCCTTCCTCCTCCTGAGTCTCTCCCGACCGAGAAACATAATCAGCCCTACCTACCTTAACCCGCCTGCCACGAAGCAGGAAAAACCCTTCATCATTCCTCGTATTCCTACCGGCATCAGCTACTCCTGAGCTCGCCTCCAGCAACCATGGCTTACCGCGGGGGCACGAGAACGATTATGATGGCCACAACATGCAGGACCTTCCTCCTGGCACTGGCAGAGTAAGCTTGCCTCTACTTCTCCAAAAACCAAAAACTTTTCAATTGCTGATTTCTTCCCTCTCCAGTACCACCTGCCACCCCAGGACGAGGGAGTTGATGAAGCCGGCCAGTCTCTGCTGAGGGACCCTCACGCACCTGCTCCGTACGAGAGCCACCTCGGGGCTGGCGACGTCCCCGGCCGCCCTGTTTCCGCCTACAGTCTCACAGAATCATACGCGCCTGGCGCCGGTGCCCGGACACCAGTTCCCGGTGAGACGGCCTTCACCTCTGGGTATAGCAACGAGCTCGACTCGGATCCCAACGGCGGCTTTGGCTACGGCCGACCCGCCTCTACTGTCGACGCCGACGAGAGCTGGACCCGCAGACAGCAGCCCGGCAACCAGGGTGGCGGTCTGAAGCGTTATGCGACCCGTAAGATCAAGCTTACTCAGGGCTCCGTCCTGAGTATCGATTACCCCGTCCCCAGTGCTATCAAGAACGCTGTCCAGCCAAAGTACCGTGACGTCGAGGGCGGTAGTGAGGAGTTCATGAAGATGCGCTACACGGCCGCCACTTGCGACCCCAACGATTTCACCCTCAAGAACGGTTACGATTTGCGCCCCAGAATGTATAACAGACACACCGAGCTGCTCATCGCCATCACCTACTACAACGAAGACAAGGTGCTGTTGTCCAGAACCCTTCACGGTGTTATGCAGAACATCCGCGACATCGTCAACCTGAAGAAGTCCACTTTCTGGAACAAGGGTGGCCCTGCCTGGCAAAAGATTGTTGTCTGTCTCGTTTTCGACGGTATCGAGAAGACTGACAAGAACGTTTTGGACGTCTTGGCCACTGTCGGTATCTACCAGGACGGTGTGGTGAAGAAGGATGTTGACGGCAAGGAGACCGTTGCCCACATCTTCGAGTACACCTCCCAGCTGTCAGTCACGCCCAACCAGCAGCTCATCCGCCCCGTCGACGATGGCCCCTCGACCCTCCCTCCCGTGCAGTTCATTTTCTGCTTGAAGCAGAAGAACAGCAAGAAGATCAACTCCCACAGATGGCTCTTTAACGCCTTCGGTCGTATTCTGAACCCCGAGGTCTGCATTCTCATCGATGCTGGTACCAAACCCAGTCCCCGATCGCTGCTCGCGCTTTGGGAGGGTTTCTACAACGACAAAGACCTTGGTGGTGCTTGTGGCGAGATTCACGCCATGTTGGGCAAGGGAGGCAAGAAGCTTCTCAACCCCCTCGTCGCCGTCCAGAACTTTGAGTACAAGATCTCCAACATTCTGGACAAGCCTCTCGAAAGTTCGTTCGGTTACGTCTCCGTGTTGCCCGGTGCTTTCTCTGCCTACCGCTTCCGCGCCATTATGGGTCGTCCGCTCGAGCAGTACTTCCACGGTGACCACACCCTGTCCAAGATTCTCGGTAAGAAGGGTATCGACGGAATGAACATTTTCAAAAAGAACATGTTCTTGGCCGAGGATCGTATTCTTTGCTTCGAGCTGGTCGCCAAGGCCGGCCAGAAGTGGCATTTGTCGTACATCAAGGCCGCCAAGGGTGAGACCGACGTTCCCGAGGGCGCGGCTGAGTTCATCAGCCAGCGTCGTCGTTGGCTCAATGGTTCCTTCGCCGCCTCTCTGTACTCGCTCATGCACTTCGGTCGCATGTACAAGTCTGGCCACAACATCATCCGCATGATCTTCTTCCACATCCAGCTCATCTACAACGTCCTCCAGGTCCTCTTCACATGGTTCAGTTTGGGTTCTTACTACCTGACCACAACTGTCATCATGGATCTCGTCGGTACCGCGGTCGTTTCCGACGACCCCGAGGTTGCCCGTCATGGCTGGCCTTTCGGCGACACAGCGACGCCCATCGTCAACGCTCTGCTCAAGTATCTCTATCTGGCCTTCGTCATCTTGCAGTTCATCCTGGCTCTGGGTAACAGACCCAAGGGTTCCAAGTACACCTACATCGCTTCTTTCGTCGTATTCGGTCTCATCCAGTCTTACATCTTGGTTCTCTCGATGTACCTGGTCGTTCAAGCTTTCAAGAAGCCCATCGGCGAGCAGATCAGTCTCGACTCCGGTGCGGACTTCGTCGCCAGTTTCTTCGGAGGCACGAACGCCGCTGGTGTCATTCTCGTCGCCCTGGTCACCATCTACGGTCTCAACTTCATCGCCTCCTTCATGTACCTCGACCCCTGGCACATGTTTACCTCCTTCCCTCATTACCTCGTCCTCATGTCGACTTACATCAACATTCTCATGGTCTACGCCTTCAACAACTGGCACGATGTGTCCTGGGGTACGAAGGGTTCGGACAAGACTGAGGCACTGCCTTCTGCACACGTCAGCAAGGGTGAGAAGGACGAGGCCGTGGTGGAAGAAATTGATAAGCCGCAAGAGGACATTGACAGTCAGTTTGAGTCCACTGTCAAGCGCGCTCTGGAGCCCTACAAGGAGGCGGAAGAGGTTGAGAAGCCCGACATTGAGGACTCCTACAAGTCTTTCCGTACCGGTCTGGTCGTGACTTGGCTCTTTTCCAACACCTTCTTGATCATTGTCATCACGAGCGATAACTTCAACTCGTTTGGCATTGGCGTAAGTTGTACCCTCGCGCAGCAAAACAAGTGCATTTTACTGACTTTTCTTTCCAGGATACCGCATCCAAGCGTACTGCCTCTTACTTTAGCTTCTTGCTGTACTCCACTGCCATCCTCTCGTTGGTCCGTTTCTTCGGATTCTTGTGGTTCTTGGGCAGGACCGGTATCATGTGCTGCTTCGCCAGACGGTAAGCGGTTGGGAGATGTTGTCCCCAGACGAGCGATTCGCTTTCCAACGTCGACTGGGGCGTGTATCAGAGGGAAGACTGTACTCTTGCCAACTTTGGCTCATTGTAACGAATCCGCCGGTGTTTACATTCAGGGTATGTGTTTAGTAATAATGGACACGGTACTCGACAGATTCTTGATGATGTGGGCGGAAGACCAGTAAAAAGTAGTTTCGATTAAGCAGCATTCATGGCGTTCACACATGAGTACAATACCTTAGGTTTATTTTTCATACAATGATGATTCGAACCAGACCGTTGTCTAGAGCTTTCTGTGAAGTGCATGTTGTTATTCGAGAAACCTGAAAACCCATTTCTAAGCCGCAGCCTGAGCCATATGTAGTGGGCGATAATCGGCGTTTGCCCAGTTTGCTAGGGTAGAGAGCGCCACACATGCTCTGGTTTAAACTTGAATTGGCAAAAAAAGTTTCTCCATCGCTTTACTTACCCGAGACCATCTCTGTGAACCCTGTGTCATATCGAAGACTTCGCTCCTCACGTTCTTGGCCAAACCCTGACTGACCTCAGCCGGCAGATCCTCGGGGAAACCGAAACCTGACCCTATCTTATCTTAACCAGGAAGTGACCGCATTGACTGGTGCCCAGTTGGTCCGCTCCTCCAGGCTGCCTTCCGCCGTAGCAAGATCGCAAGATTCCGAACGGAGACAACTCTCTTTTTCGACTGATTTACTTAAGCGCAGGCGACACTTTTGCGGAGACCTGCATCATCCTTTCAGGCTGAACGACCTCTTGTACGCAGCCCAGGCCACACGCACACTCATCCTTCCTACCGACAGCCCCACCAAGAACCTCCCCTCCGCAGACCCCTCCAAAGATCGGTCAAGATGTTAAAGATTTGGTCTATGGTACGTGGCCGCCGAACCTGCCCGTACAAGTGTGGAGCTGACGTCTCTACAGAAGAAGGAGCAGCAGAAGGCTGAAAATGCCGACGCTGCGGGAGGTAAAAAGAAGAAGGTGACGGCTGCTCAGCTCCGGGTGCAGAAAGGTACGACCCCCCCAGTAAGGCCTAGAAAGCGGTAGCTTTGTCGCTGACGGTTGCATTCAGATCTTTCGGAGTTGTCCCTTGGTTCGACAATGAAGACCGACTTCCCGGATCCCGACGACATCCTCCACTTCACGTTGACGATTGAGCCTGACGAGGGCATGTACCGGACCGGACGATTCACATTCACATTCGACATCAACCAGAACTTTCCCCACGAGCCGCCAAAGGTCCGGTGCAAGGAGAAGATCTACCATCCCAACATTGATCTTGAGGGCAAGGTGTGCCTGAACATTCTGCGCGAGGACTGGAAGCCCGTGCTCAACTTGAACGCGGTCATCGTCGGACTCCAGGTATGTTTTGATCCGGTTGAACACCTCTGCGGGTAGAACACCGGCTGACTGATTTCCTATACAGTTCCTTTTCCTTGAGCCCAATGCCTCCGATCCCCTGAACAAGGAGGCCGCCGAAGACCTCCGACTCAACCGAGAAGGGTTCAAGCGAAACGTCCGGACCGCGATGGGTGGTGGCTCCGTCAAGGGCCAGAGCTACGATCGCGTTCTGAAATAAGGTCGTCGACGGTCTTTCGAACGTCCGTCATTTTGCTTGCGATCTCCTGGACGACACAACCACAACCCCGTGGACGAGACAGGAGACCGGAAGCCGCTTTGATACCATAGACGGACAAACAGGCAGGGCAGTTTGGTGACGGGTGCAGTAGGAGTGCGCATTTCGAAGGTCGGTGGGCATAAAAGCAAGCATCATCGTCCGGCGTTTTTAAGGAGACAAGATATCAAATTACGAAGAGGACAATTATCGGGCGAGACATCGTGCTTAGGTAGAGGGGATACGGTTGGAAGAGACTTATGGGCTTGATCCAAAGATTTGGCCAACGAACCGGACGTAGGGAAAGTAAGCTACACGTGGCTGCCCGAGTAGACGGAGGGAGCTTCGAGAGAGGTAGTGGTAGATGACTATGGAATGCAAAGAGTGTTGCTGTGTTACCGCGCCAGAGTACCTAACAACATCACCAAAAAACCAATCAACGGGCCGATATAGCGACCCTCGGAGCAGAGCAAGCTGGAAAGGAGTCACAGCTTCCCGAGACAGGAGTCATAGCAGCGCCGGTGACCGGTCAGGGTCCAGAGGGGAGGCCGCAGGCAGAGCTCAAGGGCCGTAGCCGGCGCCCAAGTTGTCGGTGAGATTCCGCCTGCGGCCCAGTGTGGTATGACTCCTGGGTTGGAAATTGAACTACGATGTCGCTCCGGGTGGGTCCTCTCCTGCCCCACAATACGCTGCCCAAGTGGTGAACACCCGCCTCGCCGGCAATAACGTTGATTGCTCCCCGAGATTCTTAGGTAAGGCCGCTGTCAAATAGGAACGGAACAAGTAGAGGTGACCCCCTTAGCCCAGCAAAACCCATGCCGTCTCCAAAGTCCACTGTACCCGCTCCCCCCTCCCCTCTCCGACTTGGCGCAGCTTGGAGCATTTGGAGGGCCACCCCTACCGAACCCCGGACGCTGGAGAGGGCTTCCCCACCAATTGGCACAGGCCAGGCCGCCAGACGCACGCAGGCGAAAGCAAGCTGGGCCGAAGTCGGGGGTCAGCTTGGCCGTCTCTACGCCAGTAAAAAATTTCCCAATTCCAAACGCCTTTTCTCATCGCTGAAACTCTGTTCTTCATCATCTCTCTTTCTTCTTCCTTACAATTGTCTTGTACGGATACCCTCTCCACTCCCCTCCCCTCCCCTCAAAACACAGTCAAGATGGCCTCCCGCAGCTTCTCCAAGGCGCTTCGCTCGCCAATGGCTCGCCAGTTGGCGGCCAAGCCTGCTACCCAGCAGCGCACCTTCGTTGCTGCCCGCAACCTCGTCCGCGCCTCTGCCCAGGTCAACAAGGCCTTTGCCGCCCCTGCCCAACAGCAGGCTCGCGGTGTCAAGACGATTGACTTCGCCGGCCACAAGGAGGACGTCTACGGTAAGACAGCGACAAGCCCAAAGAGCCGCCTCGGCGGAATGACTCGCGAGATGAGACGGAGAGCAATTTGCTAACGTCTATGCCCACAGAGCGTGCCGACTGGCCCCAGGAGAAGCTCTTGGTGAGTCACATCCACCAAAACTCCGTGAGAATGAGGTAATTGGAGCTAACAATCGTTTGCAGGAGTACTTCAAGAACGACACCCTCGCCCTCATCGGCTACGGTTCCCAGGGTCACGGCCAGGGTCTGAACCTCCGTGACAACGGCCTCAACGTCATCGTTGGTGTCCGCAAGAACGGTCAGTCCTGGAAGGACGCCCAGCAGGATGGCTGGGTTGAGGGCAAGAACCTCTTCGACGTCGACGAGGCCATCTCCCGTGGTACCATCGTCATGAACCTCCTCTCCGACGCCGCTCAGAGCGAGACCTGGCCCGCCATCAAGCCCCAGCTGGTCAAGGGCAAGGTGCGTGATTTCCAAAGCAACTGATGAGTCAATTGGCTCAAGCTGACTCCTCCTCCCAAGACCCTCTACTTCTCCCACGGCTTCTCCCCCGTCTTCAAGGACGTCACCCACGTCGACGTCCCCAAGGACATTGACGTCATCCTTGTCGCTCCCAAGGGCTCTGGCCGCACCGTCCGCTCCCTCTTCCGTGAGGGCCGTGGCATCAACTCCTCCTTCGCCGTCTTCCAGGACGTCACCGGAAAGGCCAAGGAGAAGGCCCAGGCCCTCGGTGTCGCCATCGGCTCTGGCTACCTCTACGAGACCACCTTCGAGAAGGAGGTCTACTCCGACCTCTACGGCGAGCGTGGCTGCCTCATGGGCGGTATCCACGGCATGTTCCTCGCTCAGTACGAGGTCCTCCGCGAGCGCGGCCACTCCCCCAGCGAGGCCTTCAACGAGACCGTCGAGGAGGCCACCCAGTCTCTGTACCCCCTGATCGGTGCCAACGGCATGGACTGGATGTACGAGGCCTGCTCCACCACCGCCCGCCGCGGTGCCATCGACTGGACCCCCAAGTTCAAGGACGCCCTGAAGCCCGTCTTCAACAGCCTCTACGACGCCGTCAAGGACGGCTCCGAGACCAAGCGCTCCCTCGAGTACAATGGCCAGAAGGACTACCGCCAGAAGTTCGAGGCCGAGATGGAGGAGATCCGCAACCTGGAGATCTGGAGAGCCGGCAGAGCCGTCCGGTACGTTGACATGCCCCGACCCACCCCCACACCTTTGAGACCACCGTAGCTAACGTAATCGTTTCCACAGCTCTCTGCGTCCCGAGAACCAGAAGTAAACGGTCGGTGTTTTTTTTTTGCTTTGGGAGAAGATGATGAAAAAATTTACTCGGAATTGGCCATTTCCTAACCACTGTGCCGGGGACGGGGACTTTTGTACTTTATATGACTGGATTCGAGGGGATCTGGGCTTGGTCAAAAGTTTGCATCTTGACTTTTGGGATCCTTCAATACCATTTTTTTTGCTGTCCACAAACACAATTTTTGTTGCTGCCTCAAATCGAATTTCAGTTACCTTTGGTGGTTGTGCCGTGATTGATGCCTGTGCCTCGCCGGGCACGTCGGCGGTTCATGCAGGGACCGGAAAGGGCTCTGACTCGCTGACGGCCACTGATAGGTTTTCACAGCTTGCGCTAGCAGGCCGCGACGCAAATTGGCGCCCCCACGCATCCGTTACTTTAACTTTGCGAGAGATACACACGTTGGCAGTCGGCGGTGTGGTGTTTGCTCCGTATTGTTTTCCAAGGCAAAGAGCGCTGGCACAGGCCGGAAATCGAATTCTGGTGCACTGCAACGACGTTGAGCACCGACGCGACAGTGAAGATGCTCTTGGCGTAAAGCTACCTCGATATGGTGCAAGATCATCGTCTGATGTCGGTTTCCGTGGAGCATGGATGGAAGCAGTGGTCTGCTGGTGGGAGCTCAATATCGAATCATCGTGCTTCGCCGGAGGCGGCTGAGGCAAAGGTGATGCAATGCAGCAGACAGACGACCTCCCATTGGGATTTTACACGCAATTGATCATGTTTCGTGCTGTGTTGCATTCCGGTGCATCTCCTGTTGCCGCGTTTTCACATGCGTCTAGGGGGATCAAACACATTGTGCACCGCGCAGTCAATGCCTAATTGCTTGAAGCTCAGACTGCCGAAGGTTAATTGATGGACCTTGGTCGCTGTCATGTTTAAGTACTGAGCTTCGCTGTTATGATTGATTGCGGGTGTTGAACGGCTTGAAGCACACGATGATTCCCTCGTCAACCACGCGCATGCCACAGGGCGGCGTTTCCTACCGCTGAGTTGAGAAGCGCACCTCACCGAACCACTTCTCGGTGAAGGTGGTGAGTCGGTGTGTGATTTGGCAGCCGTGGCGACCACCCACCAGGTGGGCCCCACCCCCTTTGTCCCTGCAGTGCATGCTTTCGGTAGTCGTTGCTCTGTCAACAGCAAACAAGCCTGGCCCCCTTCCCACCCCTTCATCTCACAAGCGAGTCCAAAATGGGTTTTGCTCGGCATCCCATCGAAATATCAATCAATTGACGACTCGTCTTTTTTAGTCTCCCGCGCTTCCAACGCTTGCAAACGAACGAAGACTCCTAGCTATCTTTGGCAAGCCTGCGCACCATGACGCCCTTGTCACCAACAAACGAATCTAGACTGAACATTGAGACGGCCCTGACTGAAGAAGCAACGAACCGCGGGTCCTTTGAGCACTACGAGGTCCACACCCGCACTGAGACAACCACGAGCGGCGGTAATGACAGCGGCAGCGACACTTCCTCCACCACCACCACAACCACCACTACCTCTTCGCATTTCGTAGACGACATCACCCGAGACCAGGAGAACATGCCACCCTCTCCCCCTTCGGATTCCTCGCCGTCGCCGCCCTCTGCGCCCGCGACGGCAATCAAGCCCCAGCGCCACTCTCGTGTCATGTCTGGGACTGCACCCTCACCGCTCAAAATACTCGCCGGCTCCGAGACATCGGACAAGCAAGCGCGGAGCCCGCTGCGCAAGACTGTCATTTCTCCCTCCGACAAGGTCAAACGGTTCCCGGTTAGAGTCAGCAACCCGTCAAACGAGTCGGCCCGGAACGTGTCTCCTCCCCCTCGCGAGCGCACCGTGAGCCTCGACGACGTGATGCACGACAACGAGGGCCTCAAGCACGCGATCCAGATCTTTGAGGACGACGAGACCGAGCTGGAGAACGATGAGACCATCGGCGACGCGAGCACGATAAGCACGGGCGAAGGCGAGCAGTACCACCACGAGATGGGCAATGGCTACGAGGACCAGAGCAGTCTGGCCCATCCCGACGAGTCCATGATGAGCACCTTCAGCGCCTTCTCCGCCGTGCCCAACCTGACCATGTTCGCGAAACTTGGCCAGACCCCAACAAAATATGCAAGCGTCGGCGGCATGACCCCGCGAGGAAGGCCAGAGACTGTGCACGAGCAGACCCCGCGGCAGCACTCAGACTCTGAGGGAAATTCCACCAACCTGTTGGATTTCACAGCCAGCCAGCGGTTCCCGCACAAATCACCATCCAGGCGGGGCAACACATCGCCCTCCAGAACAAACCCTAACGCTACCCCCGCCCGTCAAATGTCGAACCTTCTCGACTTTGACATTCCGCCCCTGCCCACCCCCCGCAGCATCCCGACCATCACGCCCAGAGAGCTTGAGAGCCTCAAGTCCAATTTCCTGTCGGAGATTAGCAGCTTGAAGGCGTCGCTGAGCGGCAAGGAAGCCGAGGTCCTCTCCCTTAAGACGGCCGTCGGCGATGCGGAAAAGCGGGTCGGCGAGAGCTTGGAGCAGGCCCGCGAAGAGCGGACGATGCGAGAGCAAATCGCCGAGGAGAAGGAGATGTGGGAGAAGAGCAGCCGCGAGATGGAAAAGGTCCTCCGCAGTGTCAAGGAGGAGATCACCCACACCCAGCGCGAGCGCGAGGAGCTTGAGTCCAAGCTCGCCGAGTGCGAGGGACGACGCGAGGCCGCCGAGACCATGGCTCAAGAGGCCGAGAGCAAGCTGGCCAGCTTCCGCGCCGGCAAGTCCGTCGACGACAGGGCTTCCTCGCCCAAGGGAGGCACGGCCGCGACTTCGAAGGAGGTTGAGATCGCCGTCGAGCGTGTGGCCCGCGAGCTGCATGCGCTCTACAAGGGCAAGCACGAGACCAAGGTCGCCGCGCTCAAGAAGAGCTACGAGAGCCGCTGGGAGAAGAAGGTGCGCGAGCTGGAGGTGAAGATTGAGGAGCTCACCGACGAGAACGAGAGGATCCGCCGCGACAACACCATCACCCGCGTCGACCCCGCGCAGGCCGCCGCTGAGGAGGAGTTCAAGGCCCGGGCCGTCCGGGACTCGGCTCACATCAAGGAGCTCAGCGCCGATGTCGAGAGGCTCGAGGCCGTCGTCATGTCGGTCAAGAGAGACAACTCGGAGCTTCGCGACCTCCTCGCGCAGGAGCGCGTCGAGAAGGGCGAGCTGGTGCAGCTCGCCGAAGAGATGATGTCGATCCAGACGCTCGCTCCGCCGGAGCCGCCCAAGCCCGCGCCGACCCCGGCTGCCACGCGGACGCCCGGACCCCCGGTCAGGAGCCACACGGAGACCAACTTCCGCAGCAGCATTGGCCGCAGCTCAGGCCTCAAGGCGCCCGGATCCATCGCCGCGCGCGGGTCGGTGCACGAGCGTACGGGCAGCAACGGCCCTGCACCCAAAGGTCTGCCGAGACCCCGGCCGATGAGCGAGTTCGGTCCGCGGAGCGGCATCATGAGCTCGATTGAGAAGATGGGCAACTACCGTGGACGGGGAGACTAATCCTATCCTTTATAACTTTGAACCTTAACTTATACTACTACGACGAACGAACGAAACCAAACGATGAACGGACAAAGCATTCGAGAGGAGAGAAAGAAAGACAAACAGGGGAGGAAAGAAGAAGCATTGACGTAACGAACTGGCGTCCACGGGTCTCCCTATTTTCTGGGCTTTTTGCTTTGGTTCTCATGATGGAACAGGGGCTTGGCTTACTCTGTATGACGTCTGGGCCGATATGAAAGGAGCGAGAGGGGCGACTCGAGGTGTGGCGTTTTTATATATATTATTTTCTTGTGTTGACGGTGGTTTATTCTGATGAAGCCGCCTGATGGGCGGATTTTTTTGTCTTTTACCTTTGTGGGTTCGTCGAGTGTTGGAGTAAGCAAAGCACCGTCCCCTCCCCCCCAATACCTGGCTTCGTGGTTTCTGCTACATCAACCACTTATCCCCCCTACCATCATAACTCTTTGAATCGGTAATGTTCAGTTTTATTGCACATATTATTATCTACTCTTTGGGTCCCCGTGTGCGTGTCTGCTTGGTGACGGGCCTGGAGCTCGTGGTGGCCAGTGTGTGTGTGTATGCTGTACGGTTATGCGGGCGCTGCAGTTGGCGGATTGTGAGGCTGGTCTGCGTTACTCATGAGGCTTAATCGTAGTTTCTGCGAGGTCAATCAACTCGGCTCTCCACCGCGTCTCGTCCCGTTGTGAAGTCTGCGTTGAGGATGTGTTGCCTCGAGGCGTCGGCTGGTTGGGCAACAGTGGACGTGACTGGCGTTGGTTCCGGAATCTTGAGGCCAGCGACCATCTGTCTGATATACCCAAAACAATTAAAGGGTGCCAGCGAGGTTACCACACTTTGACATCAAAACTCTTGTTCACTCGCCATATTTCTGAAAGTACGCGAGTTGCTGCTCGAAATAGCAGAGATAACATTGGTACGCTGCTTCTGGCTTTCTGCCACGACGGGCCGTGATGCACAGCAGGCGGGGTTACCCCTTTTCCAAACAAGAACTCTAGCAGAATCGTCGTGTGTCCATATCATCAGCTGGTCTCGATACCGTCGCTGAATATGTACCAAGGGGAATATGGCAATCCCCCTTCATCCTCAACCCACCTAGCCTCCATCAGCAGTTGATGAACAAGGTCTACGTCCCTGTGGCCACGGACCAAGGGACCCTTCTTAGAATCTCTTGTGCCATAGCACACCGCCCAAGGATAGCAACGCCGCGACGGCGAAGAAAGTCTCACTACTAGTCAGTGACCCCCCCCCCTCCAACCTACTCTCCCTCATCTTTTTCCATCGTACACATCAAGAATACTCACACGGAGAGACGGGAAACTGATGAGGGCCAGAACATGCGGACGTTGTACGCCATACCGACCAAGTCTCAGAGTGACAGCGGCAACCTCTCGTCGTACGCCCACTGCCGGAGATCCCGTAAGGCTATTTCCAGCTGACGAGGAGCCAGGCTTACAATGCACGATGGCACTTTCAAAGGCCACTCCAAGCAGTGATTTATATACTCATGGATCCCACAAACCCCCATGACAATGCGTTGCATAGAAGGCTCCGCCCATGGTAGACTACCCCTTCCGGCTGCGGTCAAGAGCCTCAACGGGATTGACACCCTACTGCCTCTCGCTATGGACGTTGACTATGACAGCTTGGCCGAGCCCGAGAGCAAACCGGTCATGCCAAAGGTTACACACCACAAGACGGGGTGCAAGCTGCCAGGCCGGCCTCACGCTGGAGGGGACAGTCTCACGCACTCGAGATCACCGTACGACCGGAGACTAGTCAACTGACTTTAACGATCTTGTTCCGCATCTGTAGATGTCTCTGATATATCCTAGTGTAAGCAACAGCCTTTACCGAAACCACCCCCTTCCCTTGAAAGCATGGCTAGACATAAAATCCTTCTGATTTTTCTTCTTTCTTTGATTTGGGTCTGATTGAAGCAGTTGTAACATACTCTGTCTCTCCAAACTCCCTTCCCCGTCTCCTCGGCCTCGACTCTACTTCACTGAAAATCAGAGTCTCTCGCTTCCTCCTCGTAACGCTTTACAAACACTGCTACATCACCCGCAAGCCATCACGCCTAAACTGTGGGCCGCTTAGCCCTGTCTGCGCCCGCCAGTACTCATCAACGTGATCTTCTGCTTCTTCTTCTTTCCCTTGCCGCCACCGCCACCGCCACCGCCACCGCCGCCACCACCAGCAGCACCTACTCCTACAGGAGTACTGCTGCTGGAAGGTCCAGGCTCGGTCACACCAAGTGCCTCCATCTGGAAAGATAACTCGGCGGCATCAAGGAAGTCTTCCTCCTTTAACCACCCATCGTCAACTTGACGGAGTGAGGCCGGAGCAAGGTCCGGTGACCCATGCACGACATGCGTGCCCCACACAGTCTTCTGTGTGGAGGGACTTGTCGAAATGGACGCCAAGTGCTCGAAGCCTGGACGAGGATCTGGCGGCGTGGCGCCAGCATGGCTTGTGAGAGGCTGGAATTCTTCCAGATTCAACGCAGGGACCTGATCTTCCTCAATGGGACCATATTCGCGTCTTATGGCCGCGGTGCTCTTGAATTGGGCAGCTTCAATCCTTTCGAACTGAAGCCTCTCGCGTTCCTCCTGTACGGCCTTGTCGCGATTCCGCTTCCTCCGCCGACCGATTTCGTCGGCGAACTTCTCAAGAACTTCTGCCGGCACGATGTCCGTCCAGTCGCATTCAAGAAAACTGATGCGGCATCCGTAGGGAAGATGCCCCAAATACTTGGCGCGCTTCCGTTGTACTTCATCCAATACATGGCCGGTCGAAATATGCTCGACCCGGGGCAACAACGTTGTTGGGAATGCCGAAAAGTCGCCGTACTTCGTCTTGAGGATCCTGATATCTAGGGCCGAAAGGTAGAGATGTGGCTGTGACGAGTAGAAATAGAAGTCAGGCTGGACGGTTTTGCTCTGGCCCGGCTTCTTGTTCGGTAGCATAGAGTCGTTCTTGCCGAGGTCCTGCACCTTCTCCTTGGCCGCATTGATAGCTCGTATAGCCTTCTGGGTCCATTCATCGTCCTCATGGTACAGAAGCTGGTCTTCGGTTCCCTGCTTCCGCAACGCTTCGATCTCCTCATTGTACTGCTCTGCCATGTAGTCTCCTGTTCCCTTCATGATCCGGGCATAGTCCAATACATTTGCCGCAAAATGCCAAGGCACATCGTCCGCTACGTTCAGCGCATCCGAGCCGTTCTCCCACGGCAGCGCAAGAGTCGACTTGGCTGTCCGGGCCATCAGCCGGAGCACCACGTCGTCCCCAACACGCGGCAGAGGGCTCTCCTGTCCCGCATAGAACCGCACGGGCCGTGTCTCGTGTAGGTAAACGCTGTCCTCACAAAGAGGGCATTTCTTCCATCTCGCGCCCTTTCCAGGCTTCGAGTCCTCGTCTGCAGAGTTCATGAATCGAATCAGACAGGGCAGGCAGAAAATATGACCGCACTTTGCCATTCTCGGCGCTACCGGCTCCGACAGGCAAATCGGACAGCTAGCGCCCTGTGATTCCGACGAGGCCAGAATCTGCAAAACGTTGTTCCAGTCGATGTGCACATCAGCATCGGCCGCTTGGCTGGCATAGTTGCCTTCCGGTGACACGACGAATCTGTAGTTTGCATGGACGTATCTCGCCTTGTCCACAGCATGGTGGCCCGAGCCGGGTCCCCAGGTCGGATTGCGCCTGTAGTTTCTGGCGTACGAATTATGGTCGGCGTAGGCTCGCGGTGGCAAGGTATAGTTGAGCAGGTGTGTAATGGAGGTCTGGCCTCGTCGACTAGAGGCATTCCGCAGAGCCCTAGCTTCGGCCATGGCATCGTCGTCGTCCGGGTTTGAATGTTGCCTAAACTCGCCCAACCCCGGTCTACGCTGCATCTTGTGCTGTTTCCGAGAGCCCTGGCCCTTTCGTGGTGTGGCGTGAGGAAGTGAAGGACTGGCTTGGGAAAGTCGGCGGTTGGATTCGAAGCTCGTGGTGACAGGGCCGGGTTGGACCGAAGGCGAATGGGAAGTCGATGCTGAGAGGGACTTGCCCAGATTGGACGGTGTCGAGCTCATATTCGGTTACCCGTAGGTGAGTACAAAACGGGTCGCGATTGTCTTTCGACGGGTGGAAGCTATGGTCGGCTGGGTCGCCTCCCAGGTCGATGTCGTGATGCGGTCCGCGCCAGGCAAGGGAAGGTAAGAAATAGCGAGTCGGAAGCTGGCACGCCCAGCCGCTAGATCCGGGGATCTGAACGCAAAGAAAGTTATCAAGTGCTTAAGACTACCGAGAGCTATGCTCCTCGGCCGAGGTGTTGAGAGTAGATGAAAGAAGATGTTGTTAGTAGAACCAGACGGGGTCCAAAGTGGACGGACCCCATGAGTGATAGGTGGGGATCAGGTAATCGGACGTTGAGAGGATGTAGCAGCAGCAGCAGCACTACGTAGAGTCATTGGCGGCGGGGCAAATCGAAGTTGCTGTGACGAACTCTGAGGGAGAAGCTCGGCATCCGGCGGTACGTACCTATTCCAGTAATGGCCCATATACATCACGTGATGAGGCCGCCGTCTTGACCCTGCGAACGCCGACAACGTACGTGCATCTCTCATTCTTGTGGCCAGTCCAGTTGGGACATAGAAATTGGCTTGGGCTGTATAGTTGATGGCAAGGTGATGTATTTGAGCTTCTGGCGTCGGATCTTTCTGCATCAGCTTCATTGACGTCAGACCTTTTATCGCAATAACAGCACCATCATCATCACCATCAGCAAACAACCGTAGTTCATCAGATTGGCTCAATTGATCATATGCAGATTATGTTCGAACGAGGTATTATGGTACAAGATAGTTCGATGCAGATGAGCCTTCAAGTACCAAAAAAACAAAAACAAAAAGGAGCAAAACGAGAGAGGCAGCAGCCCACATCATCCTCAATTAATTATAAGGGGCCCAAGAGAAATGGCCGTACTTCCAACGTCGTCGACATACGGCTGCCATGCCTCATTGTACCTCTTGAGCTCTTGCACATGCAAAGTGGACCCGGGGAATCATAGAAACGACAAACAACCCAAATACGCAGCACCCGACAACAAAAACCATGAGATCCGAGGTGAAAGACGGAGCCTCCCATCCATGCGCATCCTAACGGCGAACGTCATCATCATTAAGTCGCTCATTTGCTGTGCACTTTGCTCTTGAGCTTGCCAATGAAGGCACTGAGACGGTTCTTCTTCTTCTTCTCGACGCCCGACGGGCTCTCGGCCACCTTGCTGTGGCTTGGTGTTGTTGATTCGGGAACGGAGGAAGGAGCCTTGGCGGGAGTTGTGGGAACCTCGGGCTCCTTGGCGGCAGCGAGGGTAGCACCGTTGGTACCGTTGGCGGTAGCGGTAGTGGTGGTGGTGGTGATAGTGTGAGCGCCGTTGGCACCGTTAGCACCGTTGACCTCCTTCTTGGAGTCATCCTTGGTGACAGCGTCCTTGACCTCCTCCTTGGCGAGCTTAGCCTCCTCCTTGACAGCTTCAGTCTTGGTCTTGTCGCCCTCCTTGACCTCCTCCTTGGTCTCCTTGACCTCATCCTTGGTCTCCTTGACCTCCTCCTTCGCAGCCTCGACCTTGGGCTTCTCAGACTCGACCTTGGCCTTCTCAGCCTCGATCTTAGCCTTCTCAGCTTCCTCGCCGATAGCGGGGGCGGTCTTGACCTCCTTGAGGAGCTCAGCCTCAACTTCCTTCTTCTCGATGACAGCCTCGGTGTTGGCAGCGGCTTCGGGGCTCTTGCCAGACTCGGCGATGGACTCCTTTACAACGGTGGGCACCTCGGGGGCGACCTCCTCACGAGTCTCTTCCTTAGTCTGACCGCCAATGGCCTCCTGGACGCTCACGGGCAGGCTCTCCTTGACGGGCTCGGGGAGCTGGGCAGCGGCGTCGGTGGCAACGACGGAAGCCTGGGCAGCGGCGTCAGTAGCAGCAACGGAGGCCTGGTTGACGGTAGGAGCGGCAGCCTCGACAATGCTATCCTTGGCGTTGATGGCAGCGGCAGCGGCAATGCCACCAACGGTGGCGGCGGTAGCAATCACGGTACCGGCGGCCTCGGTCTTTTGGGTGCCAAAGCCAGAGGTGCCCTCGGATGTTGAGGGAGCAGCAGGGACCTTGTCAAGGAGCTCATCCTCAACAACGGCCTTGTCCTGGACAGCCTCGGGGTTCGCACTAGCCTCTGGCTCGGCGTGAGCCTTCTCCTGGCTCTCCTTGACAACCTCGGGGACCTCAGCCGTCTTGGTCTCGACGGGAACCTCGGCGGCCAACGCTGCAGTGGTGGAAGTAGGAGCGGCGCTATTGATGGTGACATCCGTGGTCGCAATGGGCAAGCTGGACTCGGGGATGGCGTTGCTGGTCACGGCGGGGAGGGTGGTTTCCTCCTTGGACAGACCGGGCAGAGCGCTAGAGTCCTCGTAGGCCTCTTTGTCAAGCTTGACCTGGTCGTTGATGTCGCCAGCCTTCGCAGACGGGGGAAGAGGTTCGCCGGGAGCGACGGTCACGGGCTCAGCAGTGACATCTTGTGCGGGAAGAGGGTTGACGCCAAAGGACTTGTCGAGCTCGTTGGCGGCGGGGGTGATGGGGAAGCCACCGGGGATGTCGGAGGGGGTAGCCTGGGGGAGCTCGTCCTCCTTCTTCTCGAGGGGAACGTCCTTGGCCAGGGCGGCGGTAGTAGACTCGGGGGTGACGGTGTTCATGATTGCGGCAGAAGTATCCTCCTTGACAATCTGATCGGGAGTGAGGAAGTTGTTTACGTTGCCCTCGTGGTCAGGTTCCTGAGGCGCAGTGTGATCTGTGATCCAATTGTTGTCGACAACAAACTATAAAGTGGGAAAGAAGAAGCAAGTCAGTAAAATTGCCAACAAAAGAGCACAGTGACGATGTTTTTAAGCGAAAAAACGGTGGGCAGCGCGACGATCCGGTGGTGAATGGGTCCCTGGGCAGATATGACGACGCGCGGCGAACCAAGTTTGGCCGATTAGCTGGGGGGCGCGATCTGGGTGATGCCGATGGTTATAAAGGCAGGTGAGCCGTAGCGCCAGATACGACATCCGTATCCGCCGGGGCAGGCGAATTGGCAGGGCGGAGGCCCGTTGCTCGTCTTCCTAGCAGCGCTGCGTGTTCCTTGGCCATTGGCATGGCTGTGGCTGCTGGTTCCTGGTCCCATAGCTCTTGCTCTCGCTCCCATGTGTGTGTGTGCGTGTGCCCTCGGTGTGCCGTGTTTGGTGGCACCTCAGCTAAGGTGGCTAGGAAGGCTAGGCCCGAAAGTGCTAGACATTCTGGCACATTGCTATGAGATGACAGGTTGCTTGGGTGGTCTGGTGGCTGGCTGCTGGTTCCTGCCGCTCTCCAGTCTCTTTCGCGCGCCGCAATTTGCCAAAAGGGCAAACACAGCTGCGAACGCGACGTGCGTTGCATGGGGGATCCCAGTCAAGTGCCGCTGTTTCTGCTCCCCACAATTCAGAAAAGAGCAGTGAACCTGGAAAACCTTGTTCATTGCTTTTTTCTGAACCATGGAAAGGCGGGGCACCAATCTGTGTCCTGTGGCGCGCCATCCAGTTTGTCTGCTCGGCTTCCGCCTGCCAATGCTGCCAATGATCCAATGCAATGTGCTCCCACCAAGGCAACCACGCCGCCGCCGTGCTCCTGAGCTGCAAGAGCTGCTGGGTTGCGTCATACCGGGCCGGGAGATTCGGCGACCAAGAAAGGGCAGCTCGAGACCCGCGTGTGACTCTTAACTCTTTTTTTTTCTTTTTCGTCCTTTCCCTCGCTCGTCTCCAATTTACCCATTACAGCGACATGCAGGGCTAGCCCGGGACAGGCTTTGTAACCACGAATTGCGCTGAGTGGGAAATAAGGAAGGGCAGAAAAAAATTCCCAGCGGGGACGGAACGGCGATAGCGCAGAATGACGGACACGAGCGAGACAGGTGGTAGCCTAGCAAGAAGACCAAAAGATCCGAGACCCGAGACCCGCGGCAGGAATTGGTGGTGGCCCAGCGCGGCGCAAAGATTGCGTGAGCGCCGGGGGCCTGGGTAAGCCAAATTGCGAAATGATGATAAAAGCCCGATCCTATGAGGAGCCGTAACCGAGCTGTAGCGTGCGTGTGTGTAGCTGACGAGGGAGCTGGGCCTGGAGCTGCCCGGGGTGGAAGCTTCCACCACTAGGTGGCCTAGCAGCACTCCCCTCTCCCCTCCCTCCCCCTCCAAGACGGGGAAACAGCGATTGCTGAGCAAGGGACCTAGATGGCGCACGGATGCTGTCGCGGGCTGGGCGAGGCGTCGCTGCTTTCGATCGGGACCCTCGTGTCGCTCTCTCATGCATTGGGCGCTGCTGCTCGCCGGATCTGCCCCTCCATGTTGTGCCCTCTTCCAACAATACAGTTGAGCAGCGATAAGGGAATCCGGAGTTGCCGCCAATGTTTGGTAATCCGAGTCCGTGTAGATGGTCCAATGGTCATGGGGAAAAGGGAAATCGCCCGAATTGGCGGCTACGAACCTTGTAGTAAATCTTCTGCGAAGCGTCGGGCAGGGTAACTGTCTTCTCGAACGAGTTGCCGACCTTGTCCAACTTCTCGCTCTTAGTCCAGTTGTCGAAGGTGCCGGTAACATAGACCTCCTCGGCCGGATGAGCCCTGTTGCGCAGACGGAGTGGTTAGCAAGGTTATTTGGTCCAGTCGAAGGCTTGCTATTGCTGCTGCTTCTTCTTTTTCTTCTTCCCTTCCTCTTTCTCTCCGGAGACGATGCGATGCCGTGCGTGGATTTGCTCTGGGCGGAACTATATTCTTTGTGGAAGAAGGTTCACATTCCACATGGCTATCGACGGAAACATGCAAGCCAACCGCCGTTCCAGGACAACGGGGCACGAAGCAACGCAAGGAGGGGCGCAATGTCTCTCGCAGCATTCCAGGAGTGAGTAGGGAGAGCGGCGTCGACGGAGAGAGGGAATGCGGGCGGAGCAGGCGAGGCATACCAGGTGAACTTGTAAGTGCCCATTCTGACCGATTTAACAGGCTTCTTCTTTTTTTTTTTTCTCTTCTTCAACGAGAAGTAACTAGGATTGCTCGGATCGGCGTGAGGAGATTCGTCGTCGGTAGGAACTGTGTGAAAGGAAAGGTAGTTAAGAATCGATGCTTGAGAAGCAAGGAGGAAGGAGGGGGGAGGAAAAAAGAGGAAGGAAAAGTCGAGGGATTAGAATTGAGCAGCGAGAAGCCCCAAAAATTGCGCGAGTGGCCGAGAAATAATTGCTGGGGCCGGGGGGGTGGGAAGTGAAAAGTCGGCACCGCAAGTCCCCCAAGTGCAAGTCCAGGTCCAAAAGAGAAGGAGTGTTCGTCGTCGTGGGTGTGGTCTGGTCTGGTCTGGTGTGTCTGAAGGTTGCAGGCACAGGAGGCGGTCATCGTCCCTCGTTCGGCGCCAGCGCCTGTCGCTGCGCGCTGGACGGACCGTGGGCGTGGGCGGTCTGGAGTCTGCGGGCTGGGCTTTGGCTCCACCACCTTCGCTGTGCTTGCTCATCAGCGGTGTGTCGTTGGGGATATGACGACAACCTACCGGCTTGGGCGCTTGCTTACACTCTAGTCCAAGGTTTTGCTTTGCTGAGCTCAGGATGCCCGGTCTTTGTGTTGTCGGTCAGTCGGTGAAGAGAGTTTATTCATTGGTTCTTCAACGGCTGCAATGCTGTCTCTGAGTCCTCCCAGCATCTGCAGTGGAGCTTCTCTTGGTCTCTACTAAAAACGACAATCCATACTGACGGCGTCCTTGCGATGCGGACTCGCAACAGGCCGATGCCATGACCCGGAGGCTTTAATGGCACGGCCAAAAATATCCCAAAAGTTCCGTGGGCATGCTTAGTCTCGAGGAAAAGTCGAGAAGGCGAAAGAGTCGCCGTCACAGCGTCGCAGTGTCACAGAATGGGACAAGCGTTGCAGTACCTTCCCTCCTCAGCGAAACTCTGAAATCAGACATGGATCCTGGACAGGCAGGGGCCAAACAGGCCAAGGAGATTCCGAAGGAAAGAACGCCTCAGTCACCACCAAGAGACAGACATATGTCGCCTTCCACGCTCTCGCTCTCTATCTTTCTCTCTCGTGCGCGCGCGGGGGGATGGATCACTCCAATGCAGAGGCATCCTACCTTCAGGCAGGTAAGCCTGAGGAACCCACGCCATTGCAGCAATCCTCATGTATCGACACCCAAACATGGTATGCGCCAACGTAGCACCCATCTCCTTGATCCACTTCCACGCCAGCAAACCAACACCACAACCATCATCACCACCACCACCACCATGATCTGCGAACTCTTCGACGCCCAGCCTCCTCAAAGACATCCCCCTGCTTCACCTCGCCTCCTCACCGTTTCTTGCCCGCGTCGCCTCCCCTTGCCTTGCGTTACCTTGCCGCAGGACCTGCGCTATATCCTGTGCTAGGGCGGCCGGTACAGGCCAGAAATACTCCGTCTGGTGTGTGCTTCAGACGTAGGACGAAGCTAGGCTTGCGGCTAATCTCAGCGGCTTCGAATATTCAGGCACGACCGCAGGAGACAACGGCACACATGGCACGCCAGCGTCGTTCTCGCCATGGCTGTGGAGTTGATGAGCCGTTGCCCAAACCGACTTTCTGCAATTCCACTACGTCTGTCCAGGGGGTTCTGCGCCTAATTTTGTCTCTCGTTGCATTTGTTGGCGGTTTTTTTTGTTTTTTTGCAACCGTTTCCCGCCCGGCGCCAACGCTGGCTGGGTTCTTGTCCAAGGACCAGCTTAACGCCGCTACAGCACTGGTTCCTATCGGACATTCAGGGCCGAGATCCTTGACTACCAAGACAGCCCGTCAGATTCCGCCCGTCACCACCTTGGCCCATCTCGCCGAGTGCCTTCCTTGCATTGTCTGTAAGTCAACCATCTGTAGCGATTCTCCTACGAGATGGTGCTCTTCGTCGGGCATTTTGTTCGGGTGCGATTCCACCAAACATGATCTGATTTTTCCAAGCTTCGTCGTTCCCCTTCCCTGATCCTCCTGACCACCCAGCCACCTCCGGAAAGCCCGATTCTCCTGCCATCTCGACTCGCGGAGGCATCGCTCACATCACATCCCCGCGCACCCCTGACTACAAACCAGCCACCGTACGCCAACGCCAGCGCCAGCGCCAACCCCAATCTGGGGCTGCCGTCAGCCGCTGCAGCTGCCTCTCTGACAAGCCGGTCCGAACACAAAAGCCCTGCAACTGTTGACATAGCAGACGTAACCAAACCGAGCCGACCATCTGACTTTTCGAACGCTTCATTCCCTTGCTTTCTTCTTGTTCGAAACGCCCTTTTTCTCACGAACACACCGTCAAACCAAACCTCACCCTCGCATCGTTAGGTGCCGCCTGCCCTACCTTGTTTCCTCGCGCTCAGTAGTCTCCATTTAAGCAAGGCGTCAAAAAGCTTTGGTCACCTGTTCCCATGACTTGCCCCCGTTGCAAGATTGCAAATAAGCCAATAAGTGGCCCTGTTATTTCCCGTGGTCGACCGGATTCACGGCCGGATCTCATCTCCCAAGATCTTACCACACCAAAAGAATTGCGGGGAAGAAGGGTGGAAGCTTTGGACTCAGACAAGGACGGTTCCCCAACTGAGACAACCACCTCATGGTCCTTGCCATTTACTGGATCAGATCACGCACCCAGCCTCCTCTTCTCCGTGAGCCTTAACCACGGATGACGATGACCTACTTCACCCCCAATTGTGAATTTCTTTACTGGATGGGCGTGGCCCCATAAGTGATGTAAGAGGGCACTTGAACGCAAGCTTCGGCAATCACACTGCAGGAGAGGCTGCCTTTTGGGCCTCGTTGAGGCTTCTTGGTGTGGTGGTGATCGACTCACCTAGCACATCCTTGCCAGCTTCCCGCTCTTGTCAACTCGGGTGTTCAACCAATGTCGCAATGCACAAACTCAAAGACACTGCTCTGGTGGGCACGTGCCTTTGGTCCTGTCGTCTTGTCCAGCAATGCTTTCCCGCCGTGTTCGGCATGATTCTTAACCTCGACACGCTCGTCGATTCCAACCTTCTCGAAACAGACGAACGTTCGTCTTGACCTCTAAAGGCGGCTGCATGCCCCTCAAGGTTTCATCGGCGCGTAATTCCGCTCTCTTTACGACGGTTTTGCTCTCAGGGGACGAGGCGAACAGATCACCCCTTCCCCAGAGTTTTAACGCAAAGTCGACGTCAGAGCTCTAGCACGTGTCAAGCATCAGACGCATCCTCGTTTCGTTTCGAGTCTCGCGCTGCATTTTGCACAGCCAGATACGTATCTCGAACTGTCGGGGTCTTCCATGTGGAACTCATGCATCTTCCGCTTCTACCCGCCGCAATCGGCTGCCAGGTATGTATGCTCGGCGTACCTGAACGCTGCGCGGTGTTCTGCATTGATGTGCCTGACGGCTCTCATGCCTGTTATGCAGTCTCAGTGGCGATGTCATCCCTCGCTCGCGATCGGATCAAGGCAGCTCAAACTTTGATGGTTTCTAGACCTTCTGCACCAATGTCAGGTCCGCGTGTGCGCGTGTTTACACACCATTGCACACAAACGCATTACGGCCAAGTTGATGTTAGCCTTTACCACGTCGGGTTGTTCCGTGCTGAGAGGGTGTGGTGCTGGATCTAGGCGAAAGTCACTCTGAGGCATTGCTCTCCGATAGATAAATACATCTTAGAGTCAACGGAGCTACACCAACGAAGCCGGGCGAGCTGCTTCGCGCTGTTACTGCATGTCAAGAGCTTCATGTCTTCGATAGCCCGGCAGAATGAAGGCCCGGGGTCTGGTTGTAAGGTAGACCCAAGCCAAGTAGAAGCAACCCTCATGTTTTTGTGCACAGATTGACAGAAGAAGGCTGAGCTGGCCAATTTCGAGATTGCCACCGGACCCAAGCCCTCATGGGACTGTTGGCTTCCTCTGGACTGGCATATATTTCGGTTTTCATGGGTCATCTGCCGTGCGAACGGGATCAATCAATGGAGCTTAGTTACGGTAACGGGTGATTTCATGTTCCTGTGGTTAAACCTGCTCTTGACGTTGTTATCACAGCATTTATCGAGGGCAGGGTGGAGGCCGGGTGTGGTTCCTGTTGGAAATGTACATCTATAATGCAAGCAAAGTAATCCCACTACGACAGTACGCACTCTTCCCCCGAACTGTCCGTCCCTGGCGTATTCGTTGATGTATCCTCACCAAACGAGCGTCGTCTTCAGTTATTGCCGGGTGCCCGTTATAATCATGGACTGTTCATATTCGTAATTCGCCGTAGACGCCCGCTTTTATTGTGTCAGTCGCTGGCGGAGAAACGTAGTATCGTTGTGATACCCTGGCAAAAGCTGCCGACATCAATCATGTACGCTGGTTTGTGCTATTCTCCAGCCAATATCTTGATTCTGACAGAAGTTACCGTTAAGAAATTTAGCCGTATTAGTTAATGAACAAATCAGACTATCCAGGCTGCCCATCTTTCGTATGAGGGGTACACATTACAGAAAGGGGCCAACGGCACCGCCAGAACCGGGAGCCTGATCCCGACACAAACCAATGGGTTTGACATGGAAACCACAAGCAGCACCTAATTTCCAGCACGGTGTGTTTCCCAGATATATACGAGACATATCAGTTGGTCAGTAGCCTATAAGGAGGTCTTTGCTCGCTTCTTGCAACACTAATTGGCCAGGTGGTCGAGGAACACCGAGGTACGGTTCCCGCCTCTTTAGTCCTCGGAGGCCCTTCCTGTGCTCGTATATTTAACTCTTGGTAATAAAAGCTGGTCTTTAGTTTCTTTCATAGTTTCTTGGTCGCCTCTGGGTAGATCTTACGCGTAAGACCAACCCCTTGAAAATGTTGGCTTCGCTATAAGGGTCAGAAGGTCGAAGAAGGGGTTGCGTGGCCTCGCAAGAAAGGCTCCAGTTACCCCAATACTTCTCGGAAACTTGAATCATAGTTTCGTCGAAGTGTGGTGAGTAGATGTATGAAAACAACCTACAAGGTCAAGGGATTCAAGACTATGGCGGAGCTCAGGACAGCCTGCCACAACGGGCTTCGAAGCAAGGCTGAGAGGCGCAGAGGTCTCGGTACATGTAGCTCTTAAGGGGCTCGGGAGTCTGAGGTTGAGGTTGATAGCGTCTGAAAAAGTAGTCGATATCCAGAGTTGAGCAGATGAGCCCATTGTGCCAGTCATCGTTTCCTTTCTAATCGCTCTCTGTCCTCAACGACGTACAACCTCGTACTGACGGCCTTATGTAGATGGCAGCCATGGAAGTGAGGGCCGAAGACAGTCCCCCTCCAGCCCGTGATTCATAGTTGTCCTGGACAAGAGAAAGTGGGCATGATCTTGTTCACAGGTTGTTCCCCCGAAGTAAACGAAGATACGCGACACTGATGCTGTCTGCCTGTATCGCGGAAGGGTTGGAACGCCGGGAATCTTTTATACATGGAATACGGAATGGCGTCTTTGTCTATCGGAACAGCTAGCTTGTATTAGTTTCAGCTTCCTGTTTTCGTCGCTGAACCTAGAACGGACTGTTCTGCGTGTCTCGTTGGATTTGTCTTTAACATGGCTACCTACGACAACTCCTTCAGAGGCTCTTGTGCTCATCTCAATAACTCGACCGGTTTCTCAACAACAGACCATGTTGACGAGTGTAGAAAGTCTCTTCTATCCACATCTGGCGATCTCAAAGGACTCACGCGACAAGATTTGTTGCGGTCCGTCCCACCTACGATCCTATTTGTAATCTTCATTTCCGCATATATTCTTGACCTGGTTGGTCTTCATACTACTCGCAAAAAGCTTGGTGTTTGCCTATAGTCATATAATCTTTAAAGTATTCTGGTTGAGTTGAGATGTCTGTGAGACTCAGTGAACGTTGCCTCGCAAAACACATGTTGGTAAACTGGACATTGACCCGCGTTTTCAACAACACAGTCGCGCTTCATGGCCTGTGACGAGTCACTGCAGACGACCTCATTGATGAACTCCCCGGGAAATGTTTGAGGAATTCATATACGAGAAAAATCTGGCCGAATTCTATTCTGGCTCATCTAAACCGCAGTTGAGGCGGTTGCCTTGTAACGTCAACGGAAGGATGACATGGCCGCACGGCCACGACGAGATGGTGGTCATTGCGGGCCAACCGGCAAACAGCATCCATCTTTCACAAAACAACTGAATATCAGAACGGCGCCGTTTGTGTCCTAACATAGGTGACTTGCCATCGTCAAACCCACCCCGAAAACGGTGACGGTGAGCAAGGGTCTATGCCGGGGTCACTCTTCGTTCCCGAATCCGGGGCTTTAGGCACAAGAAGCCGACCGACATAGCTGGACCAAACGGAGGTCTATAAGCCTAACCTCGTACGAGACTACAAGCCCTTGCCCATGGCCACGTAACTTTCTCAAAAAGAGGGAGAGGGGGGGCTGTAAAAGGCCGGCCATCAGCCTGTCTGGTCACGAGACTCGCGGTTGGTCGTTACCACTCTGGTAGCGACGGTCTCGTATAAGCCTGTCCGAATAACTCCATCGATGGACCTGAAGAACCCCTAGCAACCTCGTTTATCAATCATCTATAGCCCCCGGTCTGCATTTATCCCTGCTTACCGTGTGTCATCAAGTAAACGACTTCCATGAGGAGGGGACGCAGGCTGGTAGAAGACGCAGTGTTTCCCGCAAAACTGACCAACGCGAGTCGCTTCTTACCGTCGAAGACCCTGGGCCAAGAAGAACAAAAGCCGCTCTTGCGCCCGCCCGGAAACTCTGCCACGCGTACCAGTGCCCCCATGTCACGCTCGCCATTGCGCCTACGACGGCTTCTCGGTTTTCTACAGAGACCAAATGGACAGACGGAATAGATCCGCCCCAAACTCATACCCAACCCCGGACCACCAGAAACCCCCTTGCCCAGAAAAAAAGTATCAAAGGGAGATTGATTAGAGACTCGGTACCCTTCAGTCGTCATCGGGCCTCGTCGTCTCGCTCGTCTCGGCGAACCCGGAAAACGTATTCCCTAATGGGCCGAAGTCGCTTGACATTTCAAACCTCACCCCCCTATTCCGTTGCTGCCTCTCGTATAATTCGGGTCAGTAGGCGTTTTGACCGCCCACCCCGAAGGTCAGCGGAATGATCAAAATTCACTGGGTGCTGCGTCTATCTCCCGGCCCTGCCGAGGCGATCCTTGCTGCCGGGAAGCCGGTTATGCTACCCGACCTTTAATAAACACCCTTGGCGGCCTTCTCCGTAGCCGGTGAGGTATACCAGCCCAGGAAAAACTTTGAGATTATTTTAATATGCTCTTCTTGATGATATGCAAACACCGAGTCGTCTGTGTTTAATATGATGAGAAGAAGCGTCGAGTATCCTCAGACTCGGTATGAAGGAGTGCCACCCTCGGCCACATGTTCTCGTCTCAAAAGACGAGCAGTCTGCGGGATCTTGGGAGCAAATGGCAAGACCTAGATAGGAAGGCTGTTCGTGTACTTTCTTGTCAGTAAGTTGCTTTGCCATTGCAGTCTCCCCCCCAAGACTCCCCACGGTTCATCACTGGTCCCTGTGTTTTCAAGCCACTTGCGTATTCTAAAATGCTTGTATATTCTATATCAAATGCAACCTCATACCCCTACCCAGTGTACATATGCATACTCCGACCAACCACGCCTCAACGCCCTCTCCTTCGGCCGTCCCTGTTTCTCTCTGTGAGTCCTGTCTCTTTCATGCATACCACCTCCACATGATTCTTCTTCTCCGTGGTCATGATATCGTTAACTATACAATGCAAATAGGTATTTATGCTTCTAGCCAGGTGCCCTTTGTTGCGTGTGTGTGTGCTGTGACCCATGCCTAAGAAAACGAAAAGAAAGCATGTAAACAAAAAGACAACGCAATGCTGATGCGATGCAAGATTAGATGTCCCTCAACCCCCAACCATCGTCTAGAACCACTTCCAGTTGATGCCTTCCTCTAACTTCTGCAACACACCTACCGCGTCGACGTACAATCGAGTGCGCCCGCCAAGACAATCCATTTCTAACCACCTCCGCACGAGCGACACGACAGGCATGGCGTCCTTTTTGGAGCGCAGCTTCGCGACATCCTTGGCCCGCATGCTCGCAACAGTGCGGATCCACCGGATTGCCGTGCTGTCACAATCACCCAGCTCGCTACCTTCGGCGGAATCTCCGCGGCTCGCTCGGTGCCCATAAGCCCAGCAGATGAGCGCACATACGTACATGCCCCAGTAATCCGAGACGTCGTCCTTCCACATGCGGGGTCGGCCCATCTCCCAAGCATCCATGTCGTCGTCGTCGGAGTCCTCCAGATTCTGCTCGGCGTTGCCGTGCTCCGTAAAGGCACGGAGGGCGCGGCAGGCGAAGACCACGGCCACGGCAGCTTCCCCAGAGTCGCCCCACTCCCTGAGCCGCTTCTGGTGATCGGCGAAGGACTTGATCTGCAGGACCTTCTGGCTGAAGATCCAACTGTCTCCGGAAACGGCGAGCAGGTCGTGGAGCGGGGTATGGTGCAGAGCAAGGTAAGTGTTTGCCACGGGGCAGTCAGGGAAGATGTTAGCCATGCGGAAGGTCTTCGGTTCCAAGATTTCCCTTGAGGGTTTCATTTGCGCCGGATCATCGCGAGTAGGGAGTAGAAGTGCCTCGAAAGCCAGAATCACTGCGCGATCGAAGAGGCCATGGGTGTTGATGCTCGTTCTCGATAGTGTGTCAGGGTTGATAAAGGAGAGTAGCGTTTGTTTATCGGAACAATCGCCCTTGGCCGAGACCATCGCTGCCCATGCATCTGCGCTTGCTGCGTCCCAGAGGTCCTGGGTTGGGCCGATGAGAGGGATGTTTGGTGGCATGCCATCATTGGCAATGTCGAAGCTACGGACACGCTGTTGCTCCAGGTAGACTGAACTGTGGATGTCCAAAACAAAACAGGCCGAAAGAAGGCGACGGCGAGCCTCGGTATCGAGCCAAGTGTGCCACCTGACACTGTTGGATCCTGTCTGGGGGATTGCCCCGAATATGACGGCGTTGTCGTAGACCTGAAATCATGGTTTAGAACATGTTGCTGCGAAGTAATCCAATAAGGAAAGAAAGAAGACAAAGCCAACGAAGAAATAGACTGAGAAGCTAGAAGAAATGAAGTAGAGCAAAGCGTCATATATGCAAAGAGGAAGAGGACTCACCCTTGAGTAGATGGACTCGAATTCTTTCGATGGCCTGATGGCCGCACGTCGGCCGCGGAACCGTGCGAAAAGCTCACATAGCAGAATCGCTTGCATGACAGGTACATCCCACTGGAGGAACTGTGACCCGTTTACTATTAGCGAATCGTTCTCAGACAGTGAGATGTTGTTGACTTACGCGTCTCGATTGTTGCCAGGCATACTCATGCAATTGATTCCCCCTGATGCGATCCTCCTTGGCACTCATATACTGAGTAGCGACTGCAGCCATGGCGCAACGGAGCACGTCAACCTGCTCCGCCGCGGCCTCAAAGGTCCTCCTGTGAACAATGGGGAAAGAGTGGTGGAACTTGTCCCAGTAGACCTCGAGGTAGGCGGGAATGGCTTTGCAGACATTTGCAGGAGGCAAAGGCAAGGAGCCCTGCACCAGGGCTGGGGCCGTCAGGAGACCCAACGTCACCTCCTTCTGACGGCCCAGACAGGCAAGTGAGTTCATCATCCGGTCCGACGGTAGTGCTGTCGACGGAGTGACTAGAGTTTCAGAAGATTGAGCCGATGCCGACGTCACCGGCGGGGACAGGCTACGAACAGTATTGGGGAAACGGGGTTGTTGATGAGGGTCGAAAATCGTCTGCTCATCCGGGTATGTGGACATGGACATATCGAGCATCTGGTACGTTTGCGGGTTGCCGAGCTGAGGCGAAGTCGGGTATTGGTAGAGCATGGGGTTGGTTGTGGCCATGGAGTCGAATCCAGTGCCTGGACAAGGTGAAAGAAGGCTGGTCGGCCAATCGGTAGTAGAAGTCCTTGCCGCCGGCCAGAATACGCGTCGTGTATTATCTGAAGGCGTCGAGTACGTGCTGTCAGAGGCAGAGGACGGCCAGCCTCCATGATCCTGGGCGTGCGAAAGCTCAGGCAGTCCATCCGATGACATCTGTAACCCAAGTCCCTCAGTTTGGAGATACAATGAGGGGAATTCGGGCGTCGTACGTGGCTGGTATTCGATAGAACCAAATGTGGGAGGAGTATTGAAACCACTGGTTGGCTGCTGCATCAGGGGCTGCTGCGCAGACTGAGTAGACAGAGAGTAACTCCCGCCGTATCCAGGGCCACCGGATGACGGGCGGTAGCCTTCGTTTCCTACGTGAGGAGACACTGACTTGCTGACATCTGGTGCGCTCATAGACGGATACGTGCCAGCATGTGACATCCCGGGTGTCATTGGGAGGCCCTGGGTCGGGGTGGTTGCGTTCGGCGGATATCCTAGCATGGGATGTTGCAAGCCCAAGCCCCGAACTCCTCCTTCCAAGGAGCCGGCCGAGGTCCTACGGCTTTGGCTGGCCCCTCTACTTCTGGATATCTTGTCTCCTTCCAGTTCACTGAGCACGAGTTAGTTGTAGTTTACACTCGTTCGCATTCGTTCTTGGAGGACCAAACGTACTGTCGTTGCTGATGGCGCTCCAGCAAATCCTTGCGGTGGAAAGCCCTGTCACAACCGGGAACGGGACATGCATACTGAGGAGTCTCGTGGCTAAGCTGGTGTCGTCTGGAATCGGAATTGTCAGTAAAACCGCAGGCCACCACGGCAAAATGCCACAACCATACCTCAGATGCTCTGCGCGTGTAAATGTCTACGGCAAGTCAGCAGAAGCCTCGGGCTCTCCTTCAATAATGGTCGGACGTACCTTGGGAGGACGGCAAATGTCGCAAGTGTGGACCTTCATGCCCTTCTTTGCGCGACTAACCCGACCGGTGATGGGAGTCAACTTGATAGGAACGTCTCCCCCGGCCGGTGCCTGGCCAAAATGTCGCATGGACTGGCCAGAAGGCGACCCTGCGTGGCCGTACCCGTAGTTTGACTGCTCCATGGAATCGGTACTAACGTTGCTTCGACGACGAGCGTTTGGTGGCCGGCTTGACGAAGATGACGAGCCGGGAGGAGTCGACTTGGTGGTGTGCGAGGGTGAGCTACGCTTCGTGCCTTGTTGTGTGCTTGAGTTATCTGCTGGTTCTCTGCCTATCGCATAACTTGAGTTGTACGCTGCGTTTGGTGCCAAGTAGGATTGATGATGGCTGCCTGATAGAGCTGGGACTTGTTTGTTCTTAATAGTGTGGGATTCGAGTTGGTCCTCGTCCACGTTCATGATGTCCTGGAGGCTAGCCATGGTTGGAGATTCCCGAAAGGGAAGTGAAGAAGACTGAGATGCAGAAAGGTTGCGCCCAGAGGGGGAACTGCAAAGGCAGCAACGGAGCCAAAGTTAGTAATACACAGCCCCGGCTGAAGGCTCTCCTTGGAATAGACTGAAGAGTTGAGTGAGTGTAGTTGGAAGCAACCCCCAACACCAAGGTGAAGACGCAGTGTGAAGATGGGGGGCAGTCAGGGTCCAAGAAGGGGGGTGTCGGCGTAGAAGGGAAGGCCAGGTAAACTGGGGTGGATGAAAGGCAGTCAGGTAAGGTACGGTACGGTACGGGTAAGGCAAGGCAAGGCAAGAGCCCTGGGGCGGGCGGTTGCTCGACTGTCAGCCTACAGTATCCAACTGGCGGGGGGTCGAAGTGAGATGCGGAGCGGTTGGTCCTCAGCGGAGACGGTATGCAATGGAACTGAACGATGAGAAGAGACAAAGATAGTGGTGCTGCTGCCGCTATCACTTGTTGGAGACATTGCTATATTGAGAAGAGGTAGATGCAAGTTCGCGTGAGCGGCAGAAGAAGGGGAAGATGACAGCTCTTCAAGGAGGCTGTTCTCAGAGGCCTCGCTTCCCCTGTCAGCTGCGAACATGGGTGTAAAGGGTGTTGGACACGGAGGTTGCTGAGAAAAATGCAAGGCACTCCTTCGAAGGGCATCGACCGAGCTGGGGTTCGGTCACCCACCACTGTCTTTGGCCTCGGGTTGATTGGTAGAGCGGCCAGATGCCTGTCATACGACTCAGCCCTCTCAGGCTGGCAGATGGGCCCCCCTGTCCCATGCGCTCCACGCAGCGTCTCTCCCCAAGTTTGGTGTGTGAAATTGACGCGATGCCACGGAATGAACGCGTCTGGGGTGTCTGCCACCACCACGGAAAAGCCGCGGTTAGGATGAGGTAGCCGCGGTTGATGACGAAAAGACGGTGACGATGCCATTTTGACAATGTCTCTCCGTATCGTGTCTCTCCTCTTTGTCTGAGATCTGAACGAGATCGACCGCATCGCATGCGTCGGCGAGACCCAAACCCACACCGGGGTTTGACTGGCTAGCAGACGCCTCATTTCCATAACCCCTCCAAAAGGCCCATAAGACAGAGGTCTATGTATGTTGCTGACATAATGGCGTTGCCAATGGCGGAAACGCCTGTACCACATAACAGGGCCACGAAATTCGCACGGGAAGGGAGCCAGAGATCTGTCTCAATAGGGAATAGCAACATGCGGTAATGGCGTCACTGCATAGATACGAGAGAAAGAGCGGCGCCAAATGGAGCGCGGTCATTCCGTTTCCCACAGTAGCGGCCGCTAGCGTCCGTGGTGGGAAACAGGTGGCTGTGAGTTGCGCTTTTTCTGGGGGACTTGCTGTAAAGATCAGGCTGAGAATTCTGCGAAAAAAATGTCAGACGAAATGAGGCGCAGTTCCGACCGTCTAGTCGACCGTTGTCATTGCTGTACGTGCATGAGTCGACTGCCCTGTCAGCAACCCCTGCTAGGCTGGCTTGCCCTTTTGGGATTTTGACTTTTGCAGGGCATCCAGAGGTCCTCGGTGGGACCTGCGAGTCGTATTATTAACGAAGGGAAGCGGAGACAGCAACTGACCGACGGCGCGCGTTACAGGATCCGTCTGGGTTGGGCAGATGCCGCCGCGAACTCGCCTGCTGGCCGTCGAGGCGTCTGACTGCGTGGTGTGGTTGCTTTTGCTCACCGTGGTGACAGAGACTGCGCAGGCCTTGCGACCCACGGCTATAAGCAGGTTTGCGTTGTACGCGTGACCGACTCTAGCCATCTATTTTGACTGTCGCGCACGGTTCCTACGGACACAGGGAGATCGTTGGACTTTCCATAATGGCGTCGCATGAAATCAGTCTGGCCGAGGACCGAGGACCCTGAACAGAATAGATTGATGATGTTGATCAGTTTGTTCCATGATTCAGGTGCTTCCGGAGCCGACGTCCCTTGTTCGATAGATTGACAGCAAAGTCTATAACGCGGGCGCGGGTCAACGACCAGTAACAGCAACTAGCGGAAATCGGAAGTCTCGCCGACAGTCATGGGCATGGTAGAATCAACTACGGTTGTTGAAGGGCGATGACGGCGAGCGACCGAGCCGTTGGCTACCACTGTGGGCGGGAATACCAAGACAACGCCCATGCAGCGTCCGGCCCGCTGAGAAACATACATGGGAGAGAAGTTATGACAGGGATAGCCCCGAACGGGCGGAGACGGCAGGGGCTCAGACGCAGCCCAACGCCTCATTTGCGTGCAAAGGTGACAAGCAGTCTGTATTTGGCGGCCTATTTTTATGTCATCAGGTTTCTCGTTCCCCCAGTCGTGTGGTTTGCCAATCACTTCGAAACCATAGTAAAGTGCGGTTTGGCTGTGGACGAAACGGATTGGCATTTTTAGTAGCCCGGACTGTGTGCGATAGATAGATAGTGGAAGTGTTTGAAACCTCGAACGAGCATTGGTAAAGAGACGCGCTAGAGGGCGCCTCTGACTGGGCAAAGTTAGCGTAGCTTGAGTGTCGACAAAAAAACATTTTGCCGAGTGTCAGTTCGTCATGGATGTGGATGGTGGAGAATTCCCGAATGGGGCCACACCGACGGCCTGGGCCGACTGCAGGGACGGATGGGTCCCGGGCTGCGGGCACCTGGGCAGCGGTACACTACAGCACCAGTCAAGGGATGGGCAACGGGCAGAGCGAGACGTGACCTCGGGGGAGGAATTCTTCAGTGTTTCAGTTGTCGTGCCCCGGGTACAATGTACGGGCAGATTGCTGTGAAAGCCCGCAGGTGTTGGGGTCCGAACCGGATACATGGCATGACGTGGCGGCCGGAAGCGCCTCGGCACGCAACGGAGACGACGGCCCTTGCAGCGACCCACGAGTCTCGGGCAGATCAGCTTTCGGGGGTCAAGATCAGGGGCAGAAAGGGAGCTGACCCGCATTGCCGTGTATGTTGGGGGCCGGACCGACCGACGATGGTCGATGAGCGATAAATTGGCGAAACTTTAAGTCTCGGAGCGGGCTGGCGTGCGTCGAGGGGTAGACATGGTGCGCCGATGGGGTCCGTTTCAGATGTCGACATGAGCTGTATCTGTACGCATAGTCGCAATGTTCGTCGATCCAGGGTTGGCTATGTCTTGGTGTTGGAGCGGAAAGGACCGACCAACATGAGATATCTCGGAGCTGAAGTTTGAAATGGGCTCATACCCGTAGGTCGGTAAGTAATTCGGCAAACCGAGAGATGAAAGGGACAGCAGTCGAGGACGGCGGAAGGGGCTTTCAGCAAAGTCTGAGATTTGCCGTGCCTGTCGGAGGGGTCTTGGGTTCCGATGCCGTTTGCACTCCCTGGTTGGCAACGTGAAGAGATGAGGACCAAAGCTTGGCCGAGGCTACCTCAGGCAGCAAGTTCGCAGTTGGAGTTCTCCCCATGCGAAGTGCCGCTACTTCCAACGGTCACGCTCTGTTGGAAGTTGGAAGTTGGACGTGGGGAGTTGAGAGTTGGAAAGTAGAGGGTCCCGTAACCCGCGTAGAGGAAGGATCGACCGAGCCGTTGTTACTCTGGTCCAGTGTTCCTACCTTACAGGAGCCGCAGATTCCCCGAGGGCAGCAAGAATGGACCTCTCGTGGCAGTCCAATTTGAAGAAAGGAACAAAGGCAGGTACGTTGCAGACAGCGCCTTGGCTCCCCTGAACAGCCTCGACGCTCTACAGGGCGCGTGCACATACTATGTATGCCTTGTCATTGGCATCGTGCCCGTCTCGCTCCCATACGGCTCGAACCCATCATTTTCTGTGCCGCACCAGGCCTGGACTACTATCGCTACGAACCATTTCGACTTGTCCGCACCGTCACAGTCTTGGATGGCGCATGGCCGTTGCCGGCGTCGATCTGGCACCGCCTGTTGACACCATGGAGCATTTTCTTACACCGCACTTCTAGCGACTCGGGCTACCATAACCTCCGAACCGGGCAGTTCACCGCCCGCAATCCACCATCTCGACACGATGCGATACGTCATAGCACCATTACTGCTAGGGTATGGCGCTAGAAGTCATGAAGTTGCAGCACGTCCGAGGCAAGTGGAAGATGCCTTGGACCATCGCAGGTACTCTTGGGCCGGCCGTCGCTGCACGGACGGACACAACAACTTTGGCAGACCAACGATGACAGTGCAAATTGAGTTGGTCTCCACCGACCCGGAGGAGCCTGCCACCATCCAGTCACTCGACAGGGTTCCAGCTCCGGCTCCGACTCGAGGTGACAGCTAAGGTGGCCAGCAGCGGAAGGGAAGGGAAGCGAAGGGGAGGGGGGACATGGGCCGGCGCTTAACCCAAAGACGATCTGAGGTATTTTTAGCATGGAAACCCGGCTTCATCCTGTTGGCTGGCTGCCACACCGACGATATGTGGACAGGGATGATCGGCGCACTAGCATGCTAGCCAGGCCAAAACCACTCCTCCAAGAGGAGAACAAGCCCGTCAACGGCCGCGGCGTCCCCATTTGTTCAAGTCTTGTTTGACCTAGACATCAAGCATGAAGGCGGAGACGAGCCGACTGACGTCTGCCGTGCAGGCCTACGAGACAGCATCGCATTTCAGCCATCGCCATGAGCCAAGCCCATCACCGATGAAAATTTTTGCATCTCAATAACGGCCGCCTAGAGACAATGGCATTGTGCGCCCGGGCCAGCAGCACCAGGGCCGATGTTCCCCCACCTCGCTAGAGGCAAGGGAAACTGAAGAACCATCCATTTCTTCAAACCCCCATCCTCCAACCTCTATCAGCGCATCCTTCATCTACGTAGTACAGAACCTACCGACCTACTATACAACATTTTGTTTGGAACCAATGCTACCCTCTACCAAGCCTCATGTGCTATTTTGCGCCAGAGATGAGCGAGCCAAGTCGGCAAAGCGGATCCAAACTGGTACCGTACCATTGCCGACCAGTCTCACTGCAGCCTGATCCAACCAGTTGGTCCTGCTGAGTGTCATCTGAACTACTACAGTGCTTCCCTACCCGCGAACCACGCCAAGACAGCCCTTCCCGGACCGGTCCCACCTTGCATCCGGTCGCACGAAAGACACACTGCACTCGCTGGTGGTGCCCATACTTCGTACCTGCTCTCAAGCGCCCACGCCATAGCCTGATCAACGGTGCATTGCATCTCTTCTGCTCATCCCACAGCGACGGTTGTCCCTTGTCATGGGACGAACAAGCCCCAGCCAGTACCCACGATTGCGGACTGCGTTCTCCGTAGTCGGGCTGCTCCCATATCTGCTCCAGTCGAGCAAAGCAATGTACTCTGTTTGCCGTTGCTTTCTTTTCTCTTCTTGGTTGACGTCAGCCAGCAGTCACCAGCCACCGAAACCGATCGCATTGTACCATTCTAGGCTATCGACTGCGCTCTGTGTTTTCACTGCCTCGCTGCAAGTCATCAGAGACAACTTCGCGTAACCGACGTCGGTTGTCGACTTTCCGGTATGTCCTTTGCCGCCTGAAGCGCTCGCGCAGACCAGCTGCCAAAGCTCTTCATCCACATTTTCCCCTCCTTCCTGGTGGGGGGTCTTGAAGGAGAGCGGGCACAGCGCGCGTGGCGCTAGACCACGTACTAACTCGATGCCACAAATAACATCCAGTATGGTCCGCAGTTGGGCTATAGTTCAAGGTCATTGCCGAGTCCGGGACGATGCGTTGATGACTTCATGTTAAAGCTTCTCAACTGCTTGTTGGGTCCAACTGAGCGGCCCGGAGCGTGGGATTCCTCGTGTTCCCGCGGGCTAAAGCAGGCCTGTCATGTTTAGCACATGGGATGGGACCAATCCCATTGATGTCTTTCCACCAATGGCGCACGGTGATGCATGCTAGACTGCCCTTACTCAGCCAACGAGTGGGCAACAGGTCCAACGCCTTGCCTTTTGACGACCTGTTGCGATCTGAGATCATAGACAGATCCTGAGATGCACTCCACCCGGAATTTGGGGGCAGTGCCTCGGTAGAAAGACCGTCGAGGATTCAGTTCGCCTCTGCGCGTGGGGTAACACGCGACGCGGCTCTGGATATCGACACTCCCGCCCACCCACAGGATTCCATGGCTCAGCCTTCCCGTCACGCACATCACATCACAGTCGTCAGACTCAGCCCCCTATTGCCCACCACGGGCGGCTAGAGTCTCCAGCCCCAGGCAGGTCCCGTCTCTCGACTAATACCCAAGAAGCCGTTCATGTAACTCGAAGTTAAAGTTGAGCCTGATCTAGCGACGCGCCTGGCGCCAAAATTAGCGCAGCCGACGCTCCATCTCGAAGAGACACCGTTGCACTTGCTGGAAGCGCAGCCCTTCAGGTTCTGGGATGCTTCATCCTTGTCCTATGCGAACATCAGCGTTATACCTCGTGTTCGAGCTTCGGCTGAGCGTGTACCTGCTTGACGGCGTCGAACCCCACCATACCGCTGGCGCTCAAGCCGTCAACGACCCAAATAATTTGAGCGATCATACCAACTGGTTCGCTGTCCGTGGATCTCGGTCGCAGACATGCAGGGACCATGCTCAAGTCGGGCTGAAGCGAATGTCGGCCGTGTACCAAGCGGCCAGGCCATCATGTCACACGCGGTGCACAAGAGCCTTGTGACTGTCTCTATCCCAGCCGTGCTGCAACCTCAAAACAGACCCCAACGGAGAGTTGGACGGTAGTGACAGCATCGAATCTCGTGTTCCAAAATAATAACGGAGGATGAGGGCCTTGAGCATGCACGAGTGCATTGCCTCATTCGTTCGCGGCCGTAAGGTTTTGGATCGTCTCTTCATCACTCGAACTAGTTGGTAGAGCTGGTCACAAACGGAAAGGGCCTGAAATGATATCGTCATGACTGAGCATGGCAGAGAGAGCCACCAGTGTTGCCGTACCCCTCCATCGTGAATGGGCCCAGATATTGGGCACCGTTGGAACGAAACAGCTTCCAACAGCTCCTCGCCAAGCCTTGGCTTTTTAGATAGGAGCTAGCTTGCGACCGCAGACATCCCCCCCTGCCCCGATAGATTCCCCAGCGCCCCCGAGGCTGACGGTGATTTCCTAGAATCTCTCGATCTTCACCAACATGCGTGCGTTGAAGCAGTCGTGCGACCCTAGGCCTTTTCAACTGGACGCCACATTGCGGGGCCTGAAGCTTGATCTGGGCTCGACCTACAACCCGTGCCGTACCGGCAGGCGGAACCGGTGCGCCGTCTCTCCAGTTTCCGCCTCGCTACTGCCTCCCCAACAGGGTTTGTTGCAGACTTGGATGGACACTGCCACCAACCACAGCCGTCCGGCTACATCTTCGTGTCAATCGACCCCCACGGCTCGTTGGCGCAGGTTTCCAGCCTCACGATGCGCCGAGCGGCCTGGACAGGCCCGCCCACCAACGAAAGAAGCTGCGAACTCCAACCTGAAACGGTTCTGGACCCCGCGAGAACTAGGGAACCACCAGAGGCAGGAAACGAACTGAACCAGATGGGACTTTGGTCACGTCGATGAAACTCTGCACCAACGAGACGAGATATCATCGAGCTTCATGTCACACACACGCCCCCTCCCCCACAGACGCAGGTCCAGCCCTGGCAGTAGGCCGCTCGAAGCAGACATTCAGATAGCTCCAACAGTTGTTGGATCGTGGTACGACGTGACGACATGACGGCGTGCTCACGGCGAATGTCCGAGTCCGAAGGAATCCAGACAAGCTTGGGGCGGCAGAAAGGGGGGGGGGGGGATATGGCGGCACAGGGCAGTTATTGGTCGTCGCTCTCGGCTCATGTGCTCGCACATGCGGGGAGAAGGACGCGGGAGGATGCTAAGGAAGCGGGATGGAGAGCCCAACGGCTTTGAACCGGGTCTACCCTTGCCTCTGCGCTCGTCTGGTTTGAGACGAAATGAGGTGAAAGTGTTCTTTTTCCCCTTGCGAGTGCAAATCCGAGTGCGAGTGAGGCCAGTTGGGAGTACAGCAGTGACGGAGTTTGGTCGACCACCGCCAGCTGCAATTGATAGTCACCTTGGGGGCTACAACCGAGATGACGAGCCTCGGTATCGAGTCGTCAGGACAATCAATCTCTCTAATCGCCGCCCACCTCATCTTTGGACCTGCCATGACGGGCATCCTCGACTCAGATGTCCAACTGACGTGATCGCCCCCGAACCCTCCAACTTGTCTTTCGAGGGCTTCCCAACACCGCTTTGCAAGCCTCTCGCCAGTGTATCAAATGAGATTGAACGCGTACAGTGGTACACACCACTACAGAGCTCGATGATTGCTGCGACCTTGCAGACAATACTCGCCGACGCCGGCGATATCTTGCAAAACTTTTAACACGGGCGAGAGAAGTACACTGACTCGCTCTCACGGAAGCCCACATCGCGAGTACACGACCGCTCTGGTTCTTTGACAATTTGAATTTTTTCGGTAGATAACCTATGTAGTAGTAGCGGATCTCTATTCTGTAAAGGGGTTCCCTCTCGTGTGGACAAATTCCCCCCCGGCAATGAAAAACGACACTCGAAACGCCGCCGTCTCTCTTCTCTCCCTCTCGCTCTCATCAGCGAGAGGCGTAGCAATAATAAATACAATAGCAGCCCAAGACGGATTTCCACCATGATGTTTCGCTTGTGTGGCCGTTCGTTCTTGGTCTTCCTTTTCCCTTCAACTCTCCCACCCGTAGACCGAAAAGGGCCCGTTTGCCGTGCAACAACAATTAGGTAAGAGGTGCAGAAAGGACATTGTCACGTTGACTTGACGCTGGGTATAGTGCGCCATCGGTGGCACTGGCGGCGAAGGGTACATCGCGTTTGGGGCACGGATTATGAGGCGCTCGCCGTGGCGGCAGTGGACTGTTGCGGGACGACACGGCCGCGGGGGCTCTTGCCGTCGCTCTCGGAGTCGTCGTCACTGTTGCGACGGCTTGGGCTGTCCTGGTCGCTTCGCTTGCTCTTGGTCATCTGCGGAATAGCACGTTAGCAAATCTCTTCCCGATAGGTCACGCATAGATCGACAGAGTGCGGTTGTGGTTACTCACCCATGAACGGACACCACCGACAAGACCCAGGGCGTAACCAGTGATGAAGTCGTTTGACTGGGTGGCGGCGGGCGTGCCGCCGGGGGTGGTGGGGATCTCGACGCTGAGACGAGACTTGCTCGCGTTGGCGTTCGCAGCGGCGAGGAGGTCGCCGTTCTGGATGTACGTGGTGCGGGCGGCCGGGGCCGGGGACTGCGGGCGCGAGGCGGGCCAGAACTGACGCAGCTCGCGGGAGAGCTCCTGACCGGTGGTGGACCAGTTCGTGCGAATGTTATCGCGCAGCTCCTGGACGTGGCGTTTGAGGTCGAGCTCGTTCTTCTTGATCCAGCTGACGTTCAGCTCCTGGCGCGAGGTGCCACGCTTGAACTGCCGGGCGATGTACTTTTCGTAGTCGCGTACGATCCTAGACACTGCATGTCAGCGATTGAGGCTCTGGAAACAGGACAAGATGATATCTAAGAGCAAACATACTTGGTAATGATGCCCGTCGTGCTAACGCCCTCGGTGCGCTGGGTGACGAGGAACTTGCCAGCCTCCTTGATGGGGCGGTAGATGTCGTCGCCCTCGTCGGCGCCATAGGGCAGGTCATCGTGGGCGACGTAGTCAATCTTGTGCTGGTCGAGGAACTCAGGGGTGACGATCCACGGGCAGTTCTCAATGACCTCGTCCACCCACTTGCAGTGGCGGACCGTCTCGGCCCGCTCGGCGCCCGAGAGGACCGTCAGACCCTTGCGCTTGTGCGTCTCGGCATCGCCAGTGACACCGACAATAAGGTAGACGTCGGGGAAGGCCTTCTTTGCCTGCTCGAGCTGGCGCATGTGACTTTAAAAGACAGAGGTTAGCTTGTGCGTTGGACTTATGCGGGAAACGGAGAGCGTAGAAAGATCTTTCAACGTACCCAAGATGGAAGAGATCGAAGACTCCGTCGGCGTATACCCTGACGGGCCGGCCAGCAGGAGGGTCGTTAGTCCTGAAGCCGACAGGGTGCGTGAGCTTGCCCGTGGGCGGGGGCGGCATGGCCTCGTCTCTATCCTCGCCCTCCTTTATCGAGACCTGCTTGCGGCTGTTCTTGCGGCCAACGCGCTCGGCGATGTCGACGCTCGCCTCAGTGGTGTCGCTGGGTTCACCAGGGTCGAGAGAATGGTCTTGCGCCGCCGACGCTGCCGCAGCACCAGTAGCGGTCTGCGTGTTGTTATTCGTCTCGTAGGAACGGTCCGAGTTGGCACGCTGCCGCTTAGGCGCATGGCTGGCAGAGGTGGAGTCGGACTTGCGGTGACCGGCGAGGCGGCCGGATTCCGGGGCGGTGCTGTCGCCCTCCTCACCCGAGGCATCGCGCGAGGAGGCTTGGAGGCCGGCGTCGGCAGTGTCGGCGTCTGGCATGCTTGTAGGGTTCGTTGTCGCGGTCGTGCGTTTCCGCTTGCCTGCTGCTGAGGAGCCTGAGGGGGAAGACATTGTGGTCTTTATTTGTGTGGTGGGATTGGGAGGTAGGTGGTAGTTGTATGGTAGTGGATGTGGCTGTCGTTTGAACAAGTGCCTCGCTCCCGCGTGGAGTCACTATTTGCGACTTAGGTAAGGAATGAGTTATGGGTCGAGTTGGAGGCGTTCCCAGGAGATCGGCAGACTATGTCGTAGGCAGGTAGGGTAGTTGAAAGTTGGCCTGCAGGACGTGTATGGTTCGGTTCGGGACCTAGGTCGTTTTTGCAGGTGTGTGGGTGTTGCGAGTGTTGTGCCTTGGTTCAGGACGTTAGAAGGGTGGGTGGAGGTAATGATGATGATGTATGTCGTTGGCGTACAGACGGACAGAGACACGCAAAGACGGAGAGACAAGACAGGGTAGGGGGGGAATAGGGTTGGACTTGTGTCTGGTGTCAAATGCCAGCGAAGCAAATAGCTGCAGGACCAACGCAGGCGGTGTTGTGTAGGCAATTGGGGGGGCGGGAGAGGATAGAAGCATACACTTACGCGGTTACGGGAAGGCCAGCCCAGTAGGAAGTGAGGGAGTGCTCGGGTGATGGAGAGACTGCGAGCTCGATCGGAGACGAGAAGGCCAGTTGCGCATATGATACGGAACCAGACCTGCAGCTAGTGGTGGTGGGGGGAGACTCTACTCCGGTCGGCGGGACGCGGACCACGAGGATTGAAACTTTAAGGTTGGTTTTGGTAGATGATGAGTGGTGGACTCGTGCTTCGAACCAAAGAAGTTGCACTTGTGACAGTCGAGTAAGGTGGTCAAAGACTCGTCAAGCGCGCGTAAAAACGGAGGCCGATGTTGGAAAAAGAAGCTGAATTGCCTTGTGATTCTTGGACAAGAGCTGTTTTCCCAGGATGGCGCTCCTTCCCAATTTACTTCAGTAGGTACTGGCGCGTGTCACGAGTGTGAAAATGCCACGATGTTCATCGAGATTTGCCCATACACTAAACACGGTTTCCATTTCTATGCAAACATGCCACGGTATCGGTGGCAGCAGCACCATGTCTCTCCTATTTCCAACGTCCAGAGACAAAAAAGAAATCTGGGCCCGCGTTTGTCCCCCTGTCCCGAGTCCATTGTTCGGGCTCGGGCCAGGGGGAGCATGAAGACCCCGAAGATGAAGGGAAATTTGCGGCTTGTGCTCGAGTTGCTGTCCCAAGCTTGTGCTCGTGCGCATGCTCAAAGCAAGGAGAGCAGGGAGAACAAGGAATTCTGGCGTAATTGGCAGCGTTGTGCAAGGAAGTGGCGTCATCCTGCTGTGGCTTGAGCGGTACGCAATGCACGCACAATTACGTCGAGAGGTCATCGAGGTCGGCTGTGGCTTGGCTTAGCGTCCGACCAATGGTTCAGCCGGGTGAAAGCACAAAAACCCTTGCGGGTCATTTCTGCCCGGCAGGGATGACGAGATTTCTGTTGGGGAGGAAGTGGATTTTTTTGTGTGGAGGAAGGAAGGAGAGAGGGAGCTCTTGGAAAACGGTACGTACCTTGGAGAAAGCCAGTGACAGTTCTGCCAGCTGGGAAGAGTCTGGTCGGCCGGCTGAACCCCGGCTCGATCATACTTGGCTTCGGAGATAACAGCGTGACATATCAGGTGATGAAGATCGACTTTTCCTGGGCATCGGTGCAAACCTTTGGCATGCGACACCCAGCCGACAGTCCCAGTGTCTGCCTGCCAGCTGGACGTGACAGTAATATTCTCCTGCATCGAAACTCATCGAAGATGCGGCTTTTTTGGTGATTCTATGTTTGGTTCCTTTCTCAGCTTCGGAAACTGATCACAATGCGAGCTCCATCGAATCAAAATTTGGCCGATTAATGCATTTCTATTTTCGACCCACCTTTGGATTTTGTCTCCGCCAGGATGCAACGGATGCATGAATCGAATGGCTACGGCTATACTTGAAGTTGAGTAACTTCAAGCGGCTGTGTCTGTCTCGGAGGAAGTCTTCCAGCTTGGTCGGTGAAAGTCGGTCGAGTCGGAACCGGGAGTCCGGATGCGGAGTATTGGGGCTAGGCCGGGTGACACGGTTATCGGACGCAGTGGATCCCCGATCACACATCGGCACAGGTCCTGGACTGGAGTCCGGAGCCGGGCGACTTGCCGGAGTAAGACTCAGGCAGACAACCAGAAGCCCGCCTATTTCAGAGGGACAAGCCAATTGAAATGATGCTCTAAGCTATGTCCGTTTTTCGTTCCGACAATCTAGACTACTCATCACATCAAACCATACTGCTAGGATGTGATCGGGTTGATGTTACTATGCCGACTTGAAATCAACAATCAGAGACGATGCCATCATATTGCGCGAAACTGCCACCACAGGGTGCGTCTCTCGTTATACAATTTTTGTAAGGGTTTCTTCAGAAGCGGTAGTTGTTTGGAACGATTCAGACCCAAGCGACATTGCCTCATTCATCCCCATACATCTGCCCATCAAGGTCCTCAACCTATGTCAGTGCTATTGGAAACATCCAAGACAGGGGTCGTCACGACAATCTTGTTTTCTCATTGGCTTTAACAACAATGAACGTCTGGCCATCAAGGTAGGTTCCAGCTGACGACAGACTTCCTCGTGACTAGTTGGTTGAGGCAGGTCTGGAGTAAGGGGTGACACAATGAGCATCAAAACTCCTCTGCCTCCCGTGCGGGAGGCGACCCGCGTCGTTTACACTTCTTGCTATTCATTACCCCGCGAGAAGTGCTCATCAGTATTCGGCTTTGGAGTAGTTTGCCATGACTGAACAGTTCATCCACGACGTTATCATCATCGGTGCTGGCCCCTGTGGCCTGGCCGTGGCCTCTCGGCTGTGCGAGCACTCGCCCTCAGCTCTCTTCACAGACGAGGAACATCAACGATACCACTGGATCCGCAAGTACGGCCGCCGGATGCCCTTGAAGAATAGAAAGAATGGTAGCGTTATCGAGAAGAGAACACCGAGTCAGGCACAACGTTTCTCGACGCTGGTGTTGGACGCAACAGGAGATGAGTGGTTGAACCGCTGGAACCGTCTCTTCAAGACGTTCGATATCACTCATCTTCGCAGTCCAATGTTCTTCCACGTCGATCCGAGTGATCGCGACGCCTTACTCGCTAGAGCCCATGAGCAGAACCAGGAGCATGAGCTACAAGAGCTGAGGGCCTGTGTTGGCAAGGAGATCAGCAAGCACCTGCGCAAGGCGAGACTCAAGTCGCGGAACCCAAAGTAGGTCATGCCCTCTCAGACTATCGACCGCTCTAATCTAACCTGTTATAGACAGCATGCCGTTGTGGAAGTGGATGAGCGAGACCGGAAAGACTACTTTACACCACCAACAACACTCTTTGCCAACCACTGCGAATGCATAGTCGACCGATACGGCCTTCGGGAAGGTCTCATTCAAAACGAGAAAGTCGAAGACATCCAGTACCGCATCGTTAAAGAAGTCTCACCAGACACAAAACTCTTCGAAGTCCACTCAAATAAGACCACTCATTACGCAAAAGCCGTCGTACTCGCTGTAGGTCCAGCGAACGCACCCACGATTCCTCCCGTACTTGGCCTCAACAGCGAGCTCGGCTCAACCCCTCCACAGGTCTGCCACAGTATGCAGATCCAAAAGTTTCCAGACCCGGTCGTCCAGGCTAAGATCGCCGCGCACAAGACGACAAATGTGCTTGTCATAGGCGGCGGCCTCACATCAGCACAGCTCTCAGATCTCGCTATCCGCCGCGGCGTGACCAAAGTCTGGCACCTCATGCGTGGGCCCTGCAAGGTGAAGCCCTTCGACATTGACCTCGCGTGGATGGGCAAGTTCCGCAACGTCGAGCAGGCCTACTTTTGGTCGGCCGACTCAGACGAGGAGCGACTGAAGCAGATTCAGAGCGCCCGTGGCGGCGGTAGCATCACGCCGCCGTACCAGAAGCGGTTGAAGCAGCATATTGCGCGCGGGACGCTGGAGCTGCGGACGAACACGAGGCTTGCTGAAGCGCACTACGATGGAGAGAAGAGGGTTTGGGATGTTAAGACGGAGCCGGCCGAAGATGGAATGCCGGGAATGGATTATATCTACTTCGCGACGGGAGTGCAGACGGATTATGCAAAGCTGCCATACCTGCAGACGATGTTGAGAGACCATCCTATCCACGGGCACGGGGGTATACCTTGTATCAACGATGACCTGATGTGGTCGCAGGACGTACCGTTGTTTGTTACAGGTCGGATGGCGGCTCTTAGATTAGGTCCTGGTGCGGCCAATCTCGCGGGAGCGAGAGCGGGTGCCGAGAGGATTGCGTGGGCTATCGAGGATCTGCTACCGGACAGGACCGGCGACTCCTTGGAGGATTCTCAGATGAATGAGGAGATGAAGTTCGTCACGGGTAGAGGAAACCGATTTGATAGCTTAGCAACAGCCGGGGGCGAAGACTGCTAGGTCTCTCGATAAAGAAGAAAACGAATTATTTTCATGAGTGTCCGTCGTTTTTGCTTATTCAACGACGGTCTATAGTCAGGCTCCTCGAATCTCAGGTAGCTTTCATCTGGCGAAAGATGCCTCGAGCAATATTGAACTGCTTCTCTTATCATGATGAGACCGATCTCCCCCCGCGCGATTTATTCCCCCACGCGTCTCCAGAGTGGGGCACACCGTCCGGCGCGTGTGAAATGAAGGACGGGGACATGCGCCGAGTTGGATGCCTCCCCCGGACCGGGATTCCGCTACACCTCGCCGCACTATTCGTCGGATGCCAAAGCCAAGCGACATTACGTCCAAAGAATGACCCTATGCTCCCTCGGGACATGTTATAACAAGGTCCCTGGAAGTCCTGGAGTACATACTCGGTTGACAAACCGAAAGTCACTGAAACTTTCCACGGAAATGCTCGAGGTGTAACACGCGCTTCCTTGAGATCCCCTTTCACATCAACCACGGATTTCTCTTGGGTGAGATCCTTCTCCACCGCCCGTCGCCAACCGCCGCCTTGGCGCATGACGTGAAACGGAGCGCCTTTCCTCTTCTCGACAAGAAAGCAGATGACAGTAGGAAATTGAGCCGCCATCGCCTCCGCACCGCCCGCAAATAAGCTAAATGTCACCTTCCTTTTCCTCGGATTCCTTGGGTGGCGAGTATTTCCTTGGACGCAATTTGGCGCCTTGCGAGGCTCGGCAGCAACCGGATCGCCCAATGTTTCTTGCTGACACAAGGAGGCACGCTATCACTTGCCCTGTTCATTGGCTCCCCAGGTTTTCCAACCCCTTACTGTTGGCTTGTGATTCATTGAGTCGGAAGACTACTTCGTTTGTAATAAGTCTACCCAAGAAAACCCACCTGGGCCTTCTAGGGAGGCGCGTGTGTGTGGGTTTCCATGCAGGTACCCGCAGGATGTCACAAGAAAAAACAACTCGCCCAACGCAAGAGATTTCCTCGCGGTTGCCCAGGAGCTTCCTCAGGTGAGGCTCCAGTTCTGGTAATCCACCATAGCAATCCTGCTGTCTTGGCAGGACTATAGTGCTTGGCTGTTGTCCGTGTTAGCAAAGTGAGTAAGATATGATGTTGGAATAAAAGGGTGTCTCGATCAACTTCCTCAGGATGGTTAAGTGATGCTTTCTCAACTGTCCTTCATTTCTGTAAACTCTTTTCTTGGGAAACAGTACCATTCGTTCATTCTATTTTCACTGTTTGATATATAACACCATGAAGGCCTCCGTGCTTCTCTCCCTGTCGGCGCTGAGCGCCGTCGCTGTCTCCCAAGCGACTCTTTACGGCCAGTGTGGCGGGTACGTGTTCCATCCTACATAGTTTGCTTCAACTACATTGGGCCGTCCAAAATTGAACCTCCTTGTATCGAAGAAGACCATACAGCTGATTCAACGTCTTCAAACTTAGGCAAGGCTGGTCCGGTCCCACCACCTGCGTCTCAGGCGCCCGTTGCGTCTCCTACAACGACTGGTACAGCCAGTGCATCGCTGCTGCCGACGACGATGGCGCCGAGGAGGAGGCCCCTGTAGATGAAAGCAGCGATGACAACGGAGAGAACTGTGATATCGAACCAGAGCCGTCGACACCCCAAATCTCCGCCATCGGAACCACTCCAGCCCCCACGACCATCGCCGAGGTCCCTGCTCCGTCTGCCACTTCAGAGGCTCAGGCCGAGCCCGTCACTTCTGAGGCTGCTACCATCACCCCTACGTCCTCTATCGAGGAGCCCCCTGCTACGTCCGAGGTCTCCGAGTCTGCGCCAACTACCACCCTCGTCACAGCCACACAAGGCACTACAACCGTCATTGCTGCTCCCTCCGGTGTGACCAAGACTCTGCCCCATTCTTCTGGTGCTGTTGCTACGGATGAGGCTATTCCCGTCTCTGGCGAGTTTGACGGTGGCATGAAGCTGTACGATCGATCCCGTAAGTATTTTGAAGTCCCAAAGCTACATCTGATGTGAAGCATAGGTGTTGATACTTCTCAATAGCCAAGGTTTGCCAGGACCAGACCGAGACCGGTGAAAAGGACGCCATGTTCATTCTCGAGGACGGCGCCACCCTTTCCAACGTTATCATCGGCCCCGGCCAGGCCGAGGGCGTCCACTGCAAGGGCACCTGGTAAGTCTCCAACTCTCAACCTCGACTTTTTCTCGCAGTTCACTAACTACTCGACTTACAGCACCCTAATCAACGTCTGGCACTCCGAAGTCTGCGAGGACGCCATTACCCTGAAGCAAGAATCCGGCACCTCGACTATTATTGGCGGCGGAGCCTTTAAGGCCTCCGACAAAGTCGTCCAGTTCAACGGCCGCGGCACCGTTACGATCCGTGACTTCTACGTCGAAGACTACGGCAAGCTCGTTCGCAACTGCGGCAACTGCAAGAACAACGGCGGCTCCCGCAACGTCGTGATTGAAAACATCGTCGCCGTCGATGGCGGCGTGCTGTGCGGTATCAACACAAACTACGGCGATACGTGCACCGTCAAGGACTCGTGCCAGAACAGCGGCAAAAGCTGCGATCGCTACGAGGGCAACGACACGGGCGACGAGCCGAGCAAATTGGGCTCCGGTCCCGACGGGGAATTTTGCACCGTTTCGGGCCTGGCTGAGACTTGCTAAGTTGAGTTGGTCAAAAGAGTTTAGGGTGTTTGAGGAAGGAAGGTGAGCTTCTAGTTCAAAACGGCTGCAGAGACGGGAAGATGATGGTTTTTCATGTACTTATACTTTCAGTGCATATATATTTTCTACGAATCTTTGAACACTTCGCCCAGAGGATTGTTAGTCTCCGATCTGATTACCAAAAAAATTTCTGACCAGCTCATCCGTGGATGCGTCAAGGCTATATGTAATTCGTGATATCTTTCCATGTCATGCGAAGTGGGCGCAAAATTTCAGGTGTCTTGTTGCATGGGAAAGTATGCCTTCGTGAATTGAATTCTCAGCATTCCTGTATTTCATAAGTCACTTCAAGCTAAGCCGTTCTTCCGAATCGAGATGACACCGAATCTCTTGATATGACGAAGGCATCGGGGCCGAAGGGTAACCTGCTATGCATTTCTTATTTCTCGTGTTTCAGCTCCAGTCCCTTCTCTCTCGCCAGAGACAAGGCCGATATCTTTAAGGCCGCCTCAGAGTATATTGCCTTAGAAACTCTCACCTCCATATGCGCCTATCATATAACATGTCTGGTGCATTTCCTGGTTGACAAGCTATGATGTGCAAAAATCACCTGACGATGGCTATTCTGTTAGCTGCAGTTTTGCATAAACATCAATCAACCGACGAACTCAGATGCTATGGCGAATGAAAGCCAACTACTGACACTTCGACGTCTATTTAAAGCTTAGTTGGACTTCAACCAACTCGATATAATGACGCAATACGAACCCGCCTACACACCTGTGTTTATCCATTCATGTGGGTGTCTTCATTTATTGAGAGCTGTATGTGCTGGGGGTAGGCCTGAAACATAAACGTATACACTGCAGACATCATCAGAACTGTTTCCCAATCAAACCAATGTCATGGAGAGTAGTTCATCTACAGAATTACCATATTCAGTAATGCCGGGCCAGAAGTAGTGTCAGCCAGCTTGCGGACCTCTGGTTGCATCGCGAGCCTGGACTACAGAACGAGTTCGAGGGTCATCACAATTGACATCTACAGAATCCTTACCAGTCTTTATGTCTTGGAGCAACAGACTACCAACTGAAGTTTGTAGCGGCGTGTGTATAGCAAACTAGACTTGCAATTTCTCATGCAGTTTGAGCCCATGACATTGTCACCAAAGCCTACCATTTTGCCAGGGTCCTCACTCTTAGAATCCGCCCCGTGTCCATAAGTTTCGCCCGAGCTTTCCCACTTCATGTCGTCTCTAATCGCCATGCTTAGTAAGATTCTGACTTCCTTCTACCATCTAGACCAAGCGTTGGCCAAGGGCAGTGGATCAGGTACCCGTACGGCTGCGATAGTAGTCCACAACTCAGTTGAACAACGTTGATGACGCCGACTTTGGCGAGAACCAGCAAGTCTGACTGCTCCAGTGGTGTGGATAAAGAAACACTCATAATAGACTCAGCAAGTGTTTGGACGGAGCAAGAACTCTGGCGTATCTGACATCCAAAGACATAATGAACTCAAAAAGATCCGGACTAATCGGAAACAACACAAGACACAGGAAATTTACTTCCTCGTGTTCACAATTAGACATATGCCATGAGATTTACATCTTCAAGGTACGAGACAAAGCACTCGCCATAGCCTAACTCCATGTGTCCAGAACAGAGTGCTGCGATTGCTCACTTTCATCCCCAACCGAAAATAGCGACGGCATCGGTTCATCCGGAACTGTCGAGACAGTTCCTTGAGTCTCATCTCTGAGGCAGACCCCATCTCTGGCCGGCCTGCGCGGCCCCCGCACGCGCCCTTCCGCCCGGGAAAACTCACACAAGCTGCCGGCTGAACGACATCCCAGGCCATCCCTGCCCCTTCGGCCGCCCTCATCGGATGCCCTGAGTCGGTCCCTCGGTCCTTCTTCAATTTTGCCGCTGCTGCCACCGTTGCCACTGTGCCCCCTCAACTTGTACCTGTATGTACATCTCCCCCAAAAAGTTCCGATAATGCCAAATACATGGGCTCCCGGCATCATTAATTCAGGGATCGTGATGGGTTGGCAAACCCTGCCGCCATGTGAAAGAGGGGTGGTCACTAGGGTCGGTTGATGTGGAGGTGGAGCCCCAGAGAAGGACGGAAGCGGAGACAGATGGAAGAAGCGGTATAGTCATGCCATACGTGCAGAAGAATCCGGGGGGCCGGGATGGTCGCTCATTTTCGATGTGAGGTTCGCAGGGCTGCTGTTATTGTCTTTTCATCGCCTTGCGACGAACGCCTCGTTAACTGACACAGGCAGTCTTTCGAGCCTCATGCCGTCCAAATCAAATCAGGTTTGGCTGCCGCGAGATTACTATTTTGAAATAATCGGCAGCATGTTGTAACGGTCACACTTGAATGCCATGGTGTTTTTGGTTGTGAGAAATAGAGTATTTTCGCCACCAAGTCTCTGACTGGCTCATTGCTAAGTCCCTGAAAAAGCTAGTTGTTTCGCCCCGATCTCATCCAATTTACCCCAAACGCCGTCGCAATATTTCCCCATCTTTGTGTGTCGTGTGGTGTGTGAGTAGGTGTGCCCGCTCGCCAAGTGAGAAAAGAGCGATGGTTAATGCTCTATGTACAGAAAAAAACCAAAAAACCCAATTGCCGGCTGGTGGTGTATCAACGGAATGAACGATCCCCGTTTCTCGTCTTTGAAGAAAGGAAAATGCTTTGTTTGAACCGTAGATCCCCGGCTGGTATAACCTCCCAATCCGTACTGTAGCGTTTGTGCCCTCGATATATACACTCTATGTAGCTTTGTAAATGCCAAAAAAATGGGGGTAAGTATCAAATCAAACTTTGCAGTCAGATAACCTTGGCACCTTTCCCCACGCTTGTCATCGAGATGACGGAAAACTTCCCAAAATACCATAATCTGGCTGTCGATGCCGAGTAGTAAAAATGAAAACACGCGTGCTTAAGGTCTCTCGATCGGGTTCTCCCACTTGATTGGATGCAGCAGCATGCTGCGCATGCACAAACGGCCCGAGCTGTCCTTGTGAGATTCCTCTTCAAGTCCTCCGCGGAGAGAGCCCTCGCCGGCGCGGCCGCCGTTGTTGCCGCGGCCATCCATTTGAGCGTAACCGAGCCACCGGCGCCACAGGAGACCGGCGAACTCAGAGTTGTAATACCAGCTCGTGCCCTTGTGGTTGTGCTCGTTCTTGAGGTCGAAGGGGCTGCCGTGACCTCCCGTAGTGCCGTCGCGGCCGCCGTTGAACGCCTTCTCAATGGTGTTGAAGGGGTACCACGCCCGGTCGAGGAAGACGGGATGCGGAGCGTAGGCCGCCTTGAAGCCGTGATGCAGTGCCATGCTAGCGGGGAACATCTCAGAGAACATGCTGTGGTGCATCCGCCACATCTCTTCGTGCATGGCGGCGAGGAGGCGGCGGGAGAGTCGCGAGGCGGTGACAATGGCACATCGACGTGGGGGCGGGGCAAAGACCATCTCGTAGCCGGTGACGTCCTTGGCGAAGACCCAGCCGGACTCATCTGCGTCGAAAAGGGGGTTAAGGGTGATGAGGTCGGCTTCCTCGCCTACACCACATTCATTAGGGTTACCGCCACGGGCACATGAAGGAGGTAGAATTGAGGCGCCAGCTTCTTCGCTCTTCAGCGACATGCGGCCCGGGAAAATTTGAGGGCCAAGAATAGCGCGGCGGCTGGATGCGTTAAGCTCCTTCTCGACAATGTTGGCGAACTCATCCCAGGATCCGTGCTCGGCGGGAATGTAATATTTGGAAGACCGCTCCCAGAGAAGGGTGCGAGTCTGCGCCTTGGCCCAAGACCCAAGGCGATCCAGAAGTTCATAGTAAGAACCAATGTAGCGCATGTCCATCTCCCAGTTCCAGAAATGGGCATACTCGGGGTGCTGGAGAGCAAAGACCTGGAGTGGCATCTGCGCGCTTCGATAAACACCGTGGATATCACCGTTCGACGGGTTCTCGATTGCGTCGGCAAAGTGACCGGGATAGTAAAGCTTCATCTCCGCCTCAGACCAAAGAGTACACATAGAGTGGAACTCAGTGGGAACGTTGGCATCGAGTATACCCTGGACAACGGACGGATCCGACCATATGGGCGCTTCGTTGTCCTTCACGTGAAGGAGGAAATGAACGGTGTATTCACCACCGGACTTGAGCGAGAGCTCAGAAATCATTGCTCGAAAGTTGACGATAGCGAGCTGAGTCCATTGGAATCCGACGTATGTGCGAACGACAACGGCGATGCGGTCCGTCTTCTTAAGGCCGCTTTCGGGGCTTTCCGGCTCGCTGTAGATCGCATCGTATGTGCTCTCCTTCGTGCCATTGCTGAAGCGGGCGCTGTTGCGTTCAACACATCGTTCTTGAGCGACGCCCCAGTCGACGCGGCTGTAGTCAATCTTGCCAGTCTTGGCCCAGACAGCCTCGGCGCCCTCCTGTTCAGTATCGTAACCTTGAGACGTACCACCCTCGCTAATGCTGTACCCGAGGCCGTAGGGGCCATAGCGCCCGAAACGATCGAAGCAAACGTCATTGCGAAGACCGAGCACGGTGTGAGAGCCGATAGCCGGATCAGGCTGGTTCTGGGGGACGCCGTCGAAAGCGTAAATGTCCGGGACGGCGATCTTGTCGTCTTCGTCGATGAAGCATTCGCGGACAGGGTGGTGTTCTCTCGTGTATTCAGTAGAGGCATAATCTGGGTGAGCTGCGTAAGGTGTGGGAGTAGGAGGGGTATCATGGTAAATAGGCACGGCTGTGACCGGTGCCGGGAAAGAGTTGTTGGGATATTCAGGAGTGTGGTTGGCGAAGGGGACAATCGATTTAAGACCGTTGAAGTAGCCGTTGAGGCTTTTTTGAGATGTCAGTGAGATTTCAAGCAGACGTTTGCACGGCAGAACTCACTGCTTAAACTTGAGCCATGGCGGCATATCGCTGTCAATGATGAGATCTTCCTCGATCGGCGCTGGCTTGCCATGCTTCTTCGGATCCCCGATCCCGCCTATCCTATAGTCGTCTCCCAAGACTTTGCCATCTCTTGTGTATAATGGTGTGTTGAGATACGCAAGACCGATCAGCATGGATATTGTCACCGTCCATATCACAACCCTGCGATACAGGCAATGGCCTAGTATCGCTCGCACCCTGAGTTTCGGTTGTGGGATCGTAGTGGCTGGCGCGGGGAGAAAAAACTCCCCTTTCTCCTGGCCGGGTGTTGTATTGAATAATGAGTTCGAGCGGGACGAGCGAGTACTGGACCGCGAGCTGCTGATGGATCGGGTGGTGCTGGTAAGAAGTGAGTGAGCTCGCTCCATGGTTGCCGGAGTGAGAGAGTTGGGTATATGGGTATCACAAAAACATCTGGTGATGGAACTTGGCCTTAGGAAGAAGGATCGAATACAAGAGGACCTCGAGAGGGAGGGGGAAATGGGCGAAGGTTAATGCTATAAGAAGCGGAATAACTTTGTGCAAGTGACGTTTTCTTGCTTCCATGGCCAGACGCCGGCTCAGACCTTAGTCTTCAAACAAGCGATCTCCCTGGACAGAATGTTGTACGCAAGGAAGAGACAAATCACTAACATCATGCAATAGAGCGAGCAGTTGGGACCGACTAACCGGTCGTCGGGCGGGGGGGTATGGCTGGGCTGATCTGCGGAGAGCGTGCAAGAGTCGGTGTTAGTTGGGATGTCCAGGGTTCGGGGGCTGCCGAGCCTCTTTGCCTCTTTGGCTCTGACTTGACTGTCCACCATTCCCACGCCAACCTGTCTCAGCTCCCAACGTCGCGGGGAGCGAGCAAGGATAGGCCATGAGCCGCCAAGCCGGGGACAGGGGTTACTGAGCCTCAAGCGATGCAGACGAAGTGCTTCTTCCATCCCTTCCCCAAGTTCCAAGCCCATCATCGTATCGTTTGGATTGAACGCCGCTTGGCAGGTCCCGTATTCAGGAGTTGGACCCAGCCACCTCCCAATGCCCAAATACGTCTTGCTTTGCAATACGGTCTTAGTGAGAGCATGCGAGAACATGGAGATATTCCAGGCCGTTCCAACCCGGAATCCGAAATAAAGACCTTGGTGAAGATCTTCGGATTCCCGCTACAGCCGGAGGGCGAACGCTAACTGGACGGACAAATGTGTGGCACAGGCAAGACAGCCTTCGCGGAGCTGTATCAGAGCGTATGGGATCAGCGCCTTGCTGGTGAGAGAAATAGGAAGAGAGACTCGAGAACATCGGAAGGGGGGTTGCGCGTCCCCTGTGGGGCACTGGCTCATGCGCAGTTCCGTCCGGTATAGACTAGGAACTACAATTGCTTTCCTTTCCTACTTTGCGCGCGACAGGGCCGTAAGGAACAGGGAGGAGGGTGGTTGTAGCCCGTTGCTAAAGAAAGCAACGGGGACGTGAATCGGGGCGTCGATTAAGGTGTGGACATGCAAGGAACGCGGCTTAAGCGCACGGGAGTTGGTGCATCTGAAACCGTCGACGTTGCGGCGTTGGGCGACGTTTCAAGGCAGCTCAACCCACGTTGCGAGTCTTGCAGTGCGATTTGTCAGGAGTAGGGAAGAGGAACGGGAAAATGGGCGGCCTGGGCCCTTTTTTGGGGGAAAACCGGCGCTGGGACGGCGTGGTTCGTCGCTCCAGCCCTGTTCATTCCATTCCGCCTGCGCCTGCGCTGCCGTCTGCAGTTCTGCTCGACTCTGAGCCACTCCGGAGTCCACTGCCGTCGACCCCGTTCACCCTGTTCCTGTTGCGGCTCGGGTTTTGTTGGTGTTGTAGGAAGTGGTTCTGGGAGATCGGATCTGGAAGGCCATGGCCCATACCTGTGTCGCCATGTCTCGTGTGCCGACTCTTGCGTTGTAAACTCCTCCTCGGGATCCCGAGTTCGTTCTCTGGTACCTCGTCGTCGTAATGGACGCCACCCGGAAAGCCATCTGACGGTGAGCCGAATGAGTCTCATCCACTCAGCGTCATTGCTCCGGCACAATTAGCTTCGGGGCTCAAGCAGGGCGGACGTCCTTCCAGTCGGGTCTCGCTTCAACTTGTTTCCTGAATCGTCCGGTCAATTGTTGAATTGGCTGGAATGCGTGACCTGCTGCCATGCAATCTGATCCATTCTGCACCCAAAGGTCACTCGTTCCTCTTTGCCATGAGGGTTTCATCCGTATGCACTCCGGCTGTTCTATTGTCCAGGCTTCCGCTAGACCCTGTGTTTCTATTTGCAAGCGCAGTATTGCCATTTCGGGGGCCAATGCGTTCTTCACAAACAAATAGAAATGTGCCGACAGAGGATTGCTACAACAGGCGCTGATCATCCAGAACGATCTGAGCCACCCATATTTGCCCCAGATCATGGCATGAGGGCCATTGCTTGAGAAGTCGGTGCATGATTGGCCGACTAGCTGTTTAATTATGTTGAAGCCGTCAATCTGCCCTCCGTCAAATTGATTGATGTTTCCATTTGGCTGGAAGGCCGTGTCCGGTGGCTGTCCCAATACCGGGCGGCATCTATCTTGGACTAGTTGTCGACTAGGAGCACGCCGTCATCGACGGAAGCCATCGTGGTCTTCGGCCGAGCTCCTCCTAGGCGGGGTGTTCATCGTTAGGTAGGCAATTAAACTAACCTTTTCCCGAGAACCAGGGAGCCCACGAAGACAAGCCAGCTTTGGTTTGATTGCAGACCGTGATGATTCTGAGAGTCTAATAGAGGGCATTCAATATGCGTCATGCTGGCCAGACTTGTCCCTTGACGTCCGCGTGTGCCATCAGAGAGGCATCGCGTCACCGTTTGATTGTAGAGTTTTTCCGAAACTGAGTTCCCTAGGCTTCGAATAGACTGCCTAACAAGGTCAAAGCTGGGGTCCATGGTATGGCAGAGAGGTTGGGTTATCGCTGACGTCAGTCCCGGTGGCGGATGCAATTGACAGCGGGGGTGGGTTGTGCAATGACATTGTCTGTCAGCTGAAATTGTTAGAAAGAAAGCCTCGGGAGGGCGGACGGGCGAGAGGAGTTGTGAAGAGCCCAGGTTGGGGGTCGAAGAGAAGATGGTGTCGAGGCGGACGGGAGGGAAGGCATAGGCCAGGCCCTTGCACCGTTAGACGAGAGTCTGTTGTCGTCTTTGTCTTTTCTCACCGGCTATGACTCGTCCGAGTCGCAAATCGCGAGTTGGGACTTTCCGGATAGGGCGACAACGAAACAGAGGATTGCGTGTTCTATCATGGGAAACACTATTTTGATGCGCGGCAGCTTCCCCGCGATCAATACGCTCGCCCTGGATCTGGACGACGCGTGTTTCGGTGTTTGGATGTACGATTGACTCTTGACCATAAGGTTGGAGAGAGTATACGAGCGAGAAGCGAGGAAGGAGCGGTGGAGTGCCAACAGCCAGCCGGGTTGAGGGCCTCCGCCGGAGAGAAGGCCATCTTAGTCATCGCCAACAGCTTCTGAAAACGCCCTTTGAAGCAAAGTCATGTCATCGGCCAGCGATGGTCTGGCCAGTGGCACGCAGCTGACGGGTCGGTCGGGGTGGGGTGGAGGTGCGAACCAAAGACGATGGCGTGATTACCTAAGGTGCCTACCTAGCTTAGGTAGGTACTGTCGACTGGCAGAGCCGACCTAAAGTCACGTGAAAAAGCCCGGATGGCTAGAGACGTGGCTGAACCTCGCCTCAGCCACTTTCTCCCCAAAACGGAACTAGCGTGCACCTGCCCTACCCGCACAACAAGCGATTTCAGCAAAACCTCGAATTTCACTTTTCCCCGCCAGCAAATTCATCGTCACGACACTCCGGCAAGCGACATCGACAAACAGCCGCCAAGATGGGTAGGTCCTTTTTGGAATGAGTCTTTGCATTTTCAGTCTCAGCGTGGCCAGCAGCCGGATTCGATATGGAAAACCGAGAAGGAACTGCTACTCTCGTCGACGTTGCGCTGTCCGCCGATGCGCAAGCGACAAATTTTGGGCACGAGGGGGGAAAATCACCGGATCTCGAAACGACGCACCACGGCACACAACACCACGGCAGCGCACACACGACGACGACTGAGGCTTGAGCGGAATCGATCCGGCTGCGACCACGAAAGACTATTTTGCGAGATGGCTTGGTTTTGATGATGGAACACCAAAGGCTGACTCGGGATTTCCAGTGAACATTCCCAAGACGCGTATGACCTACTGCAAGGGCAAGGAGTGCCGCAAGCACACCCAGCACAAGGTCACCCAGTACAAGGCCGGCAAGGTATGTTCAAAACCGCGCGCAACGACAAACCGAGCGACGCATTACCCTCCGAGATGACAAACGGGTTTACTAAACAGTTATTTGCATAGGCCTCGCTGTTCGCGCAGGGAAAGAGACGTTACGACCGAAAGCAGTCCGGTTACGGTGGTCAGACGTACGTACCTACATCCGCCACCTGTCGCAAGACGGGCACTGTTTGAGGGGGAAACATGCTGTCGCCATGCTGCACATCTATTCCTCCCTCACCAACAGAGCACACCTGCCTAGAGCAAGGCTGACAATGCCACAGCAAGCCTGTCTTCCACAAGAAGGCCAAGACCACCAAGAAGGTTGTCCTGCGGTTGGAGTGCGTCAAGTGCAAGACCAAGCTTCAGCTCGCCCTGAAGCGCTGCAAGCACTTCGAGTTGGGGTACGACGACACCATCCCTTCCTCACAGTGCCCGAGAACCAGATTGCTAACAGCTTCTACAGTGGTGACAAGAAGACCAAGGGTGCTGCCCTCGTTTTCTAAACGCGTTGTGTTTTCGGTCGACCGACTTTTATGGCTCCTTTCACGGCATACTACGGATCATCATCAGGCTGGAACAATGGCGGCGAAGAGGGTTACCAGTTCTCATTTGCGGAACACTACATAGGGAACAAATAAAAGCCCTGACTTGCGAACGGATACCAAAAAACGCATTCATCAAGCCTTTCCCTCACCTCAATCTGCCATCTGTTGGCGCTGCAAGCGCGCCTGGAGAGAGAGACCGAAAAGTGATAAGAGAAGATGCGGGATGCGTGGGAACTCGACAAACGGGTTGTCCTGAGGGTGCTAATCACACTCGAGGTGGGATGACCTCGACCCTGTCGAGCCACTCTGCCCATGCTCCTAAAGCTGTGGTCTCTAAAAGATAGATGCCTTTTCCATACGGCTCAGCCGGTCAATCACATAACTGAGTCACGAAGAAACGTTTATCATGGTTCACTCTATCCGTCGTCTACATATGTTTGCCTAGTGTATCAAAACGTCTACCCATATCACTCGCCCGCCTCCATGCCATCATGCCTGAATTCCAAGTTGGAACGGAAGCGTCTGCAACGTGCCCAGCCGCCCAGCCTATATCCCCGTCTCAGAAACCCTCACCGAGCCTGATCGTCCTCCCTCCTCCATACCACAACTGTCCATTCCGCGCATCCAGCCCCTTCTCCTGCCCAACAACCCACTCGCCAACCCACTCCCCGTCCTTTAGGCCCCAAACCTCCGTCTCGAGCCACGCGTTAATCTCATCGATGGTATCAGCCCACTTGGCCCGCGCCTCAGGAGTCTCGTGATCCTTCTCGGTAAGATACCTTCCCAGCGTGATGTGTGCGCTCGGCACCTGGTACCGCGACTCGATCGGCACGCCCGTCGACTGCGCCAGGTCGAAGATATCTCGGCGGAGGTGGTGGTACGTGTAGCTGTCGCCCTCGACGACGGCTTTCTGTGTCGCAGTGGGCACGGGTGGGGGGCCAAGGGAAAACTCGCCCGCTGCCGGGAGGAAGGAGATGGCGAAGGCAGAGAGATCGTACGAGATCATGGGCTTCACGAGGCGCGAGCGGTGGGAGTAGGTGTAGTCTGTGATGTAGGGGATCGCGGAGCGCATGGCGTCGGTGAGGGCGATGATTTCCTCAGGGTTCTTGGAGTGTGTCACCTCGAGCGTTGTGAGGTGCATGCGGTGCTGAGGCATGAGCCAAACGCCTTGGGAGCTCCAAATCAGTATGAATCCCTCAACGTCGTGGATTGGCGCATCTTACTCGGCGCAGCCTTCTTGAGTAGGGCCTGCACGTGGGCCGCGAGCCTCACAATGTGATCGGGCGGACGAGCCCAGAAGACGAAGCAGTTACGGGGATCTTGGAAGCCTGGCTCCATCTCAGGGTTTTCCAATCTCAAAAGGAAGGGGTCTATGATGAGTTCCTTGAAATCGGGGGTGATGAACTTTTGCTTCTGCTGCTCATTTCTCTTCGTTCTATGGGCGTGGTACAGAGCTTGAATCTCTGCCTACGATTTTACATTCATCAGCTATAGCTGGTTCATGTTGACGAAGAGGTAACATTACAGGGTTATCATTGCAGGCCTTGATGAAGGCGTCGTATGGGTTCTGACCCGGCAGGATTGTAATGCCCGACAAGTCTTCCAACTTGTTCTTGGCGTCAGTTGAGACTAACTGAGAACCCATGTTGATGGTCTTTGTGGGTTTGCTGTGTTGTGTTGAGTTTATCGTCATTCAAGGGAGTTGGGTCAGAGGCTCGAAGAAAGAAAAGGTACAACAGCCGCTCTTTGTGGTTTTCAGCAAATGCGGCATATATCCAAACCCGGTACCGAAGACGGACCTGGGCAACTCGGATTGACAAATTGCCAAGCACTCGTCGTTTCTTTGCACGTTGTTGTTGAGTCACGGCGAGATGGATCGAGACTAGAGGCGCAAGCAGGCCTGGCAAGCTGAAGTTCAAGGGTCGTGGTCACCGCCAATCAATACGCCCTTCCATAGCACAACTATCGCGGGCCAATCAGGGCAGATGAGGTGGGAGCCGTCGTCGGCGACATGCCTCGGAAGGAAGTGGAGAAGGAGCTCGATGACCAGTCTGGCTGGGATCGGCTCTTCCCAGCGGAGTCACATGATTTAGGATTCGGGCCCGGCCAAGGCCCTTGGCCAATGGGGCCACACAGGGCGAGGTGAGCCGTTCTTGTTTTGACATCAACTCTTCCAGCTTGAATGCCTCTTGTTTTACAGGAGCACGGTATTCGTGGATAGGTTCACTGGGAAGATGGCGAAACTTCATATGCCACACTCTTTCGAGGCAAGCGAAGACAGACGGAGGAGGGAGACTGCATCGTTAAGGGTCTCCACTTTAAAATTGGGGAAGTAATTCGCATACGTACACCAGTCCGGGTGCCTGTGAACCGGACCTTTAGTAGCTTATTTTTGGTAATGGCCGGACTTCAGGTACATAAACTTTTATCTACTGGCGTCTTTCCGAACGAAGCTCCGGCAGCGCTCGCTCCCCTATTATTTTCGGCCAGGCTACGTCCACTAGCAATCAAATACTCCTAAACCGCTATCTCTGTGAGTCCTAGAGGAGAGCAACTATTCCGGGTTGCAGCAGGTGGATGATGTCGCCTATTGAGATAGGTTGACCATGCAGGATGGTTGATATCACATGTTCCTTTCGGGACGCTGGCGTTTGAAGTAGAACAGTGATTGCCTGCCTGGCCAGTGTGTTTGCCTCTCTCGAGTCTGCCAACCTGAAGATTTCAAAGGAACACCTCACACAACGTACATCCCCAAGTCACATGTTCAACCCAAATCCAGCAATTCACCTTGAGCGCCAGTGTAACTCAAGCCTCCTATCTGTATTCCTCTTCCCTTAGCATCCCGTGCTCAACGGTTCTTTGCGAACAACTTTTCTATGCCACTCTCACCTTACTGTCACCGCAACACATCAGATTGACACTACCTCGGAGTGGGATTACATTCACTTTTAGTTTGAGCCTCACAGCTCACTATTGCACAAACGATGAAAAGGTGAGACGAATAAGTCACTCCTCTGGGTGCCCACTACCGGGTCAACTTTCATACTTCATCAAGTGATCGTATGTTCTTTTCACACCAAGGCAGAACGAAATTGACCGAGGAACTTAGCCATTTAATGGTACATTAGTAGAGGCCTTTTGGTTGCGTGATCTCTCGCAACTACCACCACGTTGTAAGTCGCAAATTCAGAATACGCATTCACACACCCTACGATGTGACATTTCTTTCAAGGGCTTCCTTGGTAGAAGTCTACCTGAAGTCGAGGCCTTCTTACTACACAATGGATGCGGCTGGGTGTCTGCATCGTTCATGCGGGACCATCATATCACCAAAGAAACTGGTTGCCGCAGCGATCAAAGATCATTTCACACTCGCAAAAAGGCGGGGACCGTCCGCATGGAGCCATCTCACCTTGTGTCAGTTCACATCACCAGAAATCTAGCAGCCAGGCAGGGCCTGAACAGCAGGTACACCATGCAAGAAGAATCAGTCATCTTTGCATGTCCTTAGCAACCTCAACCCAAAATAAAACGGGGAGGCCTGTAGGTGTCTGCCTATTTCACTCAAATTTCAGTGACCATCATCTTATTGAGGCTTTTCATGACCAAAGCAAGTCAAAGCCCCTCACTTTATCACACTTTTCTCATCCGTCATCAGTTCCTTCCACATGAGCTAGTGAGTACCTCCAAGTGGTTGCTCTTACTAGATGAAGAAGGATTGATGGAGTACCAAAAACCTCAGGGATATTATCACCATGTTGTTCATGACAAGGGAACCTGCGTCCTCAATTCCTTCCGAGGGCCCTCTTTCTACATATCAACATTATAACCTCTTCATCAAAGGCCCCAGGAGTAGCTCTCACATTAATGCTAAGGGCATCCCCTTTTGAAAGCCGCAAGAGCACCACTCACTATGCCAGTAATGATAAGGGCCATGCATCCTCAGAGAAGCTCATAAGGGCCCTAAGTGATGCCATCACCTCTTCCTGGAATATCGAAAGGGAAGCTCTCGCCATTTGTGATGAGATTAACCGTGAACCACCTCAACGCTTTAAGGGTAGCTCTCGCCTTCATTGAGGGCACCCGCCTCTTTAAGCTCATGAAGAGTAGCTCTCGCCGTGCCAGTCAACAGTTCCCGCCTCGTTTGGTCTAGCCCCCTTCTCCGCCATGAGCGTGAATACCTACATGGCTTGACGTGGATCACCTTCTCAGAGGAATACCTCCACGCTTTGCCTTTTGACCTATCAAAGAGGAAATCCCTCCCACTTTCCTCACCTCTCTCGATGAGCTTCACCTTCTTTTACCCTCTTCCATGCTTTGAAAGATCCAACAAAACCTCCTAATAACCATCACCAACCATCAAAAGCGATCAAGCCTTATCAATCTTGGAGATCTTCGGCTTTGACTCCTGTCTCAGGATCCCTTTCCTTGCTCTTTTATCCTCACATACCCTCCTCCCATCCAAAAGACCCCTTCTCACCCTTACTGCTACCTCTATCGCGGCACCTTGCGTCATCATGGCAGATCAGGAAGAGCCGGGTGATCTTGACCAGCAGAGTTTAGGTGATCAGGATAATCTCAGCTTCGATGACAAACAGCGCCTGAAAAATGTCCCTATGCCCCCCAGTGGCTCTCTTCCCAATCAACACCACCATGGGCGATCAAACCTGATTAACCCTTCGACGGACACCAACTATACCGACTTCACTCAAGGTATGGCGCCCGAGGCTAACATGGGCACGCTTCCCAGTCGGTACCGAGTGTCGCCACAAGCTTTGCTTAACCATCCTGCAAACGCCAACCAGGGTGGCCTCTCTCAAGCCCTAGCTCCGGCGGCTTCCATGAACGACTTTCCTCTACAGCAACAGGATCAGAGCTACGGGGCCTCTCTCGGCAATATGCCTGACTTCATTGATGCTACTGGAAACTTACGGCTTCAGCCCGCGATCAGTTCATGCTCTCTTCCCCGTGTTAACCAACGAGCGACACTTTATGCTGACCATGCAAGCCAACCGCTTCAGAATCGGAATGGTCAAGATATTACAGCTGAGGCCAACCGTGCAGCCAACGTTCTGTGCTTGATTGGAGCCCATGGTCAACCCGGCGATGACATCAACATGCTAGGAATATTCCCAACCCCCGAGAAGCTCCTCGAAGTCTTGATCGATGCTTGCTTGATGGAAAACTTCCAACTGCTAGCTTCAAGCTCATCACCACGACAGCTCGGCTGTCAAGCAAACTGCCAAGAGGATATGGATGAGCGATCTGTTCTCAAGCCGCGAGACTCCTTCGGAATCATCTTTAACAGAGCATGTAAGCTTGGCTTCGAAGAAGTCGCGCAGGCGGGCGGCGTCTCGTTCAAAATTGCCACTATGTGTTCTGGCACAGACGGTCCGATCTTGGCCCTCCGCGAATTTGCTGAGGCAGCCACTGGACATGGCTACGCGAATGCCCTTCATTATGACCATGTATTCAGCGTTGAGATCGATCCGTTCAAGCAGGCTTTCATTGGCAGAAATGCTCCCCCTTCCGGCCCAATCTTCAGAAACGTCATCGACGTGGGTAGGCCCGGCGCAGTTCAAGCGTTAGTTAATTTGATCTGAAGTCTCACTTTGCGACCACTAATTGTGTTATAGTATGACGGCATCCGGTGCTATGGCAGACATCCCTACGGGTGTCGACATTCTCATTGCCGGTAGCTCTTGCGTTGATTTCTCAAGCCTCAACATTCAACGAGAGAAGAAGAAGCGGACGTGCGGCCTGCAGAAGCTATTCGAGCAATTCGAAGAAATGGGTATCACTGACGTCCTCGGGCAAGATGATCCCATTGCGGAGGAAGTCATTGAGGGCCTCAAGGCACTTTTCGAGAATATCGAAGAAGAAAAGGGAGAGTCGACAAAGACATTTTTGTCGATTCTACTTTACGTCCTGCAGCATCGCCCTAAGATTCTCATCTTGGAGAACGTTACCAAGGCCCCTTGGGACCAGTTCAAGGGATTTTGGCTGCCCGCCATCGGGTACAACGCCTCCGTGGTCCAAGTTGATTCCAAAAACTTCCTTGTGCCCCAAACGAGACTGAGGAAATACCTGGTTGCAGTTGACGGCAGAAGATACGGCAACGGCGCCTCGGATATCGTCAACGGATGGGCTAAGCTCATGGACTCGTCACAGTGGTTCAAGAACCCACCCGACCTGCAAAGGTTCCTGCTGCCGCCTTCAGATCCACGTGTCTTGCAGGCCAGGTTCCAGCTGGAGAGGGCGTTACTGTCCAAGCCCAAGAAGGATGTTGAAGCCGTTGTGTGTCAGAACGACCATAGACTTGCCCGGCGGAACGAGAGACTCGGCGACTCTCACCCTTACACTCGACTTGACGATCGTGGCAACGTCCAGCCTCGCGAGGAGTCATGGCGTGGCTACGTCTTCGTCATAACGCCGCGGATGCAGGACCTTCTCGACATCACCTGCTTGCGGTCCTACAAGAAGGGCTTTGACTTTATGTTTAAGGTCCTTGTCCTCGATCTCGGGCAGAACGTGGACCGTCAAGGCGCCAAATTGGGCGTAATGCCCTGTGTCCTTCCGTCATGTGATCCGTATCTCACATATCATGGTCGCCCCGTCTTGGGCTTGGAATGTCTTGCGATCCAGGGTATTCCAATTGACCGCATATCCATTTCAGTGGAGAAGGAGGCTCAACTGAAAGACCTGGCGGGCAACGCAATGACAACTACAGTGGCAGGTGCGGCTATCCTGTGCGCCGTCATTTCCGAGAGAACCTTTGTTGTCAAGGCAGGCAACCAGCACGTCAACATTAACGGTCTTTCCAGGGCTGACGCGATTGGCCCCGTTGAAACCTCTGCTGTTCGTCCCGAATTGGACCCCCCGACTAACGAAGCGAGCTACGCGCGCTTTCTTTCGGATTCATCTCCCAATTTTGAGATCTACAAGAACGACTGGGAAGACTATTTCAACTACATCGACCCGAACGTTCAGTCATCTAGTTCTGCCCCCACCATCACCGACGCAAACATATCGCCCACGTCGTACGCGAAGATGAAGTGGCAGGACGCCCTCCTCGACAAATTGCAGGGCGAGTTGGTCGTTGGCTTTCTTACTGACCTCTGTCGCAAGGGCCGTCGCAACTGCCTCTGCGATGCCTTCCGAAAACATCAACATACCGGAACCTACTGGCGTTGCGATGACTGCAATGAGATCCGCTGTGAATCCTGCACAGGAAATCCCGAGCACAACTTCGACAAGCTTCACTCCATTGACGCCACCCGCTCAATCGACAAGAGCGTGGCTTACCAGCTTGCCACGGTTGCGTTCCCGGCTCACCTATTCGTCGATGCGTTCGATCCTGACGTTGGTGTACTCGATGGTCTCAATGATCAGATATTCGACCAGCACCGTGCCGCTTTGCGACTGGCAATCAAAGCCTGTTGCGGGTCAAAGCACTACTACCAGACAAGCCTCAAGTTCAGAGACGACATCACTGTGACTTACGACTCAACCGATTCCTACATCACTCTTGTTGTCACTGAGAAGGAGCTTACGTGGAGCCTCCATGTAAGACAAAGTTACTTCGACGTTGCCGATCTTTCCCTCGAGCCGAACGATTCGACCCAGAACGCAGCTCCCCTGCTCAACTCACTGAAGTACGATGTCCGCAAGCCTCTATTGAGAGCCGTCATTTCGGACCCCAACGCCAGCATCCTGCCCATGATGGACGACTAGAAGTTGTACGTTCAGCAAGAAATTGGCATTCAAATCAGTCAGGAGCCCTTGCGATTCAGCCCTGGTCTGGGTCCTTGGGAGGGCTTTCGTCAGCGGATTCTCGATATACCTAGTTATCCTCAGTTGATGGGCCAGGTTGCGGAGGACATTGACGGAGAGTTTCACTTTACTAACATGTGTGGCACCCCGTTTGGCATTCTATACACACGCAAGGATGATACTCCTAGTCGCATCTACCACATGCTGCACACGAACAGCACTATGGCTGCTAATGGCGACCGGTGGGTGTTGACGAACAACCCCAGAAAGCTCGAGCCAGATGAATCGAGAGACATCCTTTGCATTTTCCCTGGGAACTTTACGCACATTATGGACGATGGAATTCAACAAGAGCCTCGAAAAATTTCAGCCACGGTCCCGGGCGTGTGGAAGTTTCTGCCGTCTAACTACTTGCTTACCATCTCTGAGCGCGACCCAGCTCTTACGGTCCGATTCAGTGACCTAACGGAGCATTTGGTCGGTCTGGACAACTGTCAATCTTCGCTGCCGTCCATTTTAGTCAGAATGGACAATACCGACATGTACTTTCCTGCCAAGTCGCTTCCTGTACAGTGGGACGCCTCTCTGCATCCCACCAACACTGGCAACGAACACTGGGTTTCAGTCGCGGACTACGAAGCTAAGGACGCCTTAGCCCTGTTTTCCTCCGCCATGAACAAGATCAAGAGAACTTCGCAGCACTCTGACCAGATTAGCAGTCTGAATGTCGAGAACATTCTTCTTGATGCAACCACCCTGTGTCACAGTTGTTCACCCGAGCCCGCCACGATCCTTCATCGCTGGGACGAAAATGGCAACATCGAGCGAGTCGAAGACGAGCAGATGGCTGCACAGGCTGACCAGGATTTGCAACGGCGACCCGCCCCATACCAGATTCAAGCCTGGATGAACCCAAATGTTGGAGGCGCCGGTCGTTTAAGTATCTTGAACTTCAGGGTCCTTTTCAGACCCATATCGCTTGCACATCGAGCCCACGGTCACTTCCCCAAAACCAAGAACCTCATGTCGACTTTCGTCCGCTCAGCTCAAGGGTTAGGCACATTCAACGTTCAGTTTGGATTCTGGGACCCGAGTCTGAAAGAACTGCGGCCATTCAAGCACAGCATGATCCCGGTTAAGGAGGGCGACTTTCCTCTGGACAACGCAAGACAACCCCCAACTTTGCGCGCAATGGCATGGCTTTACGACGTGATCAGTGGGAGGCTGTACAGTGGATGTTGAAGCGAGAACACAACAACGACTTGTTCATCGAGAAGGAGTTCGAAGAGTGTGTTTTACCGTCGGTCAATGTGCGGCTGCATGCTACGGCCAGCATGGAGAACCTCGCGCGAGGCGGCGTTCTGGCGCATGATATCGGCTACGGCAAGACAATCGTTACGCTTGGTCTTGTTGACTTCTCCGCCGCCAATCCTGAGAATGAAGCCAACTCTATCCAGGAGAGGACGCTGTGGTTGGGCAGCACCAGTCTCATTCATCTCAAGGCGACATTGGTCATCGTTCCACCCCACATTGTAAGTCAGTGGGCCAAGGAGACTGTGAGATTTGTCGGACGTGATTCAAGAGGTCGCGGCAACGGTTTGCTCACTGTTCATGTCGTTACGAGACCTGCGGATGTCGTGCGAGAGAAGTTGATCGTAGCAGACATCATCGTTGTCAGCAGTACGTTCATCTATTCGGACAAGATCATGGAGAAGCTGGCAGCGGTGTCTAAGCTTCCACCCATCCACCACAAAAAGTCGGCGTTAAAGGGCCGGGATCATAACGATTGGTACTCTGAAGCCGTCGAAACCATTCGGCAATCTGGTTTCGACTTCCGCAACCCAGACAGCACCAGCAGGATACAGCTCGATACCGCCTTGCAGAGTCGACGTAATACTACCAACGACTGGACCCAGAAGGCTGCAGACAACAGCGTGGGCCCTAGCGACCGAAAGACCCAAACGACTGCACGGACAACCGCCAAGAAGAACGCATCGGTCTCAAAATACAACTTGAAAGCCAAGGGTGTTGCCGCTATCGACATACTGGAAGTCTTCAAGAAGGCCGAGCTGCTGGAGATGTATACCTTCCAGCGGGCTGTTTTCGACGAGTTCTCATACGAAAACACCCCTGTCGCTGCATTCTTACAGAATGCCATCGCCTCCGCGAAATGGATCCTCTCCGGAACGCCTCCTACGATCGACCTTGGCCGGATTTGCGAGATTGGTACGTTGATCAATGTTCACGTCGCTCGTGCTACGCCTTCTATGCCGGCTTACTTCCCGAACGTTACAGCTGGACCAAGAATTTCGGAGCAGACCGATGCCGAGAAGTACCACAGCTACACAGAACCCATCTCTGCGCAGATGGCCATCGAGCGTCATGAGCAAGCACAGCGTTTCATTGCGCACCACTTTCGCAAGAACAAGACAGACGTGGACAACGTGATTGTCGAAGAATACATGTGTTTTGCTCCGATGCAGCCCCAGGAGGCCTTTCTCTACCAACTGGTGCAACAGTTACTCTACGACGCCAAGTTCGATATTCAAGACATGTCATGCCATTTTGCGTTGTTGGTTCAAGCCGCGTTGAACAAGGAGAAGGCTGCAGGCTCTGGTTTGAAGGTCAAGGCTTCAGGCAAGTCGCTTTGGTCCGACGCCATTGATGTCTTGCTTTTGCTTGCGTCCGTCTCCGCCTCGTACAGTCATTCCGGCTTTCAAGCGCTGAAATGGGTTGGTGCTGGCGAGAGGCTTACTTTACGGACACTGAGTCAACGCACAACTCGCGCAACTGCCATGCAATTGGCGCGTTACACACAGGTGCTGGCATCATACTTTGACCAGATGATGTATCTTGCGAATGTCATCGAAAAAGATGACACTCCGCGCAGTGCCACCTGGAAGGCCAAACAGGAAGCTTACATGGGCCACATGCGGGACATCATCAACATCTTCAAGCACAACAAGGAGGATGTTGTTGGTGACCGGCAGTGTCTTTTCTACCTGAAGAACGCCATAATCTACAAGGCCTCTCGGAAGGGGGCTCCCTACCAGCCGACACCGGGACACGATGTTTGGAACATTCAGACGTGGTCGCAGAGGAACGGCGGCCCTGCAGGCTTCGGTCCTGCGGATTGGTGGCTTCTGAAAGGAGATGGAAACCTGCCTGACGAGGAACTGCGGGACCTCATGGATCATTGGATCGACCCCGCGGTAGACGATCATGTCAATAGCAAGGACGACATCATCCGAATTATACGAAACAAGCAGCTCGACCCTAATCAACGACTCCACAAAGCAATGGCACTCGGTCTTGGACTGAAGACGAACGATATACGAGACGATGCCTTGGCTCGACTCGACAAACATCTGAATGGCAGCCTGGCAAAGGACGACTTTGAGTTTGGCATTCAGTTGCCCCGCCATCGTCCCCACAAAGGTCGAATGATCAGACCCAGAGGACAGCCCATTGACGAGACACTCAATTGCTTCATGTTGGTTATCCAGAGCATTCAAGCGGGTATAAAAGCTACGGTTGAGGTCTGGCGGCACCAACTCTTCGCTCTCAAAGCAGATTGCCTCCAAAACCAGCAGTTTGATGCCCACAACAGTCTCCCTATCAGGTGTTCCGGTTGCCGCGAGATCATGAGAGGGGCACGGCGTGGTCTTCAATCTATCGCGTGTGGACATACGCTCTGCGAAGATTGTCACCGTGATTTTCAGGGAGGCGGTGTTCGCGTCTGCCCGGTTGAGGGTTGTCAGGCATTGAGTCAGGGGTCCTTTATGCCCTGGGATACGTTCTTGGCCAAAAGAACCGACGATATGAATGCAGATCTGGCAGCGGTTCCAGGGTCCAAGGTGCTGCAGATCGAAAGTATTGTTCTTGAGGAGGTCAAGGACGACGAGAAAGTTCTCGTCTTTGCTGCCTTTGCCGGCATCAAGTCGGAAATCCACGCCCAGCTGCTCCGCCGTATTGGCGATTCCGTCGGAATCTATACAACAGATGGTGGCGATCAAGACTCTCAGAGCATCGACTCATTCAAGTACCACCATGGAAAAGCCGTCCTGATCCAGAGTCTCATGTCCTCAGAGTCTGCTGGAACAAACTTAACCGAAGCCAACCACGTCATTTTCGCCGGAGTTCTCTTCACGGACTCGGACAACTACACGATGTACATGAACCAGGCCAAGGGTCGAGTGATTCGGCAAGGCCAGACACGCAAGGTGACTATTTACCACTTGGTATCACCCGCAACGTTGGAGTTCGACATCTTCAACCAGAGACAGGACGGCCGAATTCGCGACTGGGGCCACCTTCACGGTCGGATTCGCCTTCCGATCCCTGACGATGCTCGCGCCGACCCGGCGTATCCCCTCCGGTACCGTCCTTACCTTGAGGAGTCAGCAGTCGAGAAGCTTCTCCGATCCGTCGAGTTTGAAGAATTTGAAGGCTAAGGGAAGTCGTTTGACGAGGCACTGAGAAAGGCGGTCTTTTGCTGCACAAGTCGCAATCGAAAGAGAAACGCCCCCACTATGAGAGGCAGAAGAATGAATGTGATACCTGGTTGAGAGGATGAATTTGGGATTTGCTCAGAGATGGTGTAACGGAAGTTTGGAGGGTTGCCTTCACAAGAGGGTTTCTTAATGCTGGTTGAGTACAACACACAAACAGTGGCCGTGGGTTGAGGGTTGAGAGTGTACAAGTGCAAAAAAAGGGTTTGTCAAGGATTATTATAGCTAGAGAGCTCAGAAAACGTCAAAAGATCTATGATCACCAATGCCGAATCCCATGATGTGACTAATGCACACGCCTCCAGTGTCCGACACTTTGTAGCTCCAAGTCTGTGACATGCAGATCAATCTGGTAGTATTTCTATCGTACCCGGATTTTCCCACGTCCCATCAACGCCGCTTTCTCTTCTCACCCAACGATGATGTCTGACGTCAACCCAGTTAGTCCGCTACCGCCTCCAACCGATCATCGTACAAGTTCTCAACCCCAGCGGCACATATTCTGCATCATCACAACCTCGCTCCAAAAAAAAGCTTGGCCGCAGCCCAACGCCGTTCTCTTCCAAACCCAAAGCCCAATCCCTCACAACTTGGCAGCAACAGGCATCCTCTCCGGAACCTGCACCATAATCTCCGCCCCGTCACCGGCCGCAGCAAACTCGACCTCCTGACAGTCCTCGACCCCGACGCCGCTCGCGAACTGCGTCACCACGAAATCGATCGCCGTCCCCTGCGGGCCCAGCGCAACCATGGGCGCGTGCCACGTCCCGGCCCCGTACGTCACCGCCTGGCCCGGGTACGCGACGAAGGCCTTGAGGCCCTTGAGATCCGGCAGCCCGCGTCCTTTCCCGCCCGAGACCGGGGCCGGGAGAGAGTCTGTCTGCGCGCTTGGTTGGGGGAGGGTTGGGGCGACGATGACGAGGTACGCTGCGGAGTTGACGCCGGCTGATGCGGCGAGCGGGGTGAAGGTTTGGGTTGTGAAGGGGTGTCGTTCCAGGATGCGCACGCGGAAACGGCCTCCCCGGGAGGGGCCGGCGTAGGTATACGGTAGCAAGGTGGAGATGGGCGGGGCGGTCGCCGGGGTGGCGGGCTCCAACGCGCGCGCGGCACAGGAGAAGATACTCACGATGGGCTTCGCGGCGCCGCTGGGCGCCTGGGAGTAGAGGTCCAGTGGGGTGGAGACGTTTTGGTACTTGATGGCGCTGCCCTGGTTCGCGGGGACGGCGGAGAAGGACGCCGATACGGACGCCGGGAGGGAAGCGGAGGGGAGGACGTCCGGGTGAGGGTTCTCAATCACATCGCCGAAGGGGGCGAAGGAGGAGCGCGTGAGGGGCTCGGCGGGGATGAGGAGCGTGAGGGGGGTTGTGAGTGTTGTCGTCGGCATTGGGGCGGTTATTTTTCTGTTTCTTGATTGAGATTGGGATTCTGCGAGACCGGAGGACGAGCTGGACGAGCCTGGAGTGAGATCCGGGTATGAGAACGTGGCTTGCGAGAGGTGGGATGAGAGAGTTGAGGTTGGAGTAAGCTTCCACTTCCATGAGCTATCAATTGGTGAGAGGGGAGCTCCCATTGGGGAAGCTTCCTGCTTGGGGGATGGCCTGTGCGTGTCCCCGAGCCTCGGCGCATAGGGTCCGATGGAGCACGATAAGGATGTGGGAAGTCAAGCGTGGGGTCATTAACACATGTCATCTGTGCTTAGCAAGTGGTGCTGGTGTCGATTTTTAGAACTTACGGTGTTTGGGGCCGGCGGGACCCCGGGCGGAACTGGAACGCACTGTCTCGGACTTCCCAACTCCAGGAAACAACGTCCCCGACGCGCCAGCAGGTAAGGATCGTCATCTCTTTGTCCGGTTGGTTCAGTTACCGCAACCTGCTGCGACTGGCGCGTCCGTTGCAGCACGGAAGCCAGACGTCTACAAAACATTGCTAGGACGCAGCTTGCAGACAATTCATCATTGGCCTCTATCATCATCATCATAACTGAGTATGCACCCGTATTCGTTTTTAGACCCTCTCATGGGCATATTCTGGAACATATCCAAAGGCTTTTCATTTGTCTTCCAGCTTTGATCACGAGTGCCAATGCTTTGAGACCATGACTCGGCCCTACTCCGGCTACGTTTCTTGGGCCGTACGGCATCTTTCTCGGCGGTTCGGGTTCTCAGATGCTGGTGCATATCGACCAGATCTGTTGCCCAGACACATGAAAACATGATCACGTTGGAGCAGTTACGCAATAAGCGGCTTCGTAATTCTGCCCCGCGAGAAGTCGTTTGGTCGACTGTGGTCCGGGGACGCTCCCAGAGGACGACACGCTCAAGGTCTGGTACGTAACCTTTGAAGCGGTGAGCTTCCCCGCAGAGTCTTTGTTGACTTTCAGTCACCTGCCGAGGTTCAATGCCATGTTAGTGGAGAGGGTGCCATGCAACCCTGAAAGCTGAAGGGGTTGTTGAGTTTTCGAAGACTTCTGGGCTCCTTGCCATTAACTCTAAACCGTCTGATGTCTGCAGACGTGTATGGCCTCATCCCGCAACTGGCCAAGATGTGGGCACGGAGCTTACGAGGACGGCGGCATCTTATGAGGCTTGTCTCGGTTCAAAAACCGAGGTGCCAGTGTTGAGCAAGGCCTGTCTTCCAAGCTCCTTTTCCCCCCGCAAGGGTTACAACATCGACAAACGCTAGTGAACCATGATCTGCAGAGCCTAGATTCAGACAATGCCATACAACTCCTTTCTACACAGAGGCAAACACCGATCTCCAGTAAGGATCGAAGATGATTCACCTCAAACAACTAAAGGCTCTTCCCCTTCGGCACCTAAAGCCACATCTGGCGATGACGAGCCACCACCTCCGTCCGTCCCAGCTATCTGGCGGAATATCCTCTCAAAAACATTAAACTTGAAGTCCACAATGGTGTCGTGGTCAGCCCCGGGAACCACACAGCTCGAAAAGTCAATCCTGTCACCACGTCGCTCAGCCCTCCAGCAGTCATCGAACCATTTCGGGCCGTCCCCGGTACCAATCAGGTGATCGTCTGCGGCATAGTACACTCTGATATCCAATCTCGCGCCATCCGACACGACGCCGGCATCCAGGTTCGCTTCCCCCTCGGCTAGAAGGGTGACGAACCGATCGTAATCTCCCCACGCGCCCCAGTAGTCCGGGTGGTCCGCCCGCTTCAGCAGCAGAACGACCTCCTCGCTGAGGCCTTGCACGCTCTCCGCGAACACCTTCTTGATGAGCCGCTCCCAGATCTCCTCCTCGAACCCGGCCATGCGCGCACTTTCGCTGGCCTCCGCGACCGGCGGCGCGGGACTCGTCTCCTGCGCCGGCAACAACTTGGCCAAGGCACGGAAGCCAGGCATCATACCGTTGATGATGCCGCCACTGAACCCGGCGACGGGCGCGAGATTCCGCTGGGAGAACCCCGCAACCGCGTGGAATTGCCCCAGCACGGCGTCGGGCAGCCGGCTCAGGGCCTTCGAGAGCGGGACGCCCGAATGGGCCGGGTGGATCCACGGCGTGATGAGCGCCACGCAGGGATGCGTGGGCGAGATGAGATGGCGAAGGTACAACAGGGTGTTGAGCGCGTAGATGGTGCCGGCGCTGTGCGAGGCGACCGAGACGTGGCGGACGCCGAGGTGGCGCAGGAGGGCCGGCACCATTTCCAGCCAGACGCGGACGCGGTCTGCGGCGGGTACTGGGGTTGCGCCGCCGAAGCCCGGTCTGTCCGGGTCGATGATCCTCACGCGGTGCTTTTTGGCGAGGGCGTCTTTGGCGATGTGGAGGAAGCGGCTGGGCATGGCATCAGAAAAGGCTGAGGTGCGTGGTCACGAGTGCGCAAGTGGCTTACCTGCCCATTAGAGGGCCGCAGAAGAGGAGGACGTGTTCGCGTTCTGGGCTCTCCAGGTCCCGGTAGCCGTAGTCGCTATACGTCACTTGGAGTGGATGGGGCCGATTGGGGCCGGCGGGCAGGGTGAAGGTCTGATGAAAGCGCGGGTCGTCGAGGAATGCCACAGGGTCGTCGGGGATAAGCGTCGAGCTCTGCTCATTTACATCCTGTGAAGCCATCGCGGTAACAGGGTGGCGTCTATTGAAGTATGTCTGATAGAATTGTCAAGTCACATGGGTTGGTGTGCGCCGTCCGTGGTGATGCTTCTCGCGGCGTCTCGGTGTTGTGAGTGTGTGGGCTCCGGATTCGCGGCACCACCCGGAGGGGTCGTCTGACGTCTACCAACTGCGCCACATAGAAAGCCGCCTCGGCATACAGCATGCTGATATAGGTAAAGGAGGCTTTCAATGCTTTACTTGCGATAACGCTAATGACAGTGATAAGCTGACTGCGCCGCAGATAGCCGCCGAAGGATTCAGGGCGATTCTCCTTTGACGCCAGGGATGCGTTTGTCCTTGAAGGTGTGGTGGGCGACTTCGCCATACAATTGGTGTCTTCCGGGCTCTTTGGGCTTGGAGCCACGGGATGGTTTCTTACGACGGTTCAGAAATTGGCCAGAGTATCCAGGTACTGATTACAATTTTTTGGAGAAATCTTGTTCAATGAATAGTACCCGGCGGGTGTAGGATGTTGTGGATGGGTTTGTGTACAGTGCGTTCACAAAACCGTGCATTGGTCCTTCTGAGGACGCGGCTTGAGCGATATGAGACAGTGAGTTTCGATATATACAGTATAGAAACTTTGACACCAGCCTCCTTGGCTCTGATCGCTGCATAAGCTGAACAACGAGAGCATCTTCCAGATATGGATCTCAATTGTAAATGGCCAAGGTTGCGCAGACATGTTAGCCTTCCAGGCAAGCCGAGTGAGCAACGTTTCGTGGGACATCAAGTCCTCCGGTACACACCACACTCTTTGAAGCGAGCCCGCATAGGTTGTCCGTTACCTTGGAAGCCCGAATCTCGGAGCAGAGCATATAACTCCCTGAAATTCGCCCGCCAGCTATCATCTTAGGATATCTTTGCCTTCAAATAAGGCAAAAAACCACCAACTCTCAACGCCACCGTTTTCATTGTCCAAGCCAAACTCACCCTGCCATCACAACCACCATGCGCACCGCACTCTTCCTCGCCGGCGCCCTCGTCACCATGGCGTACGCCGCCCCCAGCGGCCCGAGGGAAGCCACCGGGTGGCCTGAGAACGAGGACCAGGTCGGCACCTACGTCGACGCCCTAGAGCAAGACATCGCAGCGGCCAGCCTCGAGTCCGGCCTCCCGCCCTTCTTCGGCTTCCTCCTGCAGGCCTACTCCCTCCGGGACCAGGACGAGGCCGCGCTGATCGTCGAGGCCGCGCAGGCGCTCCGCGACGAGCGAGCCGACCTCGAAGAGTTCGCCTCCGAGCTCCAGGGGCCCGCCGCCCTGCAGCGCCGCGGCGCGGGCCATGGGCTGTTCGAGGCCGCTCTCGAGAGCGCCGCCGGCGAGTGGACCAGGGCCAGCGGCGACAAGGGCGTGAAGAAGGACAACAAGGCGCTGATTGGCAAGTGCGTCAGGGAAGCGAAGAAGGACAAGGTCAAGGCCGGGGAGAAGCAGAAGGGCGACGAGACTAAGTTCGTCATGGAGGGCCTGCCGCAGAGCTGCTGCGAGCTGATGCAGGAGTGGCACGACCTCGAGGGCCACGCCGCCGAGGTCGAGGTTGTCGGCGGGGGTGTTGTTGAGTTCAGCTTGTAATGAGGGGCTGCAGACTGGAAGAATGACGAACTCGGCACAACCGGGGTTCTAGGGACGCCGTTTGACGCTCTGAGGCTTATCGTCATAATGAGCTGATTTGCTTCCACGTGGTTGTTTGAACTTTGTATGGACGCGGAAAGGAGACTTGGAGCGCGGGAGAATAGATGGCTCGGGGGCTCTAAGCACCTCGAGCCATGCAACGATGCTCGTTGTTTGATGTAAAGTAGCTTGTCCTAAATCTGCCATGTCAAATCGTTTTCTCGCAAACCCATCAGGCTTTCGTCGACCCCCTTACCAGGTGCAAGTGAGGCTTTCGCGGCAGCCGTCTCGTAGACCACGCGCATCATCTCGCCAGACACCAGCTGGCTGACCATTGCCGCTATCAGAAATCAAGGTGTTCATCAGCTGGTGGATTGGTCTCCCAAAAACGGGGTGATGGGACACAACAATCAGACTCGACCTCACAATTCGACCCTTCCCAACGGTAGAACGTCACCAAAGTCACCGACATCACATGCAACGACATGAACTTAAACCCATGACAATTAACGTTGAAAGTTCCCCCGCCCCTACATACAGAGCAGACTCTATCTAATCCCAATCCAACCTGCACCAGGCGTACTCTTCTCTAACTTGCACACCTGGCCCACAAACCCCGTCCATTGTACAACGAAACCCAAAAGCCGGCCGTTCCAAGGACCGGACTCTGATGCTCTGATCTGAGATGCAGCAGGTCTAACCGCTATGAAATGCCAGAGGCGAAAAAGAAAAAAAGAAACAGTGAAGAAGAAAAAACTGTATGTCGTAATAGAACAATAAAAGGGACAAATGTGGTATGTGTTTGAGATATGCAATACCTGAAGATGATGAAGGCGTTTGTTCCATAGGTGTATGAAAAAGCAGCAAAAAAGAAAGAACGCCTCGCTCCGACGGCGACACTGCGCCGGTTTCCCCATCTGCCCTTGAGACCCTAATACGTATGGGCAGACCGGTTCGATGAAGGTCATGTTGGTTTCGCGCCTGTTTGAAGCTCGTTCCCTCATAGCGGCAAGCCTGGCGTCGTAGAAATTCTCCAGAATGTTTGGCCCGACCCGGTTGAAGTGCTTCATATCCCCTTGCTTCAACTGCCAAAGTTTCGTTCCGTACACCGCCAACATTACACTAGCGAGCCCATGAAACCCAGTTTGAAGCAAGTCTTGTTCGTACATCGTACACCGTCATACCGCGTGAGTGCGTTCAACCGTAAAACAGCTCGAACTGGGTCGCGAAGCCAGGTTCCGTCGGCTTAACCTCCTTGATGGGGTGGAGGATCATGGGCGGCAAGCAAGGACGACCGTGCGCTCTCTCCCAGTTCTTGCCTCCAATCTTAGTGTCGACGTATCCCATCCAGTTGTTGTACAGTCTTGGTGGGGGCTCGGCACGGTAGTACCAGGTCATACCCTGGTATCTGCGCTCCCTACCCCAACCCATAGGGCTGCCCTCGCCACCACTTTCGCCGCGGGGTCCAGGGTTGAACCACTTGGCAAGGAAAGTGCCGTTCCAGGGGCGGTCGAACCAGGTAGGGTGAGGCGCAAAGACGGTCTTGAAGCCGTGGAGAAGAGCAACAGTCTGAGGGGTCATCTCCGAAGCGATGTGGTTGCCGCGGAGGTTCTCAACGTGCATGATGTCCAAGAGGCGCTTGGAGACACGAGACTGCGTGACGATGGTGGTTCGGCGAGGGAGCGTCTTCGCGGGGTCGGGGAACTGCTCGTCCCTGTAGCCCCAGATGTGGTCCGAGATAATCCAGCTGCTGTTGATCGGGTTGAAGATGGGGCCAACAGTGATCATGTCCGCGTCCTCGCCAACTCCCCACTTGTACGGGTCCTTCTCGGGGTTCTCAACCGGAGGCTTGGGGCCGACAGGGTTGATGAAGGGCAGCTTGGGCGGGCCCCAAACCTGGTTGCCGCGGGTGCGCTTCTCGACGTCCTTGCGGAAGTCATTGTCGTAGTCTCCGTGGTACTCAGGGATGTAGTAGCGCTCGTTGCGCTCCCACAGGCCTCTGCGAGGCTGCTTCTTCGCGAAGTCATCGAGGCGCTGCAAGAAGTCGTAGTTGTGGCCGATGATTCTGGCGTCCATCTCCCAGTTCCAGATAAAGTCGAACTCGGGGTGGTCCTGGCTGAATTTCTGCACCGACAGCCACTGGGCCGAGTGCACGCTCTTCTCGTTCTCGTCCGTCAGAGCAGTGTAGATGTTCCACACAGCCTGGTCGTTCCAGAGCTTGGTGATGCCGTGGAACTCGAGGGGCACATGCTCGTTGAGCACGTACTGGTAGGTAGCCTCGTCATTCCAGATGTCGAGAGCCTGATCGCGGACGTGCAGCAGCAGGAAGATCTGGTACTCTCCGCCGGATCGGAGGGAAAGCTCGGAAATGAGGGAGCGAATGACCTGCTTGTCGTTCTCGGTGTACTTCTTGCCGGTGTAGGTTCGCAAGAGGACGGCGGTGCGGGCGTCGGGTGCCGTCACCTTGGCAGCCTTCGATCCGCTCCCGAACTTACCGAGACCGCGCTTCTCGTTCTTCTTCTCAGCCTCATCGACCTCCTTTCCATACTTCTCGGCGATGTCGGGATAGGCAGTCTTAATGTATTCGTTGGGCTTGCCCTCGTCGAACCGGGCAGCGTTTCTCTCAATGCACTTCTCCTGGAGATCGCCCCAATTGATGTTATCCCAGTCAATGCGGAGACCGGCCTTGCTGAGCTGAGGCTGAAGACCGTAGGGGCCGAGTCTGGTCTCGCGCTCGTAGCAGATGTTGCCGTCCATGTTGAGGGTATCGAAGCCGCCGAAGCCCGGGTTGGGGAACTTGGCCGGGTGACCCTTGAAGACCAGCAAATCCTCGACAACCTCACCAGTGGCACCGACGCATGGCACATAGGGCGCGCGATGCGTCTTGTTCCACTCCTCGTTGTTGTAGTCGGGGTAGGGGTTGAAGTAGACAGGGCGCTGATTCGTGTACGCCTCCTCCTGCGTGCCAGACTCTCGGAGGTTGGCGGCATGTCCGGCGGTCCTGTTCTCCTTATCCTTCAAGGTGTTGAGCGTGTTTCCGTAGATCGCATCGCTTCCAGGCAGCCTGAAAAAGTCCACAAAGTCAGTCTTCTTCATCAATTGACGAAACCGCGCATCTGCGGTCGACAGGGAGCACATACTTCTTGGCAGCTTCGTACTCGCGCGCGAACTCATCTCGCAGGTCCTGTTCGTGCTTTTCTCTCTCCTGCTTCTGCCTCTCCTCCTCCTGCTTCCTCTCCTCCTCCGACTTGGGCGGCTCGGGGGGCGCGGCAGCCTTGTCGGGGGCCGGAGCGGTGCCGTCCTGGTTCCAAGGAACGACGCGGTATCCGGCGGGGGCGCCGCGCGTCGCGAGAAAGTAGACGGAGATGACGGCGAGGGCCAGGAAGAGCAGCGTCTTAGGACGGGCCCTCGGGGCGATGAAGCCTCTCGATGACTGTTGCTTGAGCATGGTCAACATTGCCAGCGCGGCGGCAGCGACAACGGCGGCGGCGGCGACTGGTTAATTAGGAATCGGCGGCCTGGAACGGGGATGTTGCGTAGTCGCTGATGGGGGAGGCGATTGGATGGACGGATGGAAAGTTCGCCACGGCGCTATAGAGGCATGCTGCGGCAGGCGAAAACACACACACAACCAAAGGAATGACGAGCCCGAAGCGCGCAGAACTTGTCGAGGTTGACAGAAGGTAGTTTCTCGCGGATCTCGCAAAGCTAATCGACAGACCTGGCCTGAACAACAACGGGTGCTATGTGAGCGGGACTGGACGGGGGCTTGGCGAGATTGGATAAAGGTCGTTGATTAAAGAGTGGCACGGCTCCTATCAAAGAAGGCCCGGTTGGTCAATTTTTTTTTCGGGGGGTGGATGGTGCGCTGGTGCGGATGGGTTCGGGGGGTGGGATCGAGTAGCGTGGGGGAGAAGACGCGCCTCCGCAAAAGTCGAGGTGAGGTGCGAAGTGGAACGACGAGAACGTCGACGAAACGAGTAAATCAACAGAAGCGCCGATGTTGCAATGCGCAGTTTTTGCAGGTGGTAGAAGGAAGGAATGGAAGGGAAAAGGAGGGAAAGACGGCAGTGACGATGACGAAGCAGATGGAGTCCCTTGGGGGAGAGGGAAAGGAGAGATCGAGCTCTGGGCGCTGGCCAGGAAGGACAGGTTAAAGGAGACCACGCACGGCAGGCAGTACGAGGATCTTGGAAGGGGCAAGCAAGGAAGTTTGAAAGTAGGGAAGGAGCACCACCAATCCCGTCGACTCGTTGGTGCTCAGGGACGGACAGGGACGCCAGTGGCCGCAAGGGACTTTGGTCTATCGCTCCGTGCCTGTACGGACTGCAACACCAGCAAGAACCAGTTCAACGCGCCATTCGATTCGTTCGCACGCCAAATACTAGTGGGTTAAACTGGATAGGAAGGGAACAACGTACAGTATGTGTCCGTCCGTATGTATCTTCCAAAGGGCCCCACGGATACCTGCAGGTGGAAGATGCACACTGCCGAACGGTACCGGCCAACCAAGCACCGAGTTACAGCCTGACGAGCTTGGTCGTGTGTAGATCATCAGTTCCATGAGTTGAGCAGGCACTATGTATCGAATTGGCCACCTGCCACCTAATCTCTGAAAGAGGGACGCGGGTTTTGCCCACCGGCTGCCCCTCACCCACGGCGTGTAGAAGACGTCCCCGGCGCCCGGTAATCAATCCATCACGCAGGATTCCGGTCGCACGGGATGCGAAAACCGCAGACAAAGTGCAAGGCGGCGCGACTCCTGCCGTGCGACGGATTTCTTCTGCCCGTCCATCGCTTCTGCCAGCCTGTGGTGACACCTCGCACCGGGCCTGACGTGGTGCTTCCTTCTCGGCGTAAGGGAGAAAGGGGGGCGCGAGCTGAAGCCAAGACCGGACTGGAGCCGCAGGAAAGGACTCTAATCGTTCGGCCGCTTATTTTCCGTCTTGTTCCTTCCTGTCGCAGCGGCAGCCGGCACCCGGATGTAATGTCTTTGCTGCTGGGCCAGCGATCAGTGGATGCTTCAATTTTAATGGCGTGATTGCGGTTTTCCCACGACGTTCGAGCGAGTCAACGACAAGAAAAAACAAAACAACCTTCTCCCAGCTCCCGAGACATGCTAACCAAGAAGCTCTTGCGTTTGTGGCGTTCGTGGTACGGCTGCAGCTCCCGCACCGTTGGGTTTAATGAAACATATCCCATTAAAGGAAACACATTCCTCTAGGAGCTGGCCATCTCTGCCCAGAGTACCTAGTGCGTTCAAGTTGGCTCTTGCTGGTTTTCCCCTGATTTGGGCTAAGCGTTGTCCCCAGCAGCCATTCCATTTCCACGTCGTCTTGGCCGGAAACCGGACAGTCGCGGACAGTGTGGCGCTAGGCACATTGGTCCCGCCCTCCCCCCCCTGTCGATCCAAAGCCAAGCTAAAAACCGTCTCGGACGCCTCACAAGTACCGAGACGCCCAGCTTTTGTGGCAGAGGTACCTCACACGTTACCGACTCAGGAGAAACCTGGACTGGGCAGTGTTTATTTTATTTTATTTATAACCAACCCCTTAAACTGAGGGACAGCACTTTACACGTGCATCCCGCCGACCCCCTTCCGTCCCGCCCGCGTGTCCCACGCGACTTGGCTGTTTCGAGAAGGCGATGAAGCGATGATGTTCACTCTGCATTTGGACCGACGGACAGTCGACCATTACGACTCAGATCCTTCCTCCGCCCATAGTGCTCAGCGTAGTACCGCCTGACATGCGCAGCACACATATATGTAAGGGGGAGGAGTTGGGGTGGCTCGACGGGGCCAACCGCCTGTCTTAGTCACCTGACAAAAACCTGCCAGTTGAAGAATATCTTTGCTTGCCCCTCTGCCAATTCGAGCAGGTGCAAAATGAGTGAATGCCGAAGGAGCCCGCTGCGTCAAAGCTCAACCCAGGAGGTTATGTCGTCCCACAGACTCCCGCGGTTGACAGTGCTTGATCTTGCATCCGCAGCAAGCACCGTCCGTGGGACACCGACCGCGGTGTTTGGACTTTTGCTCCTTCTGTGCCGCTTCTCTGCCGCTTCTCTGCGGCGTCGAGATGGAACCGAGAGAAAGTACAAAAGTATGACGCATCCAACTTATGTAGGTAGGTGCAGCGCAGAGCAGAAACAGGCAGGGGTGGAAATCTCTTATCTCACGCCCGCCGAGTCTCAACACCAAGACGCTATCGTTTTCTTGCTCACCTCAGCCCGAGAAAGAAGAAACCGGTGATGCGCAATCGCACGCCACCACCCCCAATTCCTTATCCCTCGCCGCTGCCTGCATGTCTTATCTATCAAGGCAAGAGGAGAGCAGCCTCCCCCCCTTTCGTTCTCCCTACCTCCAAGCCGTGTCTCAGACCTCGGAGAAAGTCTTCCACAAAAGCTCACACACAGCACATCAGTCACCTCTCTGCCTTCACGAGCCGTTTTCCGTCCGAAGTCTCGCCAGTTTCTATTTCAATCACCACGCGAGCGCACCCCGCCGACGGTGAACCCGGCCGGCAAAGCCCATCCCACCGCGTCATTCCGCACCGTTTCCCCCCATTATTCCCAAACGCCGCCATAGGTAGCCCAGTTCATCACCACGGACGAACCACCGCCACTATGCCGCAACTGACCGCCTCTCCCACTCTCGCATCCCGCCTGTTCTGCCCGTCCACACCGTGCGGGACCTCACACAGCACGGCGGCAGCACCGCGCACACCATCAACCCACGACACTAGCGTCCCCGTCCCCAGTCCGGTCGCCTCCAACTCAGAAAGCATACTCATTCCGAAACGGTCTGTGGAGACGCACGCCGAATCGCTATTTTAGAAATCCCGCTCCTTTTTTCGGCGTCCCTCTCTCTCACACGCTCTTGGCTGACCTCAGCATTCTCCCTCCCGCTGAAAGGTTCTTCCCGTGATAACACGTACATCGTATGCGCATGGGCTACAAATGCCACGGAGAAAAGCGGCCCTCAGCCCGCAAAAAAAGAACAACGACGGGGAAATGTCACTCGGCAGGCCGCCGGGGGCGCCGCATCCCGGACTAAACCCTCACCGTCCCGTGCCGTCATCCCCCTCCTGCTTCTCTCGTTGCAAGTTCCCTCCGGTCGGGAGCCCGCTTCTCTCAGGCCGGTCGAGTTAGACAGCGTGTTGCATATTCCCGTCCCAGCCGTTCCTGCGTGTCGCTGAACCCTGAGGTTGTGCCAGTGTAACCAGGCCGAGACACTGTCATACTCGTCGAGTGACAGTACGCAGTCTCACTAGACCGTTGAACCCGCCCTCGCTTGGGGCGGTGAAAATCTGCCAAAGCCACGTGGTGGACGCAACATGTCACGGCATTCATATCCAACTGGCAAGCAACTCATTTGAAGTGTTTCCTGTTATTAGGCTCGTGCTATGGACTGCGGTCTCATGACTGATGAGCCACTCCTAATGGCACCTGCTTCTGAAGCATCTGTGTGCACCCTGTTGCCCGTAAACCACTCCTCTCTACCATGTCATGCACGGAATCAAGGCCGATGCAAGCATGCCCGCCCTTTCCCAGGGCCTTTCCTAACCAACGCTCAAAACGAAGACGAACCCACATGTGTCGTCTTATGCAGGTATCAACAAAGTCCTTTCGGGACTGGGTATATGTAACTCTAGACAACAGGAAAAAGAAATAGAGGCGTATGTGTGATGCAGGTATGTGGTGGTGGTCGTAAGATGCTTCGTAGGGTATTAAATGCAGCGTGGGTGGCAATTCATATACGGCGAAGCGAACATGTAATGGCGCCCCTGCCTTCAAAGGCTTGATGCCTTCGGTGGCTTACATCATGCCGAGTCTCGTGTTGCGCTTGTTCATGCGAGGCATCGGCGGAGCGAGGCCGGCACCCGGAGCCGTTCTCTGCCCGCGTGGGAGGCCGACGGGTGGTCTCATGCTAGACTGGCCATTGCTGGGGCGGCGGCCACCCTGGCCGGGACCTCCCGGGATGCCGAGACCGCCAGGCGAACGTCCTCGCTGGGTGCCGTTGCCCATTCGTGGCGGTGGCTGCATGCGACGCCAGGCGTCCCGTTCGCAGTACGCCTTGCCGTTGACCTCGAAGTAGCCGTTTGACAAGGACATGCCGCAGTCGCCACATCGGAAGCAACCAACATGGTACTTGACACGCTCCTCGTCCTCCAAGTACTGACCCTCGATGCCGCGTCCGCAGGTGCCGCACAGGCTGCCGTTGAGCTTGTGATAGTGAAGCTCGCAGTAAGGCTTGTCGTTGTGGACATAAAACTCGGCGGAAGAAAAGGGTTCGCGGCAGGTCGTGCAGACAAAACAAGCCTTGTGGTAGCGTCCGGTCAAACGGCCGTCGGCAGAAGAGATGCTCTTGCCCTTGATCGCGTCGCCGCAAGACTTGCAGTTTCCTCGGGAGGGGCGGTTGCGTGGTGGGGAAGAAACGCTCTGCACATCACTGGGCTGGCGCTGATGCTGGTTGCGACGGTCCATCGGGTCGCGAACATCGTAATCAGGCGCCGCCAGCGGTGATCTCGCACGGGGTCGACCGCCCTGGATCGCAGGGTCATCTCGAAGATCCGCAGAAGGCTGTGCGCGGCGGCTGGAGTACGGCTCTGCCGCAGGTTTCTGGGGAGGGGGTGGCGGCACGGTGTCTTTGGGAGATCGCATGGCAGCCATAGACGATTCGATGTCGTTCATCAGGTGGGTCACATCGGACGGGTTGCGGCGCGGTCGCGGGTTTGCTGGGCTAGACTGTGAGCTGCTTTGGGAGCTGGCCTGGCGTCCATGACTGAACAGGGAAGCTCCAGATGATGTCGAAGCTGACGGCGTGTGATACGGATTCGAGGCACCAAACTCATTGGCCAAATCGAGTGTTGGCGCGCCATCCCTTCCAGCCGTCATCGGGCGCAGAAGACTCGTTCTGGGAGGCGGCGGCCTTGATGTATCTGGGCCCATCGATACCTTTCTCTCATGCTCACCAGCTCCGTTGGGCTCCCCCCTCAACCTGTCTGGTCGAGCGCCCGGCGCCGATGGGGTCCTCATAGGCAGCTCGACGGGCTCGTTAGAGCGGGGGAAGGTGCCAGCTCGGCTGACAAAGGTTTCGGGCTCGAACTCATCCGGCGTCGTTCCTGGAGGCCCGAATCCTCCGTAGCCGTTCTTTCTCGGCAGTCTCGGTGGCGCAATACCGCCAGCGTTACTGCTCCCAGAAGACATGAAAGAGTTGTTCGATGCTGAGGTTAGTGGTCGGTCGTTCGTGGCGTTGTCCTCCGGCGTCAACGAGTCCTGCCTAGTCGGACCAAACGCGTTCTTCGCAGCCGCCCGCGCCCCAGGCCTCTTGCCCATCTCGAACGGTCCGGGTGCAATGGTGTTCATACGTTGAAGGAGGCTCGGTGCCTGCTTCTTCTGCTCATTCGGGTACATCTGGTCAGGCCCGTAGTCTTCCCCGTCGTCGAATCCCCCATAACCCCCAAGGCGTCGAGGTTGCTGATTCGAATTGTAGTCGTTTGCGATTTGCGGTTGGAAGTAGTCATCTGGCCGGCCGAGGGCCTGGCTGCTGGGCGTTTTGGGCGAGATGCTGATCGACCCGGTTGATGTGCTTATTGGTGTGAGCTGGCCTTGTCGCGAATACGGGAGATCTAGTTCTGGTTAGCCAACGACGCAAAGGAGTCCCAAGAGTCGTCAACGTACTTGCGGCACTGGTATCCAGCGTCGGAGGTGGCATTCGCCCATACTTGCTGTCAAGAGGGGGCGGTTGGTCGTATGAGCCTATGCTGTCTGGGCGAGCTGGCGGCGGTGAAGCTGTTGCCGTGTGTTAGTTTCATCAGTCCTTCCACACAGGTGGACGCGGGTTAACATACGCTCTGCATCTGCACCTGGGCCGCCGCAGATGTGCTCGCCCATCATGGAAATTTCCACTTGCCGGCCACATGACGAGCATTTGATAGTCGGCATGAAGCTCGACTCTCGTGGGAAAGCCATTTCGGCTGGGTCTCGTTTGTGTCTCTTGCTAAGGCGCCCAAGCTCTCCCGATATCTACTGAAGGCGAGTTGTCCGTATTTCCTGGCACATTTGAGGCCGCATCAAGCTAGATTCCGTGGGCGCAGTGTGCTGTCCGGAAGCGGAAGTGGCAGAAAACAGATAGATGTATGCTACGGAAGCAACGGGGACAAGGCGGCTCTTGACTGTTTCTGGAAAATGCGACGGTGACGTGAACTGACGTTGTCCCTGGAAGTTTAACAGTGGTAGGACGCAGAATCGTGCCTCGTTTCCAAGTTGGGATCGGAAACTATGTGGATTGTAAATGTGACGGGGTCGTGGACAACTGGAACGCCCCGTTGCAGCTTGCAGGCGAACTCCCAGGTTGTAGGCGCAGGTGTGAGCGTCGAGTGCGAGCGCGGGAGGTGAAGCGTGTGACCAAGCGGTGTCTGATGGTCTTTTTTTTTGGAGGCAGAGTGGTCCTGCAGAGTCGCACGAGTCCCGGGATCTTGGTTGCTGTCAAGGATGCAATGCTGGAGCGTGTTTTGGGACCAGCACAGATGTTCGGAAACACGGGCTCTCGAGGGTAACAGACGGAAACGAGACGGGATAAGCTGGTCTGAGGATGAGTCGCTTGGAGGAGAGATGTTGCGATTCGCGTCTCGAAGTTGAGGAAGAGGGTGTCGGGGACGCTTGGTGGATTTGTGGGAGTCGAGCAACTAGGACTGGTCTCAGGGTCAGTGGGTGAAGAAGCGACACCCCTGTCAGCGGTGTGGGTGGTCAGAGGGTAGCACAGACAGTGGCTGTCGAGAACCCCCTGGCGACCTTGTCCGGGCCATGCCAGGTTGGGCCTGGCGGTTGACGGGCATCGGGCAGGGAACCGGGGTTGGCTGCACGGTGCATCATTCATTCTGTGGGCGATGGCTAGAGCTGGGTCCGGACGCGGCGGACGGATGGGAAGGACGGTGAGGAGATGATACAGGCGGCTGCTTGCGGCGTGCTCGCTCGTCGACTGAGGCAGGACGTTGCGGAGCAGGGCGTCATGTCGAGATTTGCGGTGATTTGCAGTTTCTGCCCGTTGTTTAGGCTTTAGACGACTGGCCCATGTCGAGGATCAATCATGACAGCACGCACGGAATTGCGCAAGGAGCAGACTTGTTCACCTGCGACAGATGGAGGGTAAAGGGTCCAGTGGCCCTGCCTGCATTTCGCGGATTTGATGAAGGGGGCCATTTGACGATGCAGCGCAAGATGGAAAAGCCGCAAGAGGGCCGCTGGGCGAAAGTGAAGGGACACTGGGCGGCGCGGGGTGGATCATCAAACTCCGGCGTTCTTGCCTTGCAAAGACATTTCTCCCTTCCCTCGATTGCCTCCCGCATGCATTCGACAGCTCGCCTTACCCGCATTGGGGAGCAGCGAAGCAAAGAGGGGGCGGGGGGGCCTTCCAACAACGCTCATTAACAGTACTATACCTACTACATATGTATCCCGCTGCGTCGAAGTCGATACACCGCATTCTGAGAGGGATAGAGGGATAAGGCAAAACGGCCAGGGGGTGGACGACCACCTTCCCCAGTGTTCGCTCGTTTCAGGTCCTCTTCCAAGCAATCTAGAAGCAACAATGAAGGGCCTCCACGGATGAGGGTAGGCTAGCCAGCGCCGCTGTCCTGCTGACCTGCGATCATGCCTCATCCCTCACATCCACACTCAAGCTGAGGGTCGGAGAATTCTTCATAGATTGGATGCGCGGCGCATTTCAGGTACGGCCGCGGTCGCCGTGGTACTTGTTTGGGATCCCCTTCCTGCGGACTGCACCGGATACCACCAGAAACAAGGCATCCATCCATCTGCACACTACAGCTGCTTATAACCGACCCATCGATTTTATGTATGGGTACGCAATCCATATTTAGGACTCGCATGATACATTATACTTTTCGGAATCCGGCGAGGTACCGTTCTAAATATGAAAGCAGTCGTTCGAAATAAGGTGGCATAGGGTAGGGTAGGATGAGGGTGGGAGCGACGGGGCCGGACGGGGAGGCGGCGGCAGAAGCAGGGCAACGCTGACCATGGGAAAAGGAACGATAAAAACAAGGAGAAAAAAGGAAGAGAATAGAAGCAAGTGCGGGTTCGCCTCGCGGGCTCGAATGGGTCGTCGATACGACATGGCCCGAATATGGTTCTGTTCATCTGTGCCAAATTTTAAATCGCGAACGGCATCGCCCAAAAGGGTTCATCGCCGCGGGTGACCCTGACGTTGCATCTGCCTTGGGATCTTACACGCCCCTTTTCCCCCTCAAACGGCCCTTCTTTCTTCGTCTTCCTCTTCTTCTCGTGGTACTACTACGTAGCATCTCCTCCATCTCTCTTACGACGTAGTGTTTCCTCGAGCAACCAGTCGCATTGCAGAGCCCGACGATTGCTTCGCTGCCCCGTGAGGTGAGAGCCTCACGCGAGGTACTGCACTGCCAATTGAGTTGGAGGGCCGGGTACCTTGCAGGGCATGAATGTGGGGCCTCGTGGCCTCCAGAAGCCTATCGCTGCTAGCGAGCTCGCTTCCCCTGGCTAAATGGACCTCGGAGCCAGCCAGCGAGGCAATAATGCCCGGGCATATCCCACGTCTGGTTTACTAAGGCACGCTTCATGGTTTTAGTCAACAACCACCAGCACACACACCTCCTTGCACCAAGCCCAAGCATAGCTCACAGTCGCAAGGAAAGGGCGAGGCACAAAGTGAAAGTGGACATTTCCCGAGGTGGGAGGCTTCTCGGCTCGGTAGAGCTTCTGAAGCCGAGAGGCAAGATTGCCGTGACTGGCAGTGAGTGAGTGATTGATTGATGGCGACTCATACTCCGACTACTATGCAGAGATGTAGAGGGCAGGCACGACTACGCTCGCAGCTCCACCTACCTACCTAGTGTATGTACTATGTAATCCTCGCCGACCCACACTCGGCCGGCCATTGCTGCGCTTTTGGCGGCTTCGACAGATGCGTCGTGCAGTTGACAGGCGGCGCTACGCTCGATCGTCAACGCTACTCCAGGGGCTGCGCTCGAGCTTCTTCCCTCTTCACTTGTCCATAGTCATCAGTCCTGATTGCGCTCGTTCATCCATCATGTCCGTCACACGCTGTCAGCAAAACAGTAGTTTCCTTTCATTTGCTGTCTGTCAGACTCGTCACCACTCGTCCGCCGCCAAGCTGTCACATATCAGTCACCGGGCCTTTGGTACCAGCGAACCACCGTCTAAACTCCGCCGCCCGAGGAAAAAATTTCATTTCGATTCTTCGCAAGGTTGCTCTTGTTTGTTATGCAATTACAGTGCCCTCTCTCTACCGTCTCAGTCGTCGTGGAGACGAATGGTCATCGTTGAAACCTCAGTGGGCAGCTCGCGTGTTTGTTGGAGACTCCCAGGTGCAAAATCCGGTTCACATCATCTCTGCTAATAACAAGCCTGGGTCAATCAGGCTGCGTCCTCGACGGCAACACGCCCAACACCGGAAACCCGAGAGACAATGGCGGCGTCCATACCAGGGCATTGCGTAGCATGGAATGTGGCCGCATTGTCTGGAGAGTTAATGCCCCCGATAACTGCGACAGCGACTCTCCAATGCCAATGCACCGCGCCCGTCGAACCAACCGCCAAGCGGCATCAAGTGGGTGACGTGGGTACCCTCCTCCTCCGCCGCTCCTCGGTCCAGACTCCAGAAGTCGCAGCGCTCTTGGGCCCGGGGTTCGCACGGAGCCAATAGTGACCGTTATATGGAGTCCCCAGAAAGCATCTTTGGGTCGCGGCTTCAGTCATCCAGCAGGTCTTCTCTCCAGGGAATCACCCACTACACCGCAATTTACCTGCAGCTACCAGCCGCGTTGCACAAGTCTGTTGCGCTAATGCTTCGGCTTCGTCCTGCACGCGTCGCGACTCCCTCTGCCTTACGGCTAGTCCGTATCAAGGGAAGAAACCCCCCGGCGCCCCTTGGCGACACAGTGGCCCAGCGCCACGCCGAACTGCTGCAGCTTCTGTCCTCTGCCTAGCTGCGTGGCCCCGAGTAAACGTCGACTCGACCTCTGTTGCGGTTGCAACTGGCATCGAATCTGGACTCTGCTCTGACCACCCACCCCGTTCTCACAACCCCTGACCTGGCTCACCTCATGTCCCAAAACAGGTTCCCTGTCTGCCCACTGGCCGATCATCAACCTCATTGCCAATCCTCTCTGGCAACCTCGAGATTATTGAGCTTCTCCAGCATCGAATCAAGACGCACGGAACCTGACGATCGCGACCGCAGCAGGTCGCAGTGGAGGTTCATCTCAGTCTCTGCTGGCCCCCCTCATCGTCGTCTGACAGATGCTCGGCGGCAAATGAGACCTGCCATAACGACGTTCATGATTTCTGCCCCTCATGGAATCTGGGGGGCCATGTTAGACGCCGTGCGCGAGATGACACTGGCCGTGAAATCGCACTTGGCCGTCCACCAGAGGCCCGTTCATTCACTGCTCGTCATTCGGATCGTCTCAGATCTGGTCGAGCGGAATTTACTGCGTCCAGTAACGCGCAGATCGACTCGATTGGTATCAAGCAAGATCGGGAAACCGCAACTCTTAGTGCTGGCGACCTCGTACCATGTTGCCGTGTAGCGCCAGCAATGGGCTGCTAATTTCAGCACCGTCTTCTACCCAACCCAACGCGCTACACGACACGATCCGAGGCCCTCTCCCATTGCGGCCTTCTAGGTATCTTGCAGAGTCCGCGTGACCTCTTGCTCGTTTCCACAGGAACCCCCTAATGATTGCAGCGTCCGCGGGATTGATCCTTCGGGAATGCGGCTTTCAGGTGAACACACCGACGTGTGCTGTCAGCGGCGTAGTTTGGCTGATACCACCCATCACCAGCCTATCTACGTAGTAGCTCGCTGATGATGATCTCCAATCAACCTGGCAATCGCTCAGTTGTCGCTTCTCCACCCTCCCCCCCCTTTTTTTTTCCTATGCTACCTAGTC